AAGGAGAAAGATTGTGTGTAAAAAAAAAAACCCTATCAACTCCCAAACAACATAGCTCTTTTTGTAAGCAGAGACTGGATGTCCATCTGTCAAGGGTGCTTTTGTTGCCAAAAAGTAGACCCCCCCCCCCTCCCAAAAGATAAATTCAGCTGGGGTTCCAAAGTTTGTTTGTTTTTTTAAACATTATATGAAATATTGAAATACTGTACTAGCATTTCCTCAAACTGCAACAGACTTCGTTTTCAGCAGCCCGATCAGAAAAACTATACATTCCGGAGGAAGGGGGGTTGGTAGAATTGACCTTCTACCAATATAACCCTGAGGAAAACTGAAGAGGAAACGCATGCCCAAACCCCCCAGACAAAGAACCTATCTGCTACTCCCCTAACACAATGGGTTTCACACCATACTCCACCATGGTTTTGTAAATAATGATTTATAACATTCACAATAAACCTCTGTTCCTTTTACCTTTAAGCCTGGTCTGCGTGTTGATTTGGTCTGCAAGATTGCAGGGTGTACTAGGCATCAGACTCTCAGCCTGCTCCTCAGCCGGTAGCTGAATTTTGGCATCGGATTCACTTGTGTGTTCCTGCATGGCAAGTGTTAGACTGGATGGCCCTTTCAGTCTCTTCCAACTCTCTGATTATATGATTTTTTGCTGGGTAAGAAATCATTTGGGTGCACAGTTTGTTTTGACCCCACTACAGAGCAGAAAATATCCCCATACTCCAAGGGTCTAAGGGCCATTTCTGGAATCTCTCAATCTATGGGGGCAGCACCAGCATTTCTGCTTGCCTGAAAGTCATTTACAGACAAGCAGAAAAACTGGTGTCGGTATTTACTACATTTATATCTCACCCTTCTCACCCCAAAAAGAGTGGCCTTACAGAAGGCAGCAATTTGATGCCATGCACATACATACATACATACAATAACAATATACATTAAAACCAAACATCAACAGCAACATTAAAACAATTATTAAAATCACATCATCCAGAGTCAAATCCAAGGCCATTCTATTAGTCATTTCACTATTCCATATACTCATATTGCATTAACTTGCTAGCCAAAAGCTTGGGCCCATAACTAGGTTTTTACTTTCTTCCTGAAAGTCAGGAGGGAGGGGGCTGTTCTGATTGCTGGGGAGGGAGTTCCGTAGATAAAGGGTCACCACTGAGAAGGCCCTGTCTCTCGTCCCCACCAATCACACCTGTGAAGGAGGTGAGAATGAGAGCAGGGCCTCCCCAGAAAATCTCCAAAATGGCCCTTTGACCCTTGGAGTATAACCCAATTCAAAACCAACAGTTTAGCACATCAAAATATACTAAGAACCGATCTAGAGCAGGACTTCTTAAAACTTGTTCTAGTCAGCCCAAGAAATTTTACAGGACCCCCAGTATATAAATATAAAAATTGAAAATTTACTGATAATTCAGCATTTGCAAAACTTGCTAAACAGGCTGATTTTCTTTTTTTATGAAGTTCAACTGGAGCATTTTCTGAAGTCCACTATAAACACTGCATGTTCTTGCTATACATCTCTAAAACACTAAGTTTACAGTTGCCAGATTTTTCACATCCCCAACGTTGAGCTAAGAGGACCTCATTTAGGATCATGGTTCATAGTTTAAGAAGCAGTGATCTAGATGTACTCTGAAAGCTAGGGCTGGAGCATTTATTTTCCAGATCAGCCATAAATTTTGCAGAGCTGTAGGATGGTCCGGTCATCTTCACCTGGCTTGTTATGTCTGGCTGTGGAGCTCTGGAGACCTCCCAACTGCGTGCCTTTGCTGACATCAACAAAGTTAGCCTTGGTAACCAAGGAGAAGGATGAGGGGATTGCTGATCACCTGGACAGCTTTCCTGATGTCAACAAAGGCACTCAGTGACATCAGGAGCCCTACGGAGCTCCTTGGCTAGTTGCTGCAATGACAGGGGCACTACAGTCCTGATCAATTCCCTTTTCCTTGCACTAAGGAGAGCAGGCAAAAGGCGATGTCTGTGCCAGGCCATGTGGACAGTGGAGAGAAATTTTATACAATACTAGCTGTACCCGCCACGTGTTGCTGTGGCCAACCTTCCCTCTTCTTTCTCTCCTTTCCCTCCTTCTTTCTCTCCCTTTTCCCTTCCTTCCTTCTCTACCTCTTTTCTATCTTTCCCTCCCTTTTTCTTTTCCCCTCCATCTTCTTTCTCTACCACTTTCTTTCCTTCCTTCTCTCTTTCCTTCTTTGCTTCTCTCCCTCTTTCTCTCCTTTCCTTCTCTTCTTCCTTCCCTGGTGGCGGATGAGGCTTCCCCCCTTGTCTGACCCACCATTTTGCCGTCAGTTTCTAGCTCCTGCTCTGGCCAGAAGAGGGAGGATGGTCAGGGGTGCCTCTCGCACTTGCTGTGTTCTCATGCAGGAGGGAGCGGAGTCATGGAATTAATTTGTGCACATGCACTATGTCGTCTTCTACCTTTTTTGGACTTTAAAGTCCTTTTCACTGTTTTGAGGTGATTTTTTGAGTGATGGTCACTCCTTGGGTTAGTAGGTGTCTTGTGGCCAAATTTGGTGTCATATTGTCCAGTGCCTTTTGAGTTATATGCGTCCCACAAACGAAGATTGCACACACATATATATATAAACAGTTTTGTGCATTAAAGATTATGCACACTGAACCAGCAGAAAGCAAAGCTGCCCCATTCTCAGCCACCCACTCAAACAATTTTGGATTTCAGAATATATTGGACATTAACATTCTAATTTTTGGATTTCTGTAATTCCCCCCTCTATCCCAGGCAAACACAATACAAACTTTAAACACAATTTTAACTCTTTCATGATTCATTTGCTACTTGAGGCGCTTGTCTCATCCTCTCTAATGCCAAGTCTATACCTGTTGATGGCAATGTTTTAGGAACATCTATTAACTGCATTAATTGCTCGATTAAACATGACTATCCAGTCTGTCAAACATTCCTTTAAAAATACACTATACACATTGAGCCCATCAATAAATCTGTTACCTGTCACAACGTGCCACGTTGTTGGTACTGTTGAGGATCACTCTGACTGCTGCACATCCCTGACACTGCCAACATTTTAAACTTGAATCCTCTTTATGACATCAGAATACCTGTGTTAGCATTCAGCCATGGTTATCTCTATGACAAAGATAGTGTCTAGTTAAGCTTTGAGGCTAGTGAAAAGCAGCAGCTTCAGAAATTGGTTGTTAAAATTTTGCTGGAGATGGTTACACACTAATAATTTTGCTGGAGATGGTGACACACTAATATAAAGCATCTAATATTTTTATTTGTCTGTGAACTAAACTACACTGTATCATATGTGCTTGTGGTTCATTCCTTGGCTGTCTTTTTTGCAGTTTAAAATGTAGCTCTTTAAAAACAATTCAAAATGTTTTCTTATTCTTGTCTTTAATGCTTTGTTGCCCTTCTCCCAAAGACACGTATAATTTAAAGATTATGAGATGAGGAATTTTACTTTCAAGTCTGAAAAAAAGCCCACTTGACTTTCCTACCCCCTGCCCCCCAAATTCAGCCTATGGATTTTCATTTTTGCTGCATACTTTAGCATATGGAGGAGTGTTTTTGTCATTGCTGTTTTTAGAAAATGTGTCATGTGTTACTGTCAGTCTCATCCCTAGAAGTGCTCTGTATCTGGAGAGTCTTTTTCACACCCCCTTGCCCATTCCCTTTTATATACAACAAAATAAATCTTTAAAACTAACACACTTACAAAGCTTGGAAATGTCGATTTTTAGGGATGACAGGAGGAGGATCTAGGATGGTAAAGGTAAATATTTCCCCCTGACATTAAGTCTAGTCGTGTCCGACTCTGGTGGGTGGTGTTCATCTCCATTTCAAAGCCAAAGATGCTTCCAAGGTCATGACGACATGGAGTGCTGTTACCTTCTCGCCAAGGCAGTACCTATTTATCTACTTGCATTTGCATGTTTTCGAACTGCTATGTAGGCAGAAGCTGGGGCTAACAGCGGGACCTCACCCCGCTGCCCAGATTTGAATTGCCGGCCTTTCAGACAGCAAGTTAATCAGCTCAGTAACCCTGCTGTGCCACCGGTGAATCTAGTGTAGGCATGGGCAAACTTTGGCCCTCCAGGTGATTTGAACTTCAACTCCCACAAATCCTAACAGAGAATTTAATATAGGCATGGGCAAACCTTGGCCCTCCAGATGTTTTGACTACAACTCCCATAATTCCTAACAGAGGATTTAGTATAGGCATGGGCAAATTTTGGCCCTCTAGACATTTTGGACTTCAACTCCCACAATTCCTAACAGAAGATCTAGTATAGGCATGGGCAAACTTTGGCCCTCCATGTATTTTGGACTTCATCTCCCACAATTCCTACCAGAAGATCTAGTATAGGCATGGACAAACTTTGTCCCTCTAGACATTTTGGACTTCAACTCCCACAATTCCTAACAGAAGATCTAGTATAGGCATGGGCAAACTTTGACCCTCCATGTATTTTGGACTTCATCTCCCACAATTCCTACCAGAAGATCTAGTATAGGCATGGGCAAACTTTGTCCCTCTAGACATTTTGGACTTCAACTCCCACAATTCCTAACAGAAGATCTAGTATAGGCATGGACAAACTTTGGCCCTCCAGGTGTTTTGGACCTCAACTCCCACAATTCCTAACAGCCTAGTGAAGTCCAAAAGACCTCCACCCTTCCTTGAGGGCTCAACTTTGCCCATGCCTATACTAGATCCTCCAGTCCCACCCCATTTATATGATCAATCTGCATCAATGGCTGAAATGCTATTTCAAATTTCAGGTGTATGTATAGAGTGCCCAAGGGGTGGGTGACTGCATAGGACTGAGGAGGGAAAGTAAAGAAACCATATTTCCATACCTTCTCCCCACCTTGCAGGGCTGGTTTCTAGGCATACAACTAGATTTTATTAAACTACAAGTCCCAGCATGCAATTCTCCAGCAATCTCGCGACGTCACTGGTTCTGTTCTGTTTTGTTCCCGGAATATTTGTGTTACAGTTCCTACCTGGATTGCTACCTGAGCTGCAGAGCCCTGCATGAACTGTTGCTAAACAAAATCTGCAATCCCACTTGCATTTGATAAGGAGTAAGTACACAGAATGAGGGGGAACTTGTTTCAAGTCCTCTTGAACCAAACAGGAGTTTTCTTGCTGGGTGCTCATAAGAGTGCATCATTTTACACCAGGCATGGGCAAACTTGGGCTCTCCAGGTGTTTTGGACTGCAACTCCCACAATTCCTAACAGCCGGTAGGCTGTTAGGAATTGTGGGAGTTGCAGTCCAAAACACCTGGAGAGCCCAAGTTTGCAAATGCCTGATCCACACTGTAGAATTAATGCAGTTTGACACCTCTCTAACTGCCATGGCTCAATGCTAGGGGGGTTGTAGTTTCAACAAGGAGTGTAGCCTAATTGTGCACAAAAGTACAAATGTCTCACCAAACTACAACTCCCAGGATTCCATAGCATTGAGCCAGTGGCAGTTAAAGTGGTGTCAAACTGCATCAGTTCTACAGTGTGGATGCACCCTGGGTTGTTCCAACCCTATAGGTTATCTATCACAGAGTTTACTTATCAAGAGGTGCACAGAAAGGGTTTGCCATTGCCTTCATTTGAGGCTGAGAGAGTGTGACCAAAGTATGTTTCATGACCCAATGAGGATTTGAATCTTGCAGCTACACTGTAGTATTGATTTTATTGCCACTGGCTCAATGCTATGGAACTGTCAGAGTTGTAGTTTTACAAAGTCCTTTGCCATCTCTGCCAAAGCATCAAACTACAGCTCCCCAGATTCCATACTATTGAGCCAAGACACTTTAAAATGGTGTCAACTTTTTTTTTTGTGTGGGAAGCGACTTGAGAAACTGCAAGTCAGTTCTGGTGTGAGAGAATTGGCCGTCTGCAAGGACTTTGCCCAGGGCACTGGATGTTTTACCATCCTATGGGAGGCTTCTCTCATGTCCCCAGATGGGAAGCTGGAGCTGACAAATGGGAGCTTATCCCATTCCCCAGATTTGAACCGCCAACCTTCAGGTCAGCAGTTCAGCCGGCAGAAGGGTTTGACCCATTGCACCACTTGGTGTCAAACTGTATTAATTCTATAGTGTAAGTGCACCTTTAGGATACTAAGTCTGTTGTATTGCAGAGATTTGCTGTTGAATAAACACCCCTTTATGTTGAGAGATTAGAGCCTGATGAAATGAAGACAGGTTTTGCCACACAACGCCTTCTCTCACATCAAGCGATTGTCATGTGCCAGATTCTTCACCTGTTGCCAAGATCTTTGCAGCCAAAGTCCTACTTTTTCTTAAGTCCTCTCAAGACTTACTTAATGATTACCTCTCTCTTTCTGTTTGTCTTTCCTTTAGGCCAGCTTCTGCTTTTAAAGGGGAAGCAATGACAGAAGTAAAGAGAGAGGATTTCGGGGAATGTCCTGACGGCAGAGGGACCGTGGAAAAATTCCTGCTCACGTCAGACGCGGTTAAAGTAGAAATCATCTCTTTAGGCTGCATCATCACCGCCTTGGAAACAAAAGACAGGGATGGCAAGTTTGCAGACATTGTTCTGGGCTTTGATCGCCTAGAAGGTGGGTTTATATTAACTTTTTCAAAAGTATGAAACCCAAAGCCGTAATCTGCTTTCCGTGCTATTTCTAATTTGCTTTTTCACCACTGTATTGTTGATATATTTCAAATTATAGAAGTTTTTGAACTCTTTATCTATAGTGACTGGACTGACCTTGAGGGAGCTGGGGGTGGTAACGGCCGACAGGGAGCTCTGGCGTGGGCTGGTCCATGAGGTCACGAAGAGTCGGAGACGACTGAACGAATGAACAACAACAACAACATCTCATAGGTTTAAACCAGGAATGGACATGTGGCGTATTGTAAAATAAACCATGTGTAGTTCACATTTGATCAGCCCATGCACTGCCTTGCCAGAGAAAGAAAATATGCCATGCAAATGAACAATGAATAACAAGTAGTTTACTCTTTGTAGTTCAGAGCAACAATGTGATCGGTTGTATCAACTCACACAGTGTCCTTTTATGAGAGATTTAAAATGGTCTTTCTTTGTCCATGTAGATAAAATCCTTCAGTTCATGAAGCGAGAACACACTCCAAACTCTGTTTATCTCTGTTTATCTCTCTCTCTCCTTCTCCAAGCACCTGCATAGCTCAAGCCTGAACAAAAATGTAACGGTATCCAAAAGTCCCAGGCTCAGGCTGCACCTCAGGCATAGCCTGACCAATGAGCTTAATACAACTTATTTTACAGTTGACACATGCACACATGCTCTAACAGGGCAAACTTGGGCCCTCCAGGTGTTTTGGACTTATTTATTTATTTTATTTATTTATTGCATTTGTTGACCGCCGTTCTCAGCCCTTTCGGGCGACTCACGGCGGTGTACAACATATAAAAACAGTTTACAATACAACCCTCATACAACACAGTATACACGTAACATCAATAATACAACAATAATTACTCTAAATCATCCGCGTCGTCTCATCGTAAAATCATAAACCAATCTCGTATTCCATATTCCGTTCCAATCATCCAGCCAATTGTTGTAGCAGTTAATTGAACGCCTGCTCGAATAGCCATGTCTTTAAGCTCTTGCGGAATGACATAAGGGAGGGCGCCTGTCTGATGTCCACAGGGAGGGTGCTCCATAGCCGGGGCGCCACCACCGAGAAGGCCCTATCTCTCGTCCCCGCCAAACGTGCCTGTGAGGCAGGCGGGATCGAGAGAAGGGCCTCCCCAGATGATCTCAAGGCCCTCGTGGGCTCATAGGCCGAGATGCGGTCAGAAAGGTATTTTGGGCTCTTGAGGGACTCCAACTCCCACCATTCCTTACAGCAAGGGTCCTCAAACTACGGCCCGTGCACCCCCCCCCCCACACACACACACAGTGCCCCTCCCTTGGCTGGCTCACGCTATCCGTCAGGCCCGATGGGCAGCGTGAGCCAGCCAAGGGCAGCTGCTCCATGTGGCCTACTCACACGTAAAGCACCTCGAAAGGTGCTTTACACGGGAGTAGGCCGTGCAGGGCTACTCCTCCCTTGGCAGGCTCACGCTACCCATCGGGTCCGATGGGTAGCGTGAGCCAGCCAAGGGAGACTGCCCCGGCGCTCCATGCAGTCATGCCGGCCACATGACCTTGGAGGTGTCTACGGACAACGCCGGCTCTTCGACTTAGAAATGCAGATGAGCACCACACCCCAGAGTCAGACACGACTGGACTTCATGTCAGAGGAAAACCTTTAACTAGGAAAATTGTGGAAGAACCAGGGTGGGAGAAAGAACTCTTGTCTGTTGGAGGTAGGTATGAATGTTTCAATTGGCCACCTTGATTACCATTTCATAGCCTGACAGTTTTTAGGGAGAATCCTTTGTTGAGAGGTGATTAGCTGGCCCTGATTGTTTCTTGTCTGGAGTTCCCCTGTGTTTGAGTGTTGTTCTTTATTTACAGTTATAATTTTAGAGTTTTTTAATACTGGTAGCCAGATTTCGTTCAGACTAGAAATAGGAAGATTTCCCATTCTCTGCTCCTGGAATTTCTGCCTAAAGAGGGCAAGAAAGTACCCCCTCTAAGGGCCCTTCCACACAGAAAAATAAGATATGTGCAATGTGCATAGGAATTTTTTTATTGATTTTTTTAAAAAAAACTATAGTCCGGCCCTCCAACGGTCTGAGGGACAGTGAACTGGCCTCCGGTTTAAAAAGTTTGAGGACCCCTGCCTTACAGCATCAAGTCCCTTCCCTTTCCCCCTCAGCCGCTTAAAATTCAAATTCTGCTCAAGCTCTATACTGCCACATAAGCCAGTTTCTGAATTCAGATTATCTACTTTAAACTGGATTATATGAGTCTACACATTGTTTTTAATAGACTTTTTTTACATTTAGTGCTAGCCACCATGCGTTTCTATACTGAGAAAGAGATGACCATGCTAGACATCTGAGGTTTTGCGTTAATCAATTTGGTCTTGAAGTGGGTACTGCTGTGGTTTACACTATGTAACAGAATTTGATTTTTTTCTGTTCCTGGTTTGAAAGTGTTATTTCCTGTTTAATTCTGTGCTACTTAACTTTTAAAGTAGTTGTTCTACTCCAGAAACTTTGTTTTTGTGGCTGCCACAAACTTTGTTGAGACTCAATGAGATACTCATTGAAAAACCATAGCAAAATGTGCTGCAGGATGTCCCTCCTGAAAAAAACAAACATTTTTGTAGTTTAATAAACCTTTCCCATGTTTTTATGATAGGTAAATGTAAAGGTTTCCCCCCACATTAAGTCTAGTTGTGTCCGACTCTGGATGTAGGTGGTCATCTCCATTTCTAAGCCAAAGAGCCGGCGTTGTCGGTAGACACCTCCAAGGTTATGTGGCTGTCATGACTGCATGGAACGCCTTTACCTTCCCACTGGAGCGGTACCTATTGATCTACTTACATTTGCATGTTTTCGAACTACTAGGTTGGCAGAAGCTGGGGCTAACAGCTGGAGCTTACCCTACTCCTTGAATTCGAACTGCCAACCTTTTGGTCAGCAAGTTTAGCAGCTCAGTGGTTTAACCTTCTGTGCCACCGGGGGGGGGGGGGGGCTCCTTTTATGATAGAACCAATTCAAAATGACATTTAAAATGATAATAATAATAAAACACTTTATTTATATTCCTCTTTATCTCCCTGGAGGGACTCAGAGCGGATTACAATATATACACATATGAGGCAAACATTCAATGCCTTTTACACACAGTGAACAACGACACACAACATGGACAAAAGGTAAAGGCCTTTCCCTTTTATAACCTTGAAACAAAAATTGTGTTATATAGTGTTATTGGTCTGCTGTGTCTAAAGGGAAGTAAGATCACCATCAGGGAAGTGGACACATTCTTGTTTCCAATTTGACTTTTTTGCTGTTTTTACCATAAGGCTTGCACGCACACTGGGCTCCGTTATCACTCTGTGTTGTTATTATGAAGCCACAACTTCTTACAAATAATTAACTCTGTTCCCCAAACTGCCGGAGTCCAGTTTGCATGCAAACATATATCCTCATGCAAACATGATAAGGGAAGTTAGCATCAGTAATCTGGTCCCCAATCGTAAGAAATGTCAGAACTAGAACCAGAAACTTCTGCTTCTGTATACTCCTTCTCCGTGTTGTGAAGGCTCAACGCAGTGCAGAACATTACACAATATTGCCCACCGTACTTCTACCTAATGTATGTATGTGTCTTCAAATTCCCTGTCAGTTTATGGTGACCCCATTAATTTTAATGGATTTTCTTTGTCAAGGAATATTTGAATGTGGTTTGCCATTTCTTTCCTTTGAAATACAGCCTATTGCACCTGGCATTTGTTGGTGGATTCCTCTCCGAGGACTAACCACGTCAGACCCTGCTTCACTTCCAAGAGGCTAAAATGGCTAAAATGGTTTTATTTAGGCAGGTCTTAAAGAAGGTTTTAAAGATCAAAGATTTTAAAGATGCTGTGGTTTTAGTTTTGGATAAGTTTTATATGTGGTTTTTTATGTATTTTAATGGCTTATATGCTTAGATTGTTTATATTTTTATGAGATGTGTTTTATTGTTTACCTCTGTGGCATTGAATTTTTGTTGGATTTGTAAGCCACTTTGAGTCCCGTACTGGGTCGAGAAAGGCAGGGTAGAAATGAAGTAAGTAAATAAATAATCAGTTTTATGGATTTTAACTGTTAATTTTTAATTAATACTATTGGTGTTCTATTTTAATATTTGTGTATTTTTGAATTTTAAATTGTATTGAAAAGCTCTTAATGTAAGCCACTTTGAGTTTTCTTTGTTGGAATAATAATAATAATAATAATAATAATAATAATAATAATAATAATGTGTCCGACGTGTGATCCAATACAATAGCCAGCAGAGTGTCTGCTGTGGACTCATCTTGTTGTGATGATGATGATGATGATGATGATGATGATGATGATTATGATAATAATAATAATAATAATAATAATAATAATAATTTATTTATATACCATTCCATCTCCTCGAGGGGACTCAGAGGAGTAATATCACAAATAATAATAATGGAACTCTGAAAAAGGAGATGAAGGGCCTAATTCTGGCAGGCCAAGAACAAGCAATTAGAACAAATGCCATCAAAGCCAGAATTGAAAAGTTGACGAGAGATCCCAAGTGTAGACTTTGCAAGGAAGCCAATGAAACAATAGATCACATCTTCAGCTGCTGCAAGAAGATCACGTAGACAGATTACAAGCAGAGGCACACCGTTGCTCAGATGATTCATTGGAACTTGTGCCACAAATATCATCTGCCTGTGACAAAGAACTGGTGGGATCACAAGCCTGAAAAGTTACGGAAAATTAAACATGTCAAACTACTCTGGGACTTCCAAATACAGTATATATATATTTCAGTTTTGGAGCACAATTCTCCTGACCTCACGATCGTATGGATCGTCAATGTTGCCATCCAGGCGACAGCAGGATTGAAGAGAAACAACTGAAAAAGCTGACATGACATGAGAATTTAAAAATTGAACTGCAAAGGCTCTGGCACAAGCCAGTAAAGGTGGTCCCAGTGGTGATCAGCACACTGGATGCAGTGCCTAAAGACCGTGCCCTGCACTTAAACAGTCGGCACCGACATTCCAGAGCCCTCTCTCTCACCCCCCCCCCCAACCGCTCTTGAGATAGAGGTGGGACCGAGTGGAGGGCCTCCCCAGCACATCTTAGATCCAGTGCTGGTTCATAGAGGGAGATGCGGTCACAAAGATAGGTTGAACCTGAAGCATATGATTGCTTTCCAATTGTAGGATCTTGGCAATGGGTCCGTAGGAGACTGTAGAGACCTATTCTTGATCTGCATAGAATCATAGAATCATAGAGTTGGAAGAGACCTCATGGGCTATCCAGTCCAACCCCCTGCCAAGAAGCAGGAAAATTACATTCAAAGCATCCCTGCCAAAGGCCATCCAGCCTCTGTTTAAAAGCTTCCAAAGAAGGAGCCTCCACCACACTCCGGGGCAGAGAGTTCCACTGCTGAACGGCTCTCATAGTCAGGAAGTTCTTCTTGATGTTATGATGGAATCTCCTCTCTTGTAGTTTGAAGCCATTGTTCCGCGTCCTAGTCTCCAGGGCAGCAGAAAACAAGCTTGCTCCCTCCTCCCTGTGGCTTCCTCTCACATATTTATACATGGCTATCATATCCCCTCTCAGCCTTCTCTTCTTCAGGCTAAACATGCCCAGCTCCTTAAGCCGCTCCTCATAGGGCTTGTTCTCCAGACCCTTTATCATTTTAGTCGCCCTCCTCTGGACACATTCCAACTTGTCAATATCTCTCTTGAATTGTGGTGCCCAGAATTGGACACAATACTCCAGGTGTGGTCTAACCAAAGCGGAATAGAGGGGTAGCATTACTTCCCTGGACCTAGACATTATGCTCCTATTGATGCAGGCCAAAATCCCATTGGCTTTTTTTGCCACCACATCACATTGTTGGCACATGTTTAACTTGTTGTCCACGAGGACTCCAAGATCAGAAGCAGAAAACTTCCACAGTGAGGACATCAGTTTACAGATGGAAGGCGGTCCCGACAAGGTTTAGCTTGACATACCTTCCTCTTGACACATTTCTCCCTCCATTTGCACCTCTTTGAATTCTACAGAATTGCTCGTAACAGCTGAACTCCAGTTAGAACACTCGAGGGCAAGAGCTTCCCAGTTTTCGGTGTCTATGCCAGAATTTTTAAGATTAGGTTGACAAAAGGGGAAAGTAGTAAGGATGAGCATTCAACAAATGCTGCCTCTTTTCTCTCTTAGAGGCAGTCGGGATGACCTAGGCATGTTGGACCTCGGTGTGGTCTTCTCTTCCTCCAAGGCCAGGGCAGTGGTAGTTGGGATGGAGAGAGAATCTTTCATATCCTTCTGCTCCTAGTCATGATAGAGCTGATCCTACTCTTCTTCTGTCCCGCCAAGTCTAGGGCAATGACAGTTGGGATTGAGGGAGGACTTCAAATCTGTTAGTAGGTCTGAGCATGATTAAGTACTGCTTTCTTCTTCTTCTCTTCTTCTAAGGCCAGGGCAGTGGCAGTCAAGGAGAGAGCCTGTTTCATCTGCATCTGGACTTAGGCAAGATAGCGCTGTGACTTCCTACTGTCCCTTCATGGTCAGGGCAGTGGCAGCTGGGATGGAGGGGACAATTTCCCCTGCTTCTGGGCCTGGGTGTGAAGGATCTGTGCCTGCCTGTTCTTCTCTTTCTCAATCAGTGGCAGCTGGAATGGAGAGTGGTCCTTTTTATAGCTCTGGGCCAGACATGGTGGATTTCGGATCTGTGGGTATGAATTCCAGTGTTGTATGAGAGCCACATGCAAGATAAGGCAGAGTTATCATACTTACTACATGTTGAGGATTCCTTACTTGAAATGCTTGGGGTCAGAAGTGTTTTGGATATCAGGCTTTGCATTTTTTCTTTTCGCACTTTAGAATACCTGCATATATGTACATATTTTGCATATATATATATATATTTCAGATGGAACCCAACTCTAAACATGAAATTAATTGTGTTTCATGTATACTTTATACACATTACCTGGAGGTAATTTTATAGACAATCATGTTGTTTACGTTGAACCATCAGAAAACACATGTGGACAATTTGAATATAATAATAATAACAACAACAACAACAACACAATATGCTTTAAAGATCGAATTGCAAAGACTCTGTCACTGTCCCAGTGGTGATCGGCATACTGAGTGCAGTACCTAAAGACCTTGGCCTGCATTTAAACACAACCGGTGCTGACAAAATTACCATCTGTCAGCTGCAAAAGGCCACCCTACTTGGATCTGCACAAATTATTTGCCGATACATCACACAGTCCTAGACACTTGGGAAGTGTCCGACATGTGATCCAATACAACTGCCAGCAGAGTGACCTTGTTTTCTGTGTACTAATCTTTTTGGGTTTCAAAGAATAATAATAACTTTAATAATAATATTGGATTATTTTGGATTTCAGAATTCTACATAAAGGTGTCTCATCCTGTCTTTCCTAAATTAAGAAAATAGCAATTAAGTTTAAAATATACATACTGTATCTTTCTAGATGTTGTAAATTATGGTCCTGAGATGTATTAACACATCTTAGAGATCAGATCAGCATCATCGTTAAGAATATGTGAAGGAGTGTTGTGGCAGCAACTTTATTGAAATCAGTGGATTAAATCAGGCTTTTCCCTTGCTGGTTTAATCTGAATTTAAATCACCATTCTAAATAGCTTTGATTTGATCATTCTACTTTGTTTTTAAAAGTAATTAACTGGCAATGTATTCTCTCTGGCTGGTGTTGGATGCTGTTTTCAGGCTACATCCAAAAGAACCCCTATTTTGGAGCTGTCGTTGGACGAGTTGCTAATAGAATTGCCAAAGGAAAGTTTGTGGTTGAAGGACGGGAATACCATTTGGCGCTCAACAATGGACCCAACAGTCTGCATGGAGGTATAAAAGGCTTTGACAAGGTAAATATGCTAGTGTTCAATAATGTCACTATTTATTTCCGTCAGTAGATATGTCTTGGTTGTTTATTTTTCTGTGTGTCTGGTAGCATATTCAAGCAAGATCTGTCTTCATTGATGTCAGATCTTCATGAGATCTGATGCACTGGATATAACCAGCTGTACAACAAAGCAAATAAATGCATGACGGGTAAAATGATCTCTCTACATATGATTCAGAGCAAGTGGTTTTCTACTCCCACCTCGATGTTTTGGTCTTCAGTTTCATTTTGGCTGGAGTTCCTCTAATTAAAGTCTAAAGCATCAGTTGAAAACCACTGATCAAAAACCTTGTTATATCTAAATTCCCAGGACATCATAGAATCGTAGAGTTGGAAGAGACCGCATGGGCTATCCAGTCCAAACCCCTGACAAGAAGCAGGAAAATCACATTCAAAGCAGCCCCAACAGATAGCTATCCAGTCTCTGTTTCAAAGCCTACAAAGAAGGAGCCTCCACCACACTCCAGGGCAGAGAGTTCCACTGCTGAACTGCTTTCACAGTCAGAAAGGTCTTCCTCATATTCAGGTGGAATCTGCTTTCTTTCCTGTAGTTTGAAGCCACTGTTCTGCATCCTAGTCTCCAGGGCAGCAGAAAACAAACCTGCTCCCTCTTCCCTATGACTTAGAATCATAGAATCAAAGAGTTGGAAGAGATCTCATGGGCCATCCATTCCAACCCCCTGCCAAGAAGCAGGAATATTGCATTCAAATCACCCCTGACAGATGGCCATCCAGCCTCTGTATAAAGCTTCCAAAGAAGGAGCCTCCACCACATTTCGGAGCAGAGAGTTCCACTGCTGAACGGCTCTCACAGTCAGGAAGTTCTTCCCCTCACATATTTATACTTGGCTATCATGTCTCCTCTCAGCCTTCTCTTCTTCAGGCTAAGCATGCCCAGCTCTTTCAACCGCTCCCCATAGGGCTTCTCCAGACCCTTGATCATTTAGTCGCCCTCTTCTGGACACATTCCAGCTTGTCAATATCTCCCTTAAATTGCAGTGCCCAGAATTGGACACATCATGATATTCAGAACTTATTTACATATGTTTAGATAAAATATTATTATATGGTCTGAATGATAAAAATTCAGGTGAATATATACACACATACAACATCCCAATGGAATGGACCCACTCCCTGTAATGAAATATGTTAAGCTTCATTTCTTTGTGAAGCCTTTGAAGGATGATCTTTTTGCCCATGTTGAAGGACAGTTGGGATAATAGAGGATAGAAAAGGCATTCCCAAAATATTCTGACAATTTGTAGCATGTTTTATTGTAGCAATAGAACAAAACTAGTATTTTTTTCCGTATTAAATGTATTTGTACAGAAAGATGATAATTATTTTAGAGAATTTCACTGGTGGGACAACTTGAGGCTTCGAAATATATCTTCTGAAGGTTTCCTGCCTAATGAAGATCACTTTGATGGGAGACGCTAGTTTGGGCTTGAGCTGCACTGAAAGCTAAGCATCAGAAGGAGCTGTTTCTAAACCAAATGGCCATATTGTCTTTTTCTATAAATATAACTGGCTGATATGACTGTGTGCATGCATGCGTACTTACTGCAGCATAATTAGCTTCTGGTAATTTTGTTGTTTTTGGGAACAAGTCTGCCCCCTTCCTTCCATTTTGATTATTATTCTTTTTTGCTCTGTTAATTTTAGTTCTAATCATATTTGTCATATATTTCTACTTTAGCCAATGAGGAGAATTCCATCCCAGTTCATAAATGTTTGTTAATTATGTTGCAGGCTGTCTGGACCCCAGAAGTGCTTCCAGAAGGTGTAAGGTTTTTCAGAATAAGTCCTGATGGTGAAGAGGGATACCCAGGCGAACTGAAAGTGTGGGTGACATATACGCTGAAGAATGCTGAACTAACAATACATTATAGAGCTCAAAGCAGTAAGACCACACCAGTCAATCTGACCAACCATTCATACTTCAATCTTGCAGGTCAGGTATGCATCAGATAGAGTTCTCAAGTAAAGAGTTATAAAGAAACATAGGTACCTCTAACAAATTACAATGTAAATGAAAGTGTGTCAGTGAGAGACCATGGTTAACTGCCCGGTGTGTTCGTCTGAGAGGAGAGGATGGGGCCGGAGGTTTTTGAAGCCCTGGTTGCTCTTTTCAAGGCTGGATTGGCAGGAGTGCTGCATCGTTCCACAGGATCCCTGGTCGTGATTTGCGTGGATCCTTTTTGCCTGGTTTGTTGTGGCTACAGGGTTGTCACAGGGTCTGTTGAATTTGGCAACACTGCAGGAGGCAGGAAGCAGTTTGCTATTTTTGAACTAGGCCTTTTTCTCCTTGCTCCCTCTCCTTCCCTGTCCTAGTGGATAATGGGGTTCTAATCAACATGCCTTTGCCTCTCAGGCATTTAACTTACAATTTCTTCCAGTGGGGATTTTGGCAAGAATTTCCCAGTAGAGCGTACTGTGTCTACAAATGTCACTCTCACCTTCTGGAACAATTCCATCAGTATTGCTTTCAAAAAATTTTGTAAATCTCTTGGGAAGATGGGCAGATAAATCTCTTGGGAAGATGGGTAGTAAAGACCACCAGCATTGAAGTGATGATCTTCCGCCATCAACTTCGTTGAACTCGTCACATTGTCTGAATGCCCAACCACCGTTTCACAAAGCAGTAGACAGCAAAAGAGATTTAAAGATGGGTTTAAAGCTAACCTTTAAAAATGTGGAATAAACACAGAGAATTGGGAAGCCCTGGCTCTTGTGTGTTGAAACTGGAGGCCAGCTGTTATCATGACGATATGGATTTTGAAGAGGCATTAATAGTGAGAAACATGCCAAGAGGAAGATGTGTCAAACAAACCCTGGTTGTGTCCATCTTCTATCTGGAAATCTGTCTTTATTGTGAAACACCCTGCAGATCCAGAATAGATCTCTAGTCACTTATGAGTCCACAATCATACTCGACCATGAGGTGGAATTGACTATGATGATGACTGCAGGGCTGGGAAATGTCAGGCCCACGGGCCATATAAGGCTAATGAAATCATTTCATCTGGTCCAGTGCAGAGGATGCCTGCCCCAGTCCGCCCACTTAACCCAGCTCATGTTGCTCCTCTGAGCTGCCATGCTGATTCTTCTGAGGGTTGGGTACAGCTTACTACTCAGACCCAAACCTCTTCCGGGTTCCTCTCCTTGCGCAGGCACGTTCTGCTTCTTTTGTTAGTTTTTGCTAGCTGAGCTGATAAACTTGTGCACACTCAGGCAGCTGTCTGTGCCACACAGCCTTTGGAAACTTTCACTTGATTTTAATATATAATTTTAATCATATATGATTGAAAAAGGAATCCTTAGATTGCACAGAGTCCAAGCCATTTGATCTTCAAAAGGACATCCCGAGTTGAGCTTTGGAAGAAGCTATTACACTTTATACAGATGCCTCTTTTGAAAATCATTAAGTGAACCGAACTGTAGCTTCTCAGCTGCTTGTGTGCAGTGGCATCTGAGGAATATGCGGGTGCCCTTTCTAGCCTTTCAACTCACTGCTGGGTTTCATAATTTCATTGAGTCACAAGGTGGAAATGGTGTATTCTATTTATTTATTTTATTTACAGCATTTATATTCTGCCCTTCTCACCCCGAAGGGGACTCAGGGTGGATCACAGAACAAACATTCAGTGTCTTTAAACAGACAGGACAGATGTATTATGTCGGCATTTCCCCCAACTTTGGTGTCCTGGAGGTTGTGCTTGATTCCAGCTACAGGGGTGCTGTCACTCCATCCTCTATGACAAAGAGTCCTAGATCACAGACATCCTCTCCTTGATCGCAGGCATTTTCTGATATTTCTTTTATGGTGCCGTAAAATACCTCCCCACTGAGGCTGTGCCTTATTTCTCTACTCATAGCTGATTTTGGACTGCTTAAGTAGACAGTAAACTGGGCTGAAAGTCAGGTGTTCACCCTGACCCGGACATCAAACTGCCAACCTTTCAATCAGCAAGATCTATTGCTGCTGGTGATTAACAAGCTGTGCTAAAGTCCATCCCTACAGATATACACCAGGGCTCTTGGTGTGTCTCCTAGACTCCAGTGGTCCTCTCTATAAGGAAACAAATGGGGAACCCTAAGAATAACCAATCATGTTACAGTACTCTTCATCCCACCTCTGTTGGGCCTGTATTTTTTCAAAAACTAGCGAAGACCTTCTAGTCACTTTCTTTCGTGGCCTGCCAAGGTTTGGTTTATGTTTACACTGTTCTAGCCCCATGTTCCTGTTCTAGATCCACCCCTGTTCTAGATCCACTCTAGACAATCTAAATTGGTTTTGAGTTTGAAACGTCTTTGCCTTGATTCACTGCTGAATTTGGCATCATAATAATAATAATAATAATAATAATAATAATAATAACAACAACCTTCCTTTGTCTGCTGTTACATTTCTTTTTTTATACCTTTCAGGGGTCACCAAGTATCTATGACCATGAATTTACCATAGATGCAGATTCTTACCTGCCAGTGGATGAAACTCAGATCCCCACAGGTTGGTTCCTTGAAGGACACTTCATGATCTGGAGAACTAGAGGTTTATCTTAACAAGCTTTTGTGAACAGTAGAAAAATAGACTCAGCATAGGATGCTTATCCTGGGTTGAGATATTATTTGGTCAGATTGAATCTGTAATATTGGAATAATATTGCCAGCAAAACACAGGATAACCTCTGAAGTTTTGTAAAGCAATTGCACCAAATTTATGCTATTTGAAAAACAATGCAACAAGACTAACATCACACTGAGTAAAGGCAATACGTTCCTTTTTAAAGGTCACTTTCCAAAGTCTGTACTGATGCCAGTGTGAAGTAAATTTAAAATCTGGCAGTAAACTTACTCTTTATGCAGAATCCCAAAGATGAACAGCTATATTATGGCATGAGTATTCGGAAATGAGAGGTTGCTTACCTGTAACCGTAGTTTCCCTAGTGATGTGCTGTGAATTCGCACTAATGGTACTTCTGCGCATGCGCAGCATCGCTCCGGAATCTTCAGTTAGGATTTAAAAAGAATCGGCGGTTGGCCCCGCGCACACTCCCCAGTACATTATAAATAGACCGCGGCTGGTCAACCGCCTCCAGATCTCTTCCGCCGCTAAAGCAGCTAGAAGGAGGAGGCATGACAAACTGCGGGGAGGATGGGCGGGGCCGTGCGAATTCACAGCACATCACTAGGGAAACTACGGTTACAGGTAAGCAACCTCTCATTTTCCCTACGTGAGTGTGCTGTGAATGCGCACTAATGGTAAAAGACTAGCGAGCTACCCACCTTGGACGGCGGGAGTCATGCCACCGCAGAAAAAAGCACCGCTCGACCAAAAGCCGCATCTTTCTTGGCCTTCAGATCCAGCTTATAGTGCGACACAAACGTCAGTGGAGTAGACCAGGTGGCAGCCCGGCAAATGGCATCCAATGGCACACCCTTCCAGAACGCAGCCGTAGCAGACACCGCTCTCGTAGAGTGCCCTTTTACACCAACAGGAAGCTCACGTCCCAAATTCTTGTAGGCCAACTTGATCACAGAGACTATCCAGGATGACAGGCGTTGCGACGAAACAGGGAGACCGCAGGTATCTTTTCTGTATTTAACAAATAGCCTTGGCGTCTTCCTTAACTCTTTAGTTCTACTGAGGTAGAAGGCCACTGCCCTTCGTACGTCCAACAAATGAAGACTACGTTCCATGGGGGAAGTAGGAGCCTGAAAAAAGGCTGGCAAAACAATCTCTTGAGACATGTGGAAAGAAGACGTCACCTTGGGAAGAAAGGAAATGTCCGTGCGGAGCACAACCTTATCTTTGTGGAACCGGAGGTAAGGCTCATCTGATCTAAGCGCGCAGATCTCACTAACACGCCTGGCAGATGTTATTGCTACTAAGAAAGAGGTTTTCCATGAGAGATGCGAAATATCGCACGAGGCCATGGGTTCATATGGAGGGCCTTGAAGAGATGAAAGCACCACCTCCAGGCTCCACGAAGGAATAACAGGAATGACTGCTGGCTTAACATTACCAAACCCCTTAAGGAAGAGCTTGACCAAATACTCCGAAAAGAGGGAGGGCAACCCCTCCTTCCTCCTATACCACGATATGGCCGCCAGGTAACATTTCAGGGATGATAACGATAAACCCGAGTCAGACAGCGAAACTAAAAAATCCAAAATCACCGAAATCGGGGCATTTACTGGGTCAAGGTTCCTCTCCTTCATAAACCGGGAATAACGCGCCCATTTATATACATATGAACGTTTTGTTGATGGTTTCTGTGCTGCGTCCAGAATAGCCTTAACTGGGGCAGACAAGGGCACAGAAGATCCTAACTGTCTGGAGCAATCCTCCAGGCAGTCAGTCTCAACATATGGACATCCGGGTAAAGAACCTGCCCGTTTTGTGATGTTAGGAGATCTATTTTGTTTGGAAATCGTCTGTACCTCCCCTTGGACATCTCGAGAAGAACCGAGAACCATGGCTGGCGAGGCCACCACGGCGACACTAGAATACAGTCCCCGATGTCCCTCCGAATCTTTGAAAGAACTTTCGGGAGCAGTGGGAACGGAGGAAACACATATAGAAATTCGGTGTTCCATTTGCGTAGAAACGCATCCCCTAGGCAACCCTGTTCCAGATCCGCCCTCCTGCGGGCACAATAAAGGGGACACTTTGCGTTTTCCTGTGACGCAAACAAATCTATCGTTGGAAAACCCCAGATCTTGAAGATCGTATTGAGTTCCTTGCGATTGATAGACCACTCGTGATTGGACATGGGGGATCTGCTTAAGTTGTCTGCTAGTATGTTCTCCTCCCCTGGGAGGTGAACAGCCACTAGATGAATCTCTCTGGCTATGCACCACTTCCAGATGCGCATAGTCAGACTCGACAGGACCTGTGACCTCGTTCCCCCTTGCTTGTTTATGTAATACATTGACGTTGTGTTGTCCGTCACCACCTGAACTACCTTGCCTAACAACGCCATCTCGAAGGATTTTAGCGCCTTTTCTACGGCGAATAACTCCAGAACATTTATGTGATACACTGACTCCTCTGGAGTCCATACACCCTGGGCAGTTAAACCCTCGAAATGTGCACCCCAGCCCTTTAAAGAGGAATCCGTCGTGACCACAGCGGACGGATCCGGACTCTGAAAAGGCAAACCCACAGTTACATTGTCCGGCTCCGTCCACCACAAAAGAGCGCGCCGTACTTTTTTTGGAATGTGAAACCGCACATGGGGGTTGTCCAAACCAGGGCGAAATACAGACAGGAACCAATTCTGGATGGGCCTTAAACGTAGCCGGGCATAAGGTGTGACGGCAGTCGTAGATGCCATGTGCCCTAACAGAATTTGGATTTTCTTTGCAGACACCTTCCTTGAACTTAGAGTACGCGCAATCAGGGACTTGAGGGACGTAAATCAGTCCTCCGGCAGAAACGCCTTTTGATGGACTGAATCCAAGACCGCTCCAATAAACTGGATCTTGCGAACAGGCAGTAGGTGAGATTTCTCCCTGTTTACCATGAGACCTAAAGACTGGAGGAGAGAGAGTGTTAGGTCTATATGCACATGCAAGCGTTCTCGCGATTCCGCCACCAAAAGCCAGTCGTCTATGTACGGGTAAACCGTAACGCCCCTAGTTCTAAGGTAAGCAGCAATCACTGCCATGCATTTTGTAAAAACTCTGGGAGCCGTCTTAAGGCTGAAAGGTAAAACATTAAATCTGTAAGCTGTGTCTCCAACCATAAAGGTGAGATACTTCCTATGATGTTCAGCCATGGAAATATGAAAATATGCGTCCTTTAAGTCTATGGTTGCAAACCAATTATCTTTATTTAGAAGAGGAAGGATCATAGAGAGAGAAACCATTCAAAATTTCTTTGTATCAATGTACATGTTCACTCCTCTTAAGTCTAAAATAGGACGCAAACCACCTCCTCGCTTAGTTACTAAAAAATAACGAGAAAAGAAACATTCATTAAACATAGAACTATCAATACGAGAAATTGCTCCTTTCGCTAGGAGAGTTTCAACTTCTTCCAGCAATGCTGGAGACTCTGGAGTAACTTTCAAATATCCCAACGGGGGTAATGAAGTAAACTCTATTGAATAACCCTCCTCAATTATCTGGAGGACCCACCTATCAGTGGTAATTGCAGCCCAGGCCTGGGCAAAAGGTCGAAGCCTATCCTTGAACCAAATTTAGGAAATTCAGACACACTATCCTGGGGACAGCGGATATCAGAAACACAGAGTCCATCAAAGACGACGCCTCGTACTACCTGCGGCCTTAGCCTTAGTTTGGTATGGTTGATACCTGGACTTTGCATTGTAATTTTGTTTCCGGCCAAATTGGAATCTCGATGAAGCGTTCCGATTGCCCTGATTCGGATTAAACCCACTAAAACTCGCTCTACGATAAGAGGGTGGAGTTTGCTGCCAGCGATGTTTTTGAAAGTTACCTGGCTGCCATGGGTATGGGTATTGATTAGGATATTTTGCTGTTTGCATAACTTCACGTGAGTGTTTAATCTTTTCATCCGTTGTTGGATCAAAAAGACCTTCCTCAGTCATAGGAAGGTCTTCCGCCAACAAACGGCTCTCTTCGGACAGCGTTGAAGCACGAAGCCACGCATGACGCCGTATGGCCGTGGCAGAGGCAAGGAGCTTGCCCGATGTCTCAGCCATATGTTTGGCGAAGTCTTTCTGCAATCTAGAAAGAATAAGAGCCTCAGCCTGATATGCCCTGGGAAGACGACGGTCTTCAGCCGGTAGGCGATTGATATAGGGCAATATATTGTTCCAGAGAAAACTCTGGTATCCGCTGAAATAAGTGGCATAATGCGCCATCCTGGCGAACAATCCTGCAGCAACATGTATTTTCTTCCCAAGGGAGTCAATCTTTTTTCCCTCCTTATCTGGTGGTGTTATCTAATACTTCTTAGGTCTTTTTGACCTTGCTGCCTCTGCCACCACCGTATTCGGTAATGTAGGATGGGCAATCCAGCCCGCTAATGACAAATCAATTTTGTAAAGAAGATCGACCCTCCTAGGAACTGCAGGAGCAGCCGACGGGGAAACATCAGGAACTTTAGTTAACTTTAACAAATATGGAAGAGTCGGGAGTAACAAGGACGAAGAACTGTCCTGCTCCTCGGAAGGGTACATGGGATCATCCACTGTGGAGGTTGGTTTTGGGGCCGGAATGCTCAAAGCAGTTATCATCCTGCCAATCAGCTGAGCAAACGCGTTATAGTCCTCTACACGCTTTGCACTTGTGGTCTGATCCTTCTCTGCATTGGGGGAGTCAACTACTTCCACCGAAGAATCCGATTCGCCATCATCAAGTGGAGGCTGGTCTTCAGAAATTGATGGCAGTGGAGTATGTCTCTGATCACAGAAGGCCCCCTGATGACTACGCCGGACAGGGAAAACTTCTCGTCTTTGCAGCTGTTTGTCCGTCTGTTTTCTAGATCTGTAGTCTATAGTATCATAATTAGAATGGTAAGTGTCCCCAAGATGTTGGGCAATTGGCGGGCCACAATAAATAAAACGCCCCTGGGGAGTTATCTCATACACTCCCGGGTGAGGAAGGGGGCGTCCACTGTCAATTTGATCCTCCCAATGAGCTCTGGAGGTCGATTTTGCCCTCCGTGTGCGCACACGCCTGCGCACCCTTGCAGAGCATGAAGAGTCAGAACAAGAAGTGGAGGAAGGAGAGGAGGAGGAGTCACTGGAGCTGGAGTCTCGTCGTCCCCTCTTGCGCTTATGAGTGCGCGAAGGAGCGCGCGCACGGCACCGAGGCAGGGTCCCCGATGTCGAAGCGGCAACAGGCATTCCCGATGTCGAGGGAAGCGTTGCCATGGGTGCCCGTCCTGGCTCCTCCCCAGAGTTCGCCTCTTGGGCTGTAGGAGGAGCCGGCGCCGAGAGCGTAGGCATAGGAGGCGTCAGGGTCTCCTCCTGCGCACGCGCGGGGCGTGCTCCAGCCGGCCTCAGCTCTCTTTCGGTTTCAATTTCCTCCCTTGCTCGCACGGGGCGAGCGGAGGTCGATGCTGGCTCCAGATTTGCTTTGGAGCCACGTGGAGGGGTCTCGTTTCCCTTCTCAAAGGGAGAGAGCATTTTCGAAGCCACGGCCTCGGTTCCTACTTTTTTTGGGAACTTAGCTGCGGCCGTCTTGCCCTGAAGAGCCTTGGATTTTTTGATCTTCTTCGTCGATCCCGATTGGACCGCCATTTCAGGTAAGGTTTGTTCTTTTTGGTTAGTATTTGGATGTAGATCAGGGAGAAGCGCCCGTTCATAAAGGGCGGCCTTTAAACGGATCTCCCTGTTTTTTCTTGTTTTAGGGGTGAAGGACTGACAGATGGCACAAGCTTGTGTTAAATGTCCTTCACCGAGACATGCTATGCATAAGGAGTGTGCATCATTATCCGGAAAGTTGCCCTGGCAGGCAGAGCAACGTTTAAAACTTTTTGTATTAGACATCTCCGCTATTTAGCAGAGACAAACAACAATAAAATAACAATAAAATAACAATAAAATAATCGAACTGAGATAGAAAAGATCCGAGCTTGCTGGCTTTAGCGCGGATGAAGAGATCTGGAGGCGGTTGACCAGCCGCGGTCTATTTATAATGTACTGGGGAGTGTGCGCGGGGCCAACCGCCGATTCTTTTTAAATCCTAACTGAAGATTCCGGAGCGATGCTGCGCATGCGCAGAAGTACCATTAGTGCGTATTCACAGCACACTCACGTAGGGAAAATTATGTTAGTTGCATTGAGCCAATATAAACAAATATTTTATATTATCTTTTAGTAATATAACAGCGTTTTAAGGGACATTATGAGGTTCCTGTTTCCCTAAGTGTCCAGCAGACTTTCCCTTTTAAAAGTAGATGCAATTAACATTTGTTTCTCTTGATTCTAAGTTGGCAACTCCTGAACCATATATTTATTGATTGATTAATGCTGACAATACTTAGGTAGCCATTTCTCACTGTTGTGTTCTGATCTTTTCATCAGGAGAAGTTGCTTCTGTGGAGGGCACAGCCTTTGATCTGAGAAAACCCGTGGAGCTTGGGAGACATTTGCAGAAGTTTCACCTCAGTGGGTTTGACCACAATTTTTGTCTGAAACAGGCGAAAGAGCCTCGCTTCTGTGCAAGGTAAAAATGGGAATGGTGGGTGATGGTTTCTCCAGCTTAGTCTGATTTTTGTAATGAGCTATCCGTTGTTTAAAGCTAAACCCAAAATAGATTCAGCACCTTGGATACTTTAAAGCTTCACCAACAACTAGAATCCACCAGCAGCCAAAGTATGATAACTTTGTTTTCTTCATATGCTCAATCTGAATCAGCCCAAGTCCTTTTGTTTCATTTTATTTATACCACTGCTCATAAATACATCATTGTGACTTACAATATCAGAAAACAATAATTAAAATGAGGAATATTTGCCATTAGACAGAAAAAGGAGCATAATAATAAATAAAACTTTATTTATGTCCTGCCCTATCTCCCCGAGGGTATTCATAATAAGATTTCCAAAGTCCAAATGGAATAATTTTACTTCTGCAGAAATCTGGCTGGGATGAGATAGTATAAATCTCCCTTACAGCTCAGCAAATATGTATAGGATTGCACCACCAAAGGCTAATGTAGTTAAGGGGGTATGAATTGATTTTATTTCCTGTTACCAATTACTCAGTCATCCTTTCAAGAGCAGAATGCAGTCACCTTTTACTAATATAACAGGATAATACGTTCAAAAGAACAACTTTTTTTAAAAGTCAGCCTGCAATGTTGAGTTTTTATTAACAGTAGCTTTCTTTTCAGAGCTTACCATCCCTCTAGTGGCAGGATGATAGAGGTTTACACAACTCAGCCTGGCATTCAGTTTTACACTGGAAATTTCTTAGATGGCAAGTTAAAGGGCAAAGGAGGCCATGTGTATCCTAAGCATTCTGGCTTTTGTCTTGAAACTCAGAATTGGCCAGATGCAGTGAACCAGGTATGTTGTTATTTTGATTTTAAACCAGCACAGGGCCACATACAATATTTGGTCATGTCTTATCTTGGGGCTCAAGTCATTACTGAAATCCTTTCAGTACTTTACCTTGAATAAACTGAATTTTGAGTACGGGGAAATGAGATTACGGCTTTATCTAAAAATTGGTATGTGCTTCTTATGTCTCTTCCATTTCAACCTTGAAGCACACTGCCTTGGTGTTTGATAGACCAATTCTCAGTAGCATGCTATTTTTATATGTAGGATTTTTAAAAGATGTGTTTTTTCTATTTTACAGGCTCATTTCCCAAATGTTTTGCTGCACCCAGGAGAGGAATATAGCACCACAACTTCCTTCAAGTTTTCTGCTTAAAAGAAGTGCAGCGAAAATTGTGTGATTTGCAAGAAGTGATCGAATGACTCCAGTTGTTCACTGTATGGTCAAATGCCTTGATCCTTTCACTGCTTTGATTCTACCCGACTGTTAATGGAAATGATGATCCTCTGTAATTGCGCATTGCCTTTTAAATAATGTAAATTATCTTGAGAGGTCTTTAAGTGGAAAGGCATGGTAGAAGTGTAACATTCAAGCTCATTTTAAGGGGGTTAGTCCTGTTCTCCAAAATTTGTATGCAATTCTGTAGACATAAATACAGGTAGCAATGAATTGCTCATTTACAATTTAACATCAGCGATGAACCTAAGTAAGTTAGTTAGAATTGCTCCTCTGCAATGTGAGTATTAGGTTAAACACTAAATACCCTAAAAGCACCAGATCCCATCTTGGAACCTTAGCAGGATAAGTCCTGATTATTACTTGATGGAAGAGTGCCAGTGAATACCAGGTGCTAAAGGTCTTATTTTGGACGAAGAAACTGGCAAGGCCATGCTAGTATTTCTTACCCAAGAAAACAGTATGAAATTCATGGGACCACAATGCCAACATGAAAACCCGTGCACAAATAGTTGAATACCTGAATAGTGCACCAACATGCTACTATCATAGTAAATGTATCCCTGTCCAATACTCGTCAGACACTAGGTAGCATGCCAGATGCAAAAGGGGTCAAAGCTGAACATAGGAAGCCCCACCGGGTTTCACATGAGATGTGTCCCAGCTCTAGACTGACATTGTGCACTGTACAGCAGCTGTTTTTCCTCAGCTGTGTATAAGTTATTTCAATTGGGGCAATTTCCACAAATGGTAGCAGGTAAGGTTTTACAGCACAATGCAACACTGGAGAGCTTGAGTTCCAGCCTATTTCTTGTGGGTGTGTTCCCAGTCATCACTGAATTTCAGTATTTTAAATTAGCTCTGCACATTCTGATGTTCTTGTGAGCTGTCCCTGCAGTGTTTTTTTTTTTTGTGTTACAGATTGAATCTCAGGAAAATAAACCCGCCATTTAGGCTTAACTGTTAAAGGTTCTAGCAAGCGAATACCTCACCTTCGAGTGAAAATATTTAGGACAAGATCATAAACGTAAGTTTATATCTTCACCTTTTTTGGTGTTCAACATTAGCTAGAGCAGTGGTTCTCAACCTATGGGTCCCCAGATGTTTTGGCCTACAACTCCCAGAAATCCCAGCCAGTTTACCAGCTGTTAGGATTTCTGGGAGTTGGAGGGCAAAACATCTGGGGACCCACAGGTTGAGAACCACTGAGCTAGAGCTATTTGTCACAGGCAGGGAGACAAGGTTGCACTAAGCAACATTTCCCTAGCTGTTGCTGCATCCCAGTGGGGACCTTGTGGAAGGAGATACTGGACACTTCCTGCAAGATTTAAAGATGCAGGTACCTATATTGAAGGTAGGAGCACAGTTCCAGTTCAAGCAGATTCTGGCAATAGTGCTGAAACTGTGTCTGCCCTGTTTCTTGTTAACTATACTTCCAAGTTAGAGCACTGATACTGTGTTAGCTGCACTGCTTGCCTGTTTCTTTTTAGGTGCATGCTATTACTTGTCATTTTTAAAATGGGTGCTTCGCATTCGAAGGACCTACTTCATGTCCATGGCCAAATGTTCACAAAGAGCAGGGCTTTTTATGAAGTGTTGAAACTAAATCTGTGTTCTCAATTTTTGTTATTTCTTAAGACTCTTGCGATGCTACTTAGATTCCCTCTAGGAAACTCTGAAAGCTTAACTATTTAAGCTTCTACTTGTTTTCAACAGATTGGAGTCAAAACATTAGTATTTTTAAATTTTTTGTAAGATTTACTTGAAGACTAAAGTCTACTACTTCCCCGAAATGAATATGGAGGCTATATTTCTGTAGCTGTGCATGCAAGAGACATGTAGGAAAAAGAATGTACATACCCTACCACCTAATATTATTTACAGCATGTCGGACTAGTATCATGGGAAAGGTAAAAACAAAGCCACCTACTAATAGAGAAATTGTATTTGTTTCAAAGTAGCTTTATAGACGCATTTCAGGACTTTTCTCCACTAGAGCATTATTCTCACTCCAGACCATAAATTCTATTATGTGGTGGTCACACTTCATAATTCATATAGCATTAAAGGGACCATTAATTACAGGACAGTTCAACCAGGTATTTTACTGGAGCTCCTGAAGTCACTGTTAAGCTGGAACAGAACACCCCAAGATCCTCCTTCCCTGGGCATTATCCCCAAATTTCCATCCTTGGTGAAGATCACACCAAGAGCAGTTTCTAATCAAAATTAATACAAAGTCATCTAGCATATATTTTGCTCTGGCCTTAAAAACTGACACAGCCTATCCCCCTCTGCCCAAATTCTAATTGCCAACTGTGAAAGTGAGTAAGCAACCTACTTGATTAGAAAATGGAAAGCATTTTTATTTATCCGAAACAGCATAATCATTCAGTATCATAAATATATCCATATCAAGGTATTTTAAAGCAAGAACTGTTTTCAGGGATATTAAAATGACTGTTCTCAGCCCTTTACCCGCAGGAGTCTATCCATTTTTACGTAGATAGCAAGATCTAATTGTCAGACTTCAGTGATTGTAACATTTAGCAGTAAATTTGATTAGAAGCGTCTACAAAATTGACGGCAGACCATGGGATTTCCACATGAGACATGATAAAAGGCAACTGCTTCACATCAGCTTTCAACATCTTCCCACTCTCAAAAGAATAAATTCTTCACATTCGTTATTCTGCAAACTTAGGTAACAGAAGTTGTTGACCACTATCTATTTAAGAAAGGAAACCTTTTACGATCCTTAGCAACAAGAATTACCAGTACACCTGGGTGTGCATATGGCTTGTACAGTGTATAGGAAGGCCCGCTGATATCTTTTGTAAAAGCAGTTCTTAAAAATAAGTTTTTAATAGCTGCTTTTTTTCTTCTCAGCTAGGGGCAAGAAACCTGCTCAAAGGAAATTTTAGCCCAAGATTAAGATTATGAGGCTACCACATTGCATGCTTGTTAAGTACTAAAAAGGAAAAGTAACCCCCAGATAAAATCTCTCTCAGGTCCAACAACTGGGGTTTGACTCATCTGCCTGTTTTTTTTCTATCCACCAGGGAGGAAAAGACCAAGTACTATTTTATTATCCTACAGAAGCCAAGTAAAATTACCATCTAATCATGTCTTAAAGGTGCTTTGTTTCAGTTACAAAAGTATGCCTTTAATGACTAAAAAACATCCTGCTGAACAAGCAGACTTAATTTTGGAAGCTAACTAGTTGAACTTGGATACACATACAAACTATTAAAAGGAATCAGACAAACAAGCAGCTTCCTGAACACCTCTTTGCACATTAAATAACTTTAGGTAGCCTGAAGCCCAAAAACTAAGTCATGTTTAAGCTTGAAGCAGGCAGGCTACAGGGAGCCACAATTATTTTAAGCCATTCTTCCACAGTATTCATGTACAACACTTAGGTAGCTGTTTGCAATTTGATTTTCGCATGCACTTCAAATATTAACAGAAGCAAATAGCATTACAGCAAGTTAGAAATACACATTTTATTTCATGTGCCCATAAAAAGACCCATTTTCAGATCACAGGATGTTATTACATATAAGAAATTGTGCACTAATCTACTGTAGCAGCCTTTACAGATTTTACTAAGATCCAGATTCTTGCTGCGTTAGTCCTAGAAAAAGGGTTTTGATCAACTAAAACGCTTACATTTTTCAATAACATCAAATAAATCCCTTAGAATAACGTAAACAAAACTCTTCCAAACATGTTCTTTCTCATTCTAATCAATTCTCTCAGGACTCACACTCCTTCGAGGACTTCCTGATGGTGAACGACTAAAAACAAAGAGGGAAGAATGATGTCACTAGAAGTAACCAGTCATTAATTTGGTAAACACTGAAAAAATTAACAGATTAGTGTTTTTACAGGGCAATCCATGCTACCTGCACGTAGCTATAGTCATTAGTAATTTCAATCCTAGCAACTAATTATTTGGATGCCTTTAAAAAAATACTGTTAGTTTGAAGCAGTGACTACAATATTAAATACTGAAGCAAACTCATGTTTCCATGCACCCCATTCCCACAGAAAGATACCACCAAGTTCTCTTCAAGTATTCAAGACTCATACTTACCCTGACTTAATGGAGAATGGATATAAATGGCTCATATCAAGACTGAAAAAGCAAGACTGAAAATTAAATCAAGTAAAAATGCTTGTAAATACATGTACTCAAACTGAGTAACTAAAATTCAGACATGTTAATTCTGTCCAGCTAGCTGTTCAATTATCTAAACTGCTCTGCAGCACAGCTGTTTCTCCCAGCCAAAAATCAAGTCTTCTCAGTTTAATTTTGAGCCATTTACATGTATTGTCCATTAAACATAACAAGATTAATGTGCTCACTTGATTTATTGGAAATGCATCCTTTGGAATATTAGGATACACTTGGGCATCAACATTTTTTACAGATATGAAGTGGTTACACTTCATATGTGGGGAGCAATTTGTGTATTCCTTGCCCCCTCCCAAAATGCCAAGATTTGCTTATCTTTCTTTCAATCCCATTCCCTTAATGAGTTTTTAAAAACTATGCAATGCGGCTCTACATTGAAAACGTTAAATTATTGCTGCTTTAAAATTAGCTGTACACAAAAATCTAGCTTACCTTCTCTTTAGAGATGGTGATCTTGATTTGGAACGGCTGTTATGAAACATAAATTAAATGACATTAAATAATCATTAGCAGAAGTAAAAGCAATTTACCCCCAAATAAACACAATCTACACAAAGGATGTGATGCTTTTAAATAAAGCTTTTGCAATACAATTTAACAGGAATACAAGTACTTTGTTATCTGCCAGTTACATTAAGTGAGATAAATACTGAACAAAGCCCTTTTGGCTCAAGCAGAGCTCAGCCTCAGAGACCAGCAAAGACAAAATCAAAGTTTATGTTCAACATTTAATGAAAAGTTTACCTGCTTCTGGGTCGTGAAATGGATCTGGACCTGGACCTTGATCTGGATCGAGATCTACATTTAAAAGAAGATGCACATACACAACAGATGAACAGCTTCTTAAGTGTTTAATGATTTTTTTATTAGGATGAATTCTAGCATTAATTTAAAAACCAAGGCTGTAGAAAAGCTGCCACATTAATAACAACAACAACTTTATATCCCATCACCATCTCCCAAAAGGGACTGGCGGGGGGGGGGGGGGGGGGGGGGGGGGGGGGGGGGGGGGGAGTGCTTATAAGGCACTCCAAGTGCAACATAACAAAAAGGGACGTGAGTATAAAACAGTACCACATAAAAATAATAAAAACACACGTGTTGCTGTGTCTGCCCATTGTTTACTTCCTTGGGGTTTTGTTTGACTTTATTGTTTGAGGACACTGAAGCACATGGAGAGGAAGGTCCAGAGATGAAGGGCTCTTTCTCCTATAGGTTATCCATCTTGAAACAAAAATTCCTTTGCATTTGCTTATACAGCAACTAGTTTTAGTATAATTGTGTTTTGAGGTTGATATAGATTGAATAGAGAATAGACCTGGATGGCTAAGGATAGGGACCAGCTACACAGTGTGCCTCAAACTTTTTGGAAATGCAGTATATAATCATGTTCCCCTTCTTCTATGAAATGAGACATGGACTGGTTCCATTTCCATATGATACTTTACCATATGCTGTGCAAAGCCAGTGAAGCAAACATATTTTGCTTCCAATTACTCCTGCTTGAGTAAAACAAAAATACAACTTTTTGCCTGTTTACATAAACTCCTAGACACAAAAATAATCTTGTAGTGTTACTCAGCCTCCTAGATAAACCCTTTCTTGTGTGTGCAATAAAATAGAAAAACCGCTTTTAAAAAATCATAAAAACAACCAGTACCAACACACATAAAGATAAAATAACAAAATTTTAAAAATGCAGGCCATCTGTAATTAAAACTAGCTGCCATCAATTCACAACAACAGTGCCAGAGTGTCAACCTTCTATAGGCCCATTTCAGCCTATGCGAGGCCAAAAGCCTGCTTAAAAAGAAGTCAAGGGTGGGGGCTCATTTAATCCTTTTTGGGAGGGTATTCCAGAGCCAGACAGACACCACAGAGAAGGTCCTCTCTCGTCTCCACCAACTGCGCTTGAGATGGGGATGAGACCAAGAGAAGGGACTCCCCTGCCGATCTCAAAGCCCACACCAGTTCATAGAAAGAGATGCGGTCTCGAAGATAGGTTGGACCTGAAGCGTATATGGCTTTATAATAATAATATGCACCTCGAATTAAGCCCGGAAACTTGTCGGCAGCCAGTGGAGTTGTTTTAGTAGGGGCATAGTACATTCCCTATAGCTAGCCCTAATTAGTAATCTGGCAGGCGACCTTTGCGCTAACTGCAGTTTCCAAACAATCTTCAAAGGCAGCCCCATGTAGATTGCATTACAGTAGTCCATTTTGGATGCAACTAAGGCATGGACAACCACGGCCAAATCAGGCACATTACAGGGAAATCTTCAAAATAAGCACCAATACAAATGAGACTGAAAGCAGATAATTGAGGCTAAAGGTCAGATAGCTGAGAAATCAACTCTATTGTCTGTTGTTAAGCCAACCAGTTTTAATCACACATTTTAAATTTGCAGCTTATGTTTAATCTTTGTTCTGTTTATTTTAATATATATTGGGTAGAAATATGTTTTAATGTGTGCATTTTGTAGAATGTTTTTAGATGATTGTGTGCTTTTAGTGTGCCTTGAGCCAGGAGGAGAGGTGGGTAATTAATTATTAGCAGTTTGGTCCCCTGATTGTTTTCATGGCTCTTTTTGAAATCAACAGACGAACAGGCCCCTATAACTTCTTTTTGTTAAAAGCCCCTTCTTTTTGTGGGCTGAAAACAACTCACCTTCTTCACACATGGTAAAAAATGCCTCCCACACCCCATAAAATGGCAGTGGAAGGACCTGTCTGTTTTTTCAGGAGATGTATAACAGGAATACAGCAAAGTTCCTTAGGAAGCTAATGCAGCTCTCTTGCCCTCAATAGTTGCCCATTCATGTTGTAGTTTTTCTGTTGGAAAACCACATTATGTAAATACATTGGCCAGTTACCTTGATCTCTTTAAAGAACCCGAGCGAGATCTGCGTGGCGAGACAGATCTGGATCTACGAGGAGAAAGTGATCTAGATCTGCGAGCTGAGATCGATCTGGATCTAGAAAAACAAGTTGTAGTTATACAATGAGGCTGTCTTGGACCAGTCTAGAAAGAAAACCTGCTGTACTGATTTAGATGCTCACCTCCTGCCACGGCTTCGGCTGCGTGAGCGAGAATATCTCCTTCCCCTGGACCTTGAATGAGATCGAGACCGTGACCTAGTTTTAGGTTAGAGATAACAAGTATTAGACTACAAGTTTACAAGTCAGCTCATGAGCCTTTGCCGAACCCAAAATATAAGATATCTAAAAATTAGTTTATAATTTGAAAAAAAAATAATCAGGGCCTATTTGTCTCGAGTATTTTTACTACCTACAAAAAAGATTAAACTGTATTAACATTTTAGAATTACATTATAATATAAAACACTGTAATGCATATTTAAAATAAACCTTGCAAGTTTGCAGGTCGACCCTCTTTGGCCCAAGGTCTAGCAGATCTAGACGATCTAGAAGTATCTATAGCCGATCGCTGCATCTAGGTGTTCTCTTCAATCTAACGACGATCAAACTGACAGCCAAATGAGCCAGATGAGGCTTGATTGACGCAAGAAGATTTTTCTAGGTGGGAATGTGGTCAATCTGGTGTTCCTCTTTTTAAACCGGAGGGGGCCCCCAAATTGAAAGCCAAATTTACGGTTACGGCGGTCACCGTCTCAAATTTTCTGCCCTTTAAAGAATAAGGTGGATCTAGGTGTAGATGGCTCGAGGGGATCTGGCCTCTTATGCTGATCACCTCAAGGTCTAGGAGAATCTTAATTGTCGGATTTGCAAGGCGCCTCAGCATGAAATCTTAAGGCTCGTGACATTCTGAATCAAGGCGACTGACTCAAACGAAGAAACCTGAAAGGTTTTGACCAGTTTGATTATTAACATATTAACAATAACACAAAATATAAACAATTGTAACATACCCATATAATAACAACATTTATATGCATTTCATTATTTATTAACAAAAAGTATGAGTAGACTGCTAAAATACTTGCTCATATTAACATACCTGCTCCTCCTTCTACGACTATAGCGATGGCAATCATAAGCATAATGACCTTTTTCGCCACATTCATAGCACCTATCATTAGGATCAAATGGTCTCCGTGCTGGAGGTCTATCATAGCGAGATCTACGAGGCATACCAGTTGACAACTCCACTCTAACCCTCGAGCCACAGATCACCCTACAATTGAAAATAGCTGCGCTTAATATATTGAGTCACTAACAGGAAAGATGTATTTGTCTTGTATTAATTAGCATTTGTACATACTTTCCATCTAGACCACGAACTGCATCTTCAGCATCTCTAGGATCTTCAAACTCAACAAATGCAAATCCTGGAGGGTTTCGCGCAATCCACACTGTTCGCAATGGCCCATAGTAGCTGAAAGCTCTCTCCAGCTCTCCTTTGCCAGCACCAGTTCCTAAGTTACCAACATACACTTTGGTTTCTGAAAAAAAAAGTTGTAATTAGGAAAGAACACTATGAAGCTGTAACTTTAGATCTGATAATGTATGTGATGCTGTAAGCTCTTTTACAATTTATGTAATGTAATTGGTAACTTAATGTTGTGTATTATGTTTTAGATTTTCAGTGTTAGCATTGCTGTTAGCCGGTCTGGGTCCCTCTGCAGAGGTAGAGAAGATCGGGATATAAAAGTTTTAAACAAACAAATAAGGGCAACCCATTCTATCAGGTTCTTTTAAAAGGCAGCAGCATAACTAATAATAGTGCTGGAAAAATTATTTTTGTCATGGATACTCTCCACTTTCTCTTTTGAACAAATATGCTCCTAAAGGTATTTGGCTGGAAAGACTACTTCCCAGAGATTCAGAAAAAAAGTTGACCCAGAACATACAACAATTTTCCCTAGATGACTTTTTTTTTTAATATTATAAAATTTATAACAAGTGAGTCTGGACTTTTTTCCCTGTAACCCATTAGGTAAGATCTCAAATGTACTCCTCATTTACATTTGCATGTAAACATATGAAACAATGCACTTCAAAAAAAGAAGCCAAATCCAACTTTCTATGTATTATGATACAATGAGAGGAAATTATATTCCATAGGATAGCTTCCCTCCCTTTTCCTGGGGGACAATGCAGGAGAAATATTTCCCCTCTCCAAACGGCTCCCCTTATCCATTTGCACATGGACCAGGGTGGTTCACACATTAAGTCCCCATTTGGTCCGTCTGGTTTAGATGATATGCAGTGGTTCCACGGTCAAATTCCCTTTTCATTAGACCAAGTCAGAAAACTGGGTTCTCAAGCATACACAGAACCACAAACTTGTAAGACCGCCCCCTCCCAAAAGGGAGTTCCAGTCCAATCCTATTCAGCCATGTAGGAATGCACAACCCTAATCAGTCTGTAGATAAAAAGACCTCCAAGGGCCATCCATTTGAACTCCATATTGTCATACAGGAAATGCACAATCTAGTCCGCCTTTTTAAAGAGCCACTCACCCGCCTTTACTATCCAAACTCATTTTGGCATAGAATCAAAGCCATTTAGTCTCTTGAAAAAGATCCCCAAGGGCCCTCCAGTCCAACCCCATCCTGCCATGCAGGAATTCAGTCAAATCCATTCCTCCTGTTTAAAAAACTCCAAAAGAGATTTCTCCACACTACAATATTACAACCATAGAACTTGAAAGAGGCCACAAGGGCCATTCAGTCCAACCTCCTGCGATGCAGAGACACAATCAAAGCACTCCCAACAGGTGACCATATAAACTGTTTTAAAACTTGCAGAGGAGGAGATTTCAGTGGGCTCCTGTGAGTTGTCTGGGCTGTATGGTCATGTTCCAGAAGCATTCTCTCCTGATGTTTCATCCACATCTATGACAGGCATCCTCAGAGGTTGAGGAGCCTGTTGGAAACTAGCAAGTGAGGTTTATATATCTGTGGAACGTCCAGACTGCGAGAAAGGTTTTTGTCTGTTTGGGGCAGGGTTCCTCAAACTTTTTAAACAGAGGGCCAGCTCACAGTCCCTCAAACTGTTGGAGGGCTGGATTATAATTTGGAAAAAAAATGAATGAATTCCTATGCACACTGCACATATCTTATTTGTAGTGCAAATAACACTTAAAACCATGCAATAATTAAAACGAAGAACAATTTTAACTAATATAAACTTATATAGTATTTCAATGGGAAATGTGGGCCTGCTTTTAGCTGATGAGATAGGATTGTTGTTGTTGTTGTTGTTGTGTGCTTTCAAGTCATTTCAGACTTAGGTTGACCCTGAGTGAGGGCCAGGTAAATGACCTTGGAGGGCCGTATCCGGCCCCCGGGCCTTAGTTTGGGGACCCCTGGTTTGGGGCATGTGAATTTTGCAAATGGCTAGCAAAATTAGCATTTAAGGCCTTGCAGCTTCAAAGCCTGGCTGATTGCTGCCTGAATTCACACTCTTACAGTGGAATTTATTTTCCTGCAATTTGAATACATTTCAATGTATTATCGAAGGCTTTCAGGGCTGGATCAAACTGGAGTCCTAGTCTCTAGAGCAGCAGAAAAAAAGCTTTCCCTCTCTTCAATGTGACATCCTCTCAAATATTTAAACATGACTATCTTGTCTCCTCTCACAGCCTCCCCCCCCCCCCACAGACTACATACTCCGCTTCCTTTTTGAATAGGGCTTGACTTCTAGACATCAGATCATTTAGAATGGACTTTTCAACCTTGCAACCCCTTGAACATGGCTCTATAGCCCGAAAAATCCCACAAGAACCTTGCAACCTCTTTTCTGCCCCTGATCTCAACTATGTAAAATAGGTATTAAACCCAAAAGCTTACAAAAGTATTTGCAAGGCCTGTTTAAAAAGACAGATTTATTTCTCTTAGCTGAAGCATTTCTGCGAGTCCAATGTAAACTCTGTACATTGTTGCCAATACATTTGTGTGGCATTTAAAAACCTTTTTATGTTGCCAGATTTTTCCATGACCTGAACACCGAGGTAAAGCAGGCACAGGCAAACTTGGGCCCTCCTGGTATTTTGGATTTCATCTCCCACAATTCCTAACAGCCTCAGGCCCCTCCCTTTCCCCTCTCAGCGCTTAAGCTGAGTCGCTTGGAGTTTCTTCCAACTCTGCAGTTCTATGAAATAGTAAAAAGTGCTGTACTATTTCAGATCCCCCTGCAAGCAGAAATTGAGTCCAGCAAGAGGGAGGTTTTATCCCAGCTCTTTGCCAGCTGTAGTGGTTTTATTTGCTGGTTTTTTTTTATTGAATCATAGAATTGGAAGACCTCATGGGCCATCCAGTCCAGCTCCCTGCCAAGAAGCAGGCAAATTTCATTCAAAGCACCCCTGACAGATGGTCATCCAGCCTCTGTTTAAAAGCTTCCAAAGAAGGAGCCTCTACCACACTCTGAGGCAGAGAGTTCTACTGCTGAACAGTTCTCACAGTCAGGAAGTTCTTCCTAATGTTCAGATGGCATCTCCTTTCTTGTAGTTTGAAGCCATTGTTCAGCGTCCTAGTCTCCAGGGCAGCAAAAAAACAAGTTCACTCCCTCCTCCCTATGATTTCCTATCACATCTTGATACATGGCCCTCATTGTTTCTCCTCTCAGCCTTCTCTTCTTCAGGCCAAATATGCCCAGCTCTTTAAGCCGTTCCTCATAGGGCTTGTTCTCCAGACATTTGATCATTTTAGTCTCCCTCCTCTGTACACATTCCAGCTTGTCAATATCTCCTTTCAGTTGTGGTGCCCAGAACTGGACACAATAATCCAGGTGTGGTCTAACCAAGGCAGAATAGAGGGTGCGGCATGACTTTCCTGTATCTAGACACTAGACTCCTATTGATGCAGGCCAAAATCCAGTTGGCTTTTTTTTTTCACTGCATCACATTGTTGGCTCATGTTTAACTTGTTGTCCATGAGGACCCCAAGATCTCTTTCACACACAATAATAATAAACTTTATACCCCGCCACCATCTCCCCCAACGGTGACTCGGAGAGGCTAACATGAGGCCAAGCCCAAACAACAAACTACAGTACAATAAAATACAAATTGCAATAAAATAATCAACATAACATTAAAGTATAAAGCATAAAAGCATATAAACAAAACATAAAAAGTGCAGTAAACCAAACATAATGACAGTGAGTGGGCCGCATGTACATAAAATGATTTTAAAAACTCAGGGTGAGATAAAGGGGCAGAACGATTTGTATGGGAGAACTTATAGAGAGGCAGGGAAATAGACAAACATTCGTACAAGGGGGGTGTACTCCTAGGACAAGAACGTTGAGGGAGCAATAGCATTAGATTATGTGACTACTCTCGAGCCAGGAGTACTGCTCTTGAGCCAGGAGTCCCCCCCATTCTGTATCTTTTCATTTCATTTTTTTCTGCCTAAGTGGAGTATCTTGCATTTGTCACTGTTGAACTTCAGTTTGTTAGTTTGGGCCCATCTCTCTAATCTGTTAGATTCACATCTCTAATCTATCTGCAGTCAAAAACAGTACAGTATATTTAGGTACCATCAGCATGGACCAGGATCTTGGCCTTATATACCTTTCCATCAATCACTTGTAAGCAACTCCATGTTCTGTATAACCCAGGCATGGGCAAACTCAGGCTCTCCAAGTGTTTTGGACTTCAACTCTCACAATAGATACAGCACCATCCAAGACAGCAAAAGAACATCGGCAGCAGGGAGCTTGGAGGAGAAGGCAGTGTTTGTCCATTGCAGGCTGCCTTTGACCTCAGCCCCTGGTGACTGGCTCCTTGCAGACTCAGGCCCTGATGCCTGGCTGAGGCAAGGCCCAAGCAGAAACACCTGCTGCCTCCTGAGGCTGGGCCATAAAAGGAGGATGCTAGTGAGGGACCAGTCATACAGCACCATCCAAGACAGCGAAGAAGACCTTGGGTCACTGGTTCTTGGACTGTGGGTCCCCAGGTGTTTTGGCCTACAGCTCCCAGAAATCCCAGCCAATTTATTGGGATTTTTGGGAGCCGGTGCATTTGGGGTCCCATGAATTGGGAGGCACTGCCTTAGGATCATGAGAGGGGAAGGGGGAGGCTGCTTAAAGGATTGGTCCAATGGTAGGGTGCTAGGAGCCCCCGGTGGCACAGTGGGTTAAACCCCTGTGCCGGCAAGGTCACAGGTTCAAATCTGGGGAGAGGTGGATGAGCTCCCTCTATCAGCTCCAGCTCCTCATGCAGGGAGATGAGAGAAGCCTCCCACAAGGATGATAAAACATCAATTCATCTGGGCATCCCTGGGCAACGTCCTTGCAGACGGTCAATTCTCACACCAGAAGCGACTTGCAGTTTCTCAAGTCACTCCTGACACGACAAAAAAATAAATAAAAATGGTAGGGTGCTTAAAGGATTGGTCCAATGTTTTATTTGTGTATGGAGTTATTATGGTTTAATATGTTTAATGGATTTAAATGTTATTTATATGCTTATTGGTTCTAGTGATTTTATGTTATGTTTTATAGGATTTGTATAATGAGGCATTGAATTTTTGCTTAGATGCATGTTGTACACCCCTCTGAGTCCCCTGAGAGGTGAGAAGAGCAAGACAGAAATGAAGTAGTGGGTTGTTGTAGGTTTTTTCGGGCTATATGGCCATGGTCTAGAGCAGGGGTCCTCAAACTAAGGCCCGGGGCCCGGATGCGGCCCTCCAAGGTCATTTACCCGGCCCTCACTCAGGGTCAACCTAAGTCTGAAACTACTTGAAAGCACACAACAACAACAATCCTATCTCATCAGCCAAAAGTAGGCCCACACTTCCCACTGAAATACTAATAAGTTTATATTTGTTAAAATTGTTCTTCATTTTAATTAGTGTATTGTTTTAAAGTGTTTTTGCACTACAAATAAGATATGTGCAGTGTGCATAGGAATTCATTCATGTGTTTTTCAAATTATAATCCGGCCCTCCAACAATTTTTGGGACTATGACCTGGCCCTCTGTTTAAAGTTTGAGGACCCCTCGTCTTGAGGCATTCTCTCCTGATGTTTTGCCTGCCTCTGTTGGAATTAGGAAAAAGGGTTATTTTATTTTATTTTCATATTATTTGTGAACACAGAAATGCTGGACCACTCTCGCAACCACCATGTCAGACTACACAGAGAAGCCATTGAAATCCACAAGCACATGGACAATTTCAACAGAAAGGAGGAAACCATGGAAATTAACAAAATCTGGCTACCAGTATTAAAAAAAACCTCTAAAATTACAACAGCACAGCAACAGAGAGGAAATAAACAAGGACATCTAATCACCCCTCAAAAAAAGATTGCTCCAGGCACTGCCAGGCAATCAAATGCTAATCAAGGTGGTCAGTTGAAACATTCACACCTAGCTCCAGCAGACAAAAGTCCTTTGTCCCACCCTGGTCATTCCACAGATATATAAACTCCCTTTTTCCTAGTTCCAACAGACCTCACCACCTCTGAGGATGCTTGCCATAGATGCAGGCGAAACGTCAGGAGAAATGCCTCTAGAACATGGCCATATAGCCCAAAAAAACCTACAACAACCCAGTGATTCCGGCCATGAAAGCCTTCGACAATACATATAATAGTGATAATACTATAATGTAATACAATATACTACTAATAATATATTATAATTACATATTTTATATTAAATGCAATATTACTAATAATATTACAGTATAATGTTATAGTACAATGTAATATATAATATTAACATTGTGCTATGACAATAATATAATATATTGTATTTACTTTTTACTTGTAAGCCGTTCTGAGTCCCCTTTGGGGTGAGAAGGGCAGCATATAAATGTCATAAATGAATAATAAATAAAATAGTTTGGGCCCATCTCTCTAATCTGTTAGATTCATCTCTCTAATCTATCTGCAGTCAAAAACAGTACAGTATATTCAGCTACCATCAGCATGAACCAGGTTTTGGCTGTTGCAGGATCTTGGCCTTATATACCTTTCCATCAATCACTTGTAAGCAACCCCATGTTCTGTATAACCCAGGCATGAACAAACTCAGGTTCTCCGAGTGTTTTGGACTTCAACTCCCACCATTCCTAACAGCCTCAGGCCCTTTCCTTTTCCCCCTCAGCTGCTTAATGGTGGGAGTTGAAGTCCAAAACACCTGGAGGGCTGAAGTTTGCCTATGTTTGGTCAAGATAATATTCCTATTTCCAGATTGATTTCCTTATTCATAGTATCTCTGCCTTATCTGCCTTTTTAACTTGTTTGCCATTGCTTGTCCATCTGTCTGTCCATCCATCCTAACAAAAACTGTCTCCAGAATTTAACATATTTCCCAGGATCATAACACAGAAGCATGATAAAGCGTAGAGCTAAGTGTCATCATCTATTGATGGTATTTCAGTTTAAACCCTTAATATTGGAGCTGATTTGAGCCTACTTATGCAAAAGGCCATAGGGAGGTTGGCAAATAATTTGGAATATGACAGAAAGCACACATGAAGCCTAGAATCAGTGCCTGCCCCGAAAAACCTAATGATTTAATTCTGTGATATGAGCAAAGGGCTGAGGGGGAAAAGGAAAGGGCCTGAGGCTGTTAGGAATGGTGGGAGTTGAAGTCCAAAACACCTGGAGGGCCCATGTTTGCCCATGCCTGATCTAAACGAACACCTCAAAACTAAGTGTAGTCTCAGGGTCTGAGGCTGTTAGGAATGGTGGGAGTTGAAGTCCAAAACACCTGGAGGGCCCATGTCTGATCTAAATGAACACCTCAAATCTAAGTGTAGTCTAAGGGCCTGAGGCTGTTAGGAATGGTGGGAGCTGAAGTCCAAAACACCTGGAGGGCCCATGCCTGATCTAAATGAACACCTCAAATCTAAGTGTAGTCTAAGGGCCTGAGGCTGTCAGGAATGGTGGGAGTTGAAGTCCAAAACACTTGAAGGGCCTGAGTTTGCCCGTGCGTGTTCTATGTATTCCAGGAAATGTTTAGGCGGGATCTCCCTTCCCTGCAATTGGAACTCGTTGCTCCTAGCACTCGGCGCATGCGCGGGAGCCTGACCGCCGCGCGCTGCTCCCGCTCGTGCCACCGCGCATGCGCCCTCCTCCCTCCCTCCCTCAAAAACCAGCCCCCCCCCCCGCCCGCTTTTCCCCCTAACTCTCCTTCTTCTCAGTAAACGAGCGGCCTCCCTTCAAGCGACTCAGAAACAGCATGGGTTGCTATCCGTAAGTAGCAATAATAATAACAGCAACGACAATACAACCAAATGGGGAGGCCCAGTCTCCCCTCAGCGCGAGTAGACATGTGCAAGATGGCGGCGGTGGCGGCAAACACTGAAAGGCCTCTCTTTCGAAAAAAGAGGGCCACGACCCACTCCTGAGGGAGAAGCAAAGTGACACCGAAAGAGGACAGGCGGAGAAAGAAGAGGCCGCTTTCCCCCCTCTGTCCGGAACCCGCTCACCTCCGCCGTAACGGCCGTACCGCGACATCTCTTTATGTGTGTCTCTCTCTCGAATGAGCGTCTTCGTGCGCATGCGGGTTCCGGGGTTCCTTATATAGGGCCCGCCGTTGAGGCGCATGCGCGTCACGGCCCAGTGGCGGTGCGCGAGAAAGCCCGCCGGTTTGGTTTCCACGGCAACGGGAGGCTCGCGCGACGGAGGGAGGCGGGGCGGGGGAGGGGAGGAGTTGGAGGAGAGAACCAGGCGCCATTTTGGATCTGGAGGAGCTTCAGTGGTGAGTCTACACAAGGCAAACTAGAGCCTAGCGTTTTGGGTAGGCTGTTAGGAATTGTGGGAGTTGAAGTTCTAGACTCAGGGAAGTCAAGCGAAGACAGAAGGGAGCAGAAGACATTTCCTTCTTGTCTTTACTAATAATATAATATAGTATATTGTATATACATATAATATTTATAATATTATAATGTAATACAATATAATACTAGTAATAATAATTCAATATTATAATTATAATTATACATTTACATTACATGTAATATTACTAATAATAGTACAATATAATGGTATAGTGCAATATAGTAATATATACTGATATTGTTGGAGGAAAGTGCTGAGAGTGCCTTGGACTGCGAGAAGATCCAACCAGTCCATCCTCCAGGAAATAAAGCCCGACTGCTCATTGGAGGGAAGGATACTAGAGACAAAGTTGAAGTACTTTGGCCACATCATGAGGAGACAGGAAAGCCTAGAGAAGACAATTATGCTGGGGAAAGTGGAAGGCAAAAGGAAGAGGGGCCGACCAAGGGCAAGATGGATGGATGGCATCCTTGAAGTGACTGGCTGACCTTGAAGGAGCTGGGGGTGGTAACGGCCGACAGGGAGCTCTGGCGTGGGCTGGTCCATGAGGTCACGAAGAGTCGGAGACGACTGAACGAATGAACAACAACAACTGAATATAATTGATATAATATAATATATTGTATGAAAATATATATTGTAAGCCGCTCTGAGTCCCCTTCGGGGTGAGAAGGGCAGCATATAAATGCCGTAAATAAATAAATAAATAAGCCCAAGAAGTCCCAAGTTTGCCCATGCCTGTTCTAGCTCTTTTAACGTAATAGTAATAAATCTAATGACACTTTAAAAACATGAGCCAACAGTGTGATGCTGTGGCAAAAAAAAAGGATTATAGCCTGCATAAATAAGAGTGTAGTGTCTAGATCCAGAATATTGTCTCTTATTCTGGGCACCACAATTGAAGAGAGATGTTGACAAGCTGGAATGTGTCCAGAAGAGGGCCACTCAAATGATCAAGGATCTGGAGAACAAGCCCTATGAGGAGCGGCTTAAAGAGCTGGCCATGTTTAGCCTGAAGAAGAGAAGGCTAGGAGGAGACATGATAGGTAAAAGTTTCCCCCTGACATTAAGTCCAGTCATGTCTGACTCTGGGGTGTGGTGCTCATCTTCATTTCTAAGCCAAAGAGCTGGCGTTGGCCATAGACACCTCCAAGGTCATGTGGCTGGCATGACTGCATGGAGCATCGTTACCTTCCTGCCAGAGCGGTACCTATTGATCTACTCATATTTGCATGTTTTTGAACTGCTAGGTTGGTTGAAGCTAGGGCTGACAGCGGAAGCTCACGCCACTCCCCCGGAATCGAATTTGCGACCTTTTGGCCAACAAGCTCAGCATGATAGCCATGTATAGATACGGGAGAGGAAGTCACAGGGAGGAGGGAGCGAACTTGTTTTCTGCTGCCCTGGAGATTATGACGTGGAACAATGGCTTCAAACTACAAGAAAAGAGATTCCACCTGAACATTAGGAAGAACTTCCTGACTGCAAGAGCTGTTCAGTAGTGGAACTCTCTGCCCCAGAATGTGGTGGAGGCTCCTTCTTTGAAAGCTTTTAAACAGTGGCTGGATGGCCATCTGTCGGGGGTGCTTTGAATGCGATTGGTCTGCTTCTTGGCAGGAGGTTGGACTGGATGGCCCACGAGGTCTCTTCCAACGCTATGATTCAATAATGGGGCCAATCATTGTGTTTAGTGAGGATTGTGCCCTTGTGTGCTTATGAGGATTGTATGGATGTGGAGTGGATAGGTAGGGCAAGTTGGGTTTAGATTATTGCTTAAGAAAAAAATATTGCTCTCTACTAGGGTACAGCAGCATGCTGAGTGAGTAGGTAGAGATACATAGCTAGATTAAGATTTGTCTAGATAGAATCCATAATGGGAAGACTAATGGGAAAAATGAAAGTTGTGGTCCAGCTATGTCGGGAAGGCTCAGGTTCCTCATTCATTCTTACAATAAACAGCAAATTGCCATTGTCATCTGTAGTCTTTAGAAGCTTTTAAACAGAGGCTGGATGGCCATCCGTCGGGAGTGCTTTGAATGCAATTTTCCTGCTTCTTGGCAGGGGGTTGGACTGGATGGCCCATGAGATCTCTTCCAACTCTATGATTCAAAACACCTGGAGGGTGAGTCTACGGCTTTGGTCACCCTGGTGGATGATCTCCGCAGGGAACTGGACAGGCGGAGTGTGACCCAGCTGGTTCTCGGGCATCTCAGCAGCTTTCGATACCATCGATCATGGTATCCTTCTGGGTCGGCTCGCCAGGATGGGACTTGGGGGTACATTTTGCTGTGGCTCTGGTCCTTCCTGGAGGGTCATTCCCAGTTGGTGAAGCTGTGGGACAACTGCTCGAACCCCTGGCCATTGACCTGTGGGGTCCCGCAAGGTTCCATTCTGTCCCCCATGCTCTTCAACATCTATATGAAACCGCTGGGAGAGGTAATCTGGAGTTTTGGAGTTCGGTGTCATCTCTAAGCCCCCGGTGGCACAGTGGGTTAAACCCCTGTGCCGGCAGGACTGAAGACTGACAGGTCGCAGGTTCAAATCCGGGGAGAGGAGGATGAGCTCCCTTTATCAGCTCCAGCTCCTCATGTGGGGACATGAGAGAAGCCTCCCACAAGGATAATAAAACATCAAAATCATCCAGGCGTCCCCTGGGCAATGTCCTTGCAGACGGCCAATTCTCTCACACCAGAAGCGGCTTGCAGTTTCTCAGGTCGCTCCTGACATGACAAAAAAAAAAAAAAGAGCAGATGACACCCAACTCTACTACTCTTTTCTATCGGAATCCAAGGAAGCCCCTCAGATATTGGACCAGTACCTGGCTGCTGTGGTAATCTGGATGAGGATGAACTAGTTGAAGATTAATTCCACCAAGACAAAGGCCCTCCTGGTTAGTCGCTTGTCTGACTGGTGTATAAGGTGGCAACTTGAGCTTGACGGGGTTGCACTCCCACTGAAGACACAGGTATGCAGCTTGGAGGTCCTTCTGGATTCAGCGCTCACACTTGATGCTCAGGTGTTGGCAGTGACTGGGAGGGCCTTTGCACAATTAAAACTTGTGCGCCAGTTGCAACCGTACCTTGGGAAGTCTGATCTGACCAGGGTGGTCCACCCCTTAGTTATATCTAGATTGGACTATTGCAGTGCACTTTACATGGGGCTACCCTTGAAGACATCCCGGAAACTTCAATTGGTCCAACGTTCGACAGCCAGACTCTTAACTGGACCAAATTACAGGGAGCAGTCTACCCCCCCCCCCCCCCCCCCCCCCCCCCCCCCCGTTTAAGGAGCTCCATTGGTTGCCGTTCATCTTCCAGTCCCAATTCAAGGTGCAGGTTATCACCTACAAGGCCCTGAACAGTTTGGGACCTGCCTACTTTCGTGACTGCATCTCCTTCCATAAACCGGCACGTTCTCTTCGATCCTCTGGGGAGGCTCTCCTTTCGCTACCACCTTCAACTCAAGTATGACTTGTGGAGACGAGGGAGAGGACCTTCTCCGCTGTGGCCCCTCGGCTTTGGAACTTGCTACCTATCCTGCCCTGCCCTGCCAGGTTTTAAGAAAGACCTAAAAACTTGGCTCTTCTGATGTGCATTTGGCAAGTGAACATATATTTCATATTTTGTCTGTTCCAACTACAGTTCCATCCTCATGATGCACTTTTCCCTCCGCCCTTAATAAAGGTCTAACCCATTGTTTGTTCCTTTTGTGCTCCTCCCTCAGAAACACATTCTCCCACCACATATCTCATCCAGGGTTTTAGCAATTTTATCCTGTGCATTTGGCCCACCCACTGTGTTCTATTTCTCTATCATGTTATTTTGAAACTGTTTATTTTGTTATTTCATGTATTTATTTTCGTGGTATTTTTGTCTTTTTGTATTTTATTTTGCTGTACTGTAATTTTGGGCTTGCCCTCATGTTAGCCGCCCCAAGTCCCCTTTGGGGAGATGGTGGCAGGATAGAAATTATGATGATGATGATGATAATTATTATTACACAGCCAGGCAGAGGCCAAGTTTGTCTCCAGGTGTTATGGACTTAAACTCCTACAATTCCTAACAGCCTACTACAACTCCCAAAATACAACTCCCAGAATAACAGCCTACTACAACTCACAGAGCATCAACTCAGAGAGTGGTGAATCTACACAGCCAGGTAGGGACGAAGTTTCCCTGCAACCTACTACAACTCACAGAGTGTCAGCTGCGCTGGCTGGGGGGATTCTGGGATTTGTAGTAGGTTGTCAGGAATTGTGGGAGTTGAAGTCCAAAACACCTGGAGGGAAGGCCCAAGTTGGCCCAGGCCTGAGTTAAATGAATAAATAAAATATTATTGCCCTGCCAGTTTTTATTGTTAACTTTCACTTTTCCCTTACATTTAGGAAATATGACCAAGTGGCAGTATAAGACTCCTGTGGAATGGCTGGGTTATGTGAATAAGGAAGTCATAGTGCGAGCGGCAGAAAGACATGAATATAAGGGATGGGTTTTAACAGTGGACCCAGTCTCGGCCAAGTAAGTGTGATATTCTGAGAAGGACAAGAGGAATCATCGTCATTTAGGAGGCAGCACAAGGACAGGGGAAATAATGTCCTTGACAACTGCCATGATGAAGGTGATGTTTGCTAGTAGAAATGAGGCTCCTTCTTTAGAGGTTTTTAAACAGGGGATGTATGGCCATCTGTCGGAGGTGCTTTGAATGTGATTTTCCTGCTTCTTGGCAGGGGTTGGACTGGATGGCCCACAAGGTCTCTTCCAAAACTATGATTCTATGATTCTAAATTTGTTCTATCTACCTGTTTATTTCTATCCCGCTTTATCTCTCCATACGGAGACTCCAAGTAGCTCTCATTCAAAAACATTAAAACTTCAAATATACAATAATAAAACAGCATGTCATATCTTATATATTATCAGTAGTAATTATATTTAATATATCAGTATTATTATAATATTATATTTTATTATATTTTATTACTACTATTATTGTATTGTATTATATTAAGGAATTGCTGTGGATACAGGGTGTACTAGAAATGTGAGAGTATCCTTAGAAGCTCTGTAGTGTGTTTTATAACATTGCCAAGGATGAGGTTTTAATTAATGGTTTGATCTAGATCAGGTCTGGACAAACTTTGGCCCTCCAGGTGTTTTGGACTTCAGTTCTCACAATTCCTAACAGCTGGTCCAAAACACCTGGAAGGTCAAAGTTTGCTCAGACCTCAGTTAGAGAATGGGCACGTTAATTCCTGTCTTTCTCTTTTCCCATTAAGGCTTCCTAATAACTCATTCCTAGGCCCTTTTACGTTGCTATGGTTGCTGAGTGGACAGACAGTGGGGGAAACTCCTGAACCTAACTTACCATTTTAATCTTTCTTATGTGTATAGTATATATGTATTTTATAGAAATGCATTTAAATATATGTCTTTTACATAATGTTTTCTAATGATGTGTTTTTAACTGTGTTGCGCCCTGCCTTGAGAGGCAGGTAAGAAATAAAAAATATTTTTATTATTATTTATGTACTATTTCTTTTGAATCATGGCATGGGTAAAGAGGTGAGGGATATTGCTGAGTGGATGTAGTTTTAAAAAGCAGGGCGACCTTGTGATCCCAAATAGACTTCCAATGCTATTGTTTCTTTCTGTTCTGTTATTTTGGTGTATGATATTTGCTATACTGAGACTTCATATTTATTATGCAATGGGGAAAGTTTTATGAAGCAGGATTGTCCTATTGCGCTACTTAAAATCTCTCACTTGATTATGTTAGCTTTTTTCTCCACCCTTTATTTATATGAAATGAAGTTTTCCTTTAGGTTTCAGGGAAAGCTATTTCTTACTTATATATTTGTATTTAAAGCTGGAGTATCGCAGCATCTGAAAACATGTCACAAAAGAGAATAAATTATTTATGAAGAATAGACCAGTTTATGATGCTTTTGTAATCCCATAGGTTGCGATACTTAATTATTCCAAGTACTTGTAGGACCTAATGTAAACTGCAGATCTGATTCTTTCTATAGCATATATTTATATGTCACTTGAGGCTCATTAAAATGTGTGTCTATCTGTCTTGACAGCATTCTTCTGGCAAATGTTTCTGAGAATGGGAAAACGTCTATCTTGGCCGTTTTGGGGCATGCAGTGCAGGAGGTTGAAACAGTGGCTGAAGCAGATGATGAGATGAAGGAGAAGCTTGCACACCTTTTCATGCCTGAAAAAAGCCAAACTTATAGTCATGAAGAGTTGGATCAAAAGAAAAACAGTTTGAAGAGCTGGCTGGAGAAAAACCATATCCCTGTAGAAGAACAAGGAGAATCTCGGTCAACGTTGTGTGTGGCAGGGGTGTTAATCATTAACCCTCCATATGGGCCAAAAGACTGCAGCAGTTCCAATGAAATAATCTTGTCTAGGGTTCAACAATTAATAGAAACTTATCTTGCACTTCAACAATGATGGATACAACTGCAAAACCTATGTAGTTTTTAAATCTTTTCCCTCACCTAGGGCTAATTTTATATATTTTCATATGAAAGTAAGTATTGTCATTTCTTTTCCTTTTGCATTCTGGAAAAATTCACTTTTTTAAAATAAAACTAGTAAATATACCCAGCATTGCCAAGGTATGCATTTTTTGTGCCTCATTCTCTTCTTCCCCCATTTCCCTCATATACCTTCTCCCTCTTTTCTTTCTTTCCTTCATTCCCTGCTTTCCCTCATACATCTTCGCCCTTCTTTTTCTTTCTTTTCTCTTCCCTTTTCTTTCTTCTTTCCCTTTCCTCCCTTTTCCTTCCTTCCCCCTCATACCTTTCCCCTTCCCTTCCTTCCCTTTTTCTTTCTTCTCCCCTTTTTTCCTTACTTCATTCCTTCCTACTCTCTTCCTTTCCTTTATTTTCCTTTCTCTCTCATTCCTTCCTTCTTGGGTTTCTGAATCATGTAACACAATATAGAGCCAAAAAAATCTAAGCAAACATGCTGTTTTCAATTTGTTTATAATATCTATAAATGTTGAAACTCCTTCAGCTGCTATGCCCCCCTCCAGGTTTTTAGATTTCCAGGAAAGGGGTATGTTTCAAGGTTAGACTATGGCAATCATAGTAATATTTGACAGTGTTAGCCCCCAAAATACCTACCTTTGCAGATTGACAGCACCCTGACTCAAATTTTTGGAAGATGCGGAAGATTGGGGTATTTTCAAGTGACATCTGCAGAGCTCACTTGATTGGGAGACACATCAAAACCACTGTTCTAAAACCTGTTTTGGCAGCTCCATGACCAAAGTGGTTCTAAGGTGCTAGGAATCAATGCACTTTGAAATTACATCTGTAGTGTTCTCTTAGTTAGGGGCACCTTGAGAAAACTGGGGGGATCTCTCCAGTACTTGCTTTTCAATCTGTGGCTCCCCAGGTGTTTTGGCCTTCAACTCCTAGAAATCCCAACAGCTGGTAAGCTCAGAGTTGTAAGCCAAAACACCTGGGGACCCACAGGTTGAGAACCATTGTTTTAGAAGGTGATAACCAGTCATTCCTGGCATAAATATGCACAACCAGTAGTTATACAATTCTATGTCCAGCTTATGATTTCATGATTGTTGAGCAAGATGTCAGCCAATCTTTGCAGAATGTGATACTGCAGTAGCTTGTGGCAAAATAGTATTAATTATCCCCTTGAAGCCACTGCCTATGCAAATAAACTTCCAGCTGAAGCCTTTTAATTGTTATGAAGCATTAGTGAAAATTTAGACTTTATTTAGCCTTCAAAATTCCACCTTATTGCACATTCATGGGGCTAGTTGTTGTGTGCCTTCCAAGTTGTTTCCTACTTACGGTGACCCTAAAGTGAATTTATTTTCCAGGACTGAAAGTGTCATTCGCCTGAGGTCACTCAGCAGGTTTCCATATCAGAATTTAGCGTGGGGTGATGTGATTTAAGGAGAAGCTTAAAGCTGTTTGTACAAACTTGAAAGATTATATCTAATTTAAAAGTCGATTCCTGGCTGTTGAACACCACCAACCATAGTTTAACCATACAAATCCACCCACGATGTTAGAGCTAGAGACAAGTAGTTTGTTGACTGTGTGACTGGCTTGACATGAATTTGGGCTTAGGTTTCACAGACTAGTACTGACGCGCAGTCTTTCCCTAATTTGTTTCTTGAAAAAATATCAAACAAAATAAGACTGAAAATTTAATGAACATATCATTTTATTAATAAATTTTACCTGTCACTAGTGAGCTCTCAAGGTGAAATACAGTACTTCCTCAATGCAATTTGTTGCTAGACCAAAACAGTGATTATGCATTCCACCCCCCCAATTACTAATTTTTTAAGAAAAATCTTTAAATACTGCACACTGGGAACATCTGTCAAAGGACTGACAATACTCATAAGGCATGCCCTTAATTTTGGCAGGTTTGAACTATGCAAGTGGATTGTGCTTGTTTATAAAAAGCTGCCATGCTGATCAACTAACTCCATAGGGTATAACAGTCTGTATTTTTTAAAAAAAACACAACCTCCTTGTACATAACTCTCTATGTAAGGTTTTGCGGGCTTGGAAGCCAGCAGTGCTCCAACATGGATGTAGTAGCATTAGCATTTAGCTCACATTGGCAAAGACCGCTCCACTTCATTCCTATGGAAACAACTACATGTCCCTAGGGTAGCTAAGTATAGTTTAAACGAGTGAGGGAAGAAGAACCTTCTTTATTATCCTTTAAGAAGGATAATAAAACACTTTTGCTTTAACAAGTTGTAATTAGAGCCCAGACTACACACACATTTCAATTTATATACAACTTTGTGCTAGAGGCAATAGCCAACGAAGAGTATCCAATTCGTATTTGAATTTGGCAGTATCCAATTCATATTTGAATTTGATCAGGTGGGGACAGGATTAAGTTTGCTGAAACAAAGCGATTCCTTTTAGCATTTAGAAAAATAAACAGACACTTGCTGTTGTAAACATTGTACCCTGCTTTTTAAAGGAGGGCAAGATTAAACTGATTGTGTTATAGTGTGCCTTCACTCCAGATTCTGTCAGAGAAAGTTAATTCTTTATAGGACATGTTGTTGTTCATTCATTATAGGATATAAATAGCGAAAAAATGCACAAGGACTGATCAAAATCATTTTTTGTATCTCAGTTGAAATGCTCTTCAAAGTGAATGTTCTAGTATCCCTTCGACCTTACTACACAGAGGGGTCCTTGTGGAAATAAAATATTTTTCATACAAATTCTCAGTTTCTGCTGTGTGAATTTATCCATTGCTATCATGGTTCTAAAAGCACTTTCTCTATTTCCACAACTCCAACTGAAGTTCTTTTAAAACTGTCCCTTTAATTATCTTTAGGCTTTACATCAAAAGCCTACAAATTTCTAGTGCTGTGCTGACAAGCATCAGATATGTTGTTTCAGCCATAATTTTTGTAATTCTGCTGAGGTCCCTTTAAATGAAATCAGTACAGCCATACTACTGGGTTGTCACAAGTTTAACAATCATGCTAATAATACGAGACCCTCGGGGGCAAGTACACAGGTCCATGCTGGGGTTCTTGACTTTATCCTGGAGAAGCTGGTCAAGTTCACCGCGAAGTTCTTTCACAAGTTCTGCCACCTGGAAAAAACCCCCAAATATATGGGTATTTGAATATGAATGTATGGGCTTTAGTAGGCTTGCAGTGGTTCTCAACCTGTGGGTCCCCAGGTGTTTTGGCCTATAACTCCCAGAAATCCCAGCCAATTTAACAGCTGTTAGAACTTCTGGGATTTGAAGGTCAAAACATCTGGGGACCCACAGGTTGAGAACCACTGGCTTAGAGTAAAAGTTGGGAATCTCATTCAGTCCAACAACTAAACTGAAATGCAAATAAATTCCTGAGCCTTCATTCTGATCATGAGTAGGGTCAAAGGTTGAGACCAATGCATTTTAGCTGAAGCTCTTACTGCCAGGAACGAATCTGGCAGTTTTTGTGTGGAAAGAACCTGAAACCAAAACTGGAAAGCTGTCAAACAATGTCATGGGGAAGAGGGCGTAGTCATTTCCAGCTGGAGAACATTCATCTACTGGCACATTAGATGTGTGTGGTTCACAGATTCTAATAGTGAAGAACAAATCCAGTGGTTCAAATCTCTCTAGTTGATGGTCCTCAGTCTGATGATGTATGTGCAAAACTGCCTTTTGTCTTAAACACAGGAATTCTTACTAGGGGCCCTTCCAGACAGGTACTATATCCCAGGATCTGATCCCAGGTTCTTGGCTTTAAATTTATTATATGATTTCACACTGCCAGATAATCTGAGATAAATAGAAAACCTGGGATCAGATCCTGGGATATAGGATCCTAGATCAGCCAAAGGTGAAGATGTGACATAAACTGGGGAACTGTGTCTTCAACAAAGTTAATGTTGAAGTGGAGAACAATCCCCATGAAGAGGTGATTGAGATCAAGGTTGTGGACAGGTAGGAGGAACTCAAGAGTCACTCATTCATGGGGATCATTCTCCACCTCAACACTGGCTTTCTTCTTGAGACCTGTTCCCCGGGTTCTAGCACAAGCATGGGCAAACTTCGACCCTCTAGGTGTTCTGAACCTCAACTCCCACAATTCATAACAACTGGTGGGTGTTAGGAATTGTGGGAGTTGAAGTCCAAAATATCTGGAGGGCCGAAGTTTGCCCATGCCTGTTCTAGCCCATCTTCACCTTAGAATCATAGAATCAAAGGGTTGGAAGAGATATTGTAGGCCATCCAGTCCAACCCCTGCCAAAAAGCAGGAAAATCGCATTTAAAGCACTCCTGACAGATGGCAATCCAGTCTCTTTAAAAGCCTGCAAGGAAGAAGACTTTGGGAAAGACAGGGACCTTGGTTGTACATGTCTTCTTGCCAAAAGGCATTCTGGAGCTCTAAAAAGGCCTGAATCTTCAATGCCATGTAAAGGCATTTGCATGTGTCACAGAGATCAAAGAAAGGAATAATTTTCCCATCATGAATATTTCATATAATGTGTTGCATACATTGCTAAATTCTTACCTGGTGTGAGGCTGCCACAAAACGAATCCACCCGTCATCTAGGGAAACAACAAATGCTCCCTTTTGGAGCTGCACATTCACATGACCTCCTCCAAACAAGATCAGGGGGTACACGGACACCATGCTGCAGTCACGAATGAACACCCGGCTGGTTTTTATCATCTCGTGATACACCAAGTAGGGGCTATCAAAGTGCCTGGTCTGAAACAATCCAAAATGAATATAACTTTTATTAACACTACACAGTCCAACCCCAAAAAAACTTGGTATTTTGAGATGTCAAAGACTTTCATGACCAGAATCAATGGACTGCTGTGAGTTTTCTGGGCTGTATGGCCATGTTTGAGAAGCATTCTCTCCTGACGTTTTGCCCACACCTATGGCTGGCATCCTCAGAGGTTGAGAAGTCTGTTGGAAACTAGGCAAGTGAGGTTGATATATCTGTGGAATGTGCAGGATGGAAGAAAGCTCTTGTCTGCTTGAAGCAAGTGCGAATGTTGCAATTGGCCAGCTTGACTAGCATTGAAAAGCCTTGCAGCTTCAAAGCCTAGCTGCTTCCTGCCTGGGGGAATCCTTCATTGGGAGGTGTTAGCTGGCCCTGATTGTTTCCTATTTGGAGAATTCCAAACAAACAAAACATCAGGAGAGAATGCCTCTGGAACATGGCCATACAGCCCGGAAAACCCACTTGGTGTCTTGGTTTTTAGGTCTGTTCTGGGGTTATTTGTGGTGCTGATTCAGAAATTGGATAGACGGCATCAGCTCTAGTTTCTTAGATTTGGTTATCGTATCTTTATATGGGGGAGCAGATGGCAACTGGTAGATGCCATATGTTCTGCATCTCAAAAACTAGAGCTGATAGGAGAAAGCTGATGTCATCTTTGGAATCAGCAGGTCAAATATACCTAGAAACCGAGCTAACTGTTGAAACATCAACATGCCTCTCCTCTCAGGTATCCAGGTAGCTTACAAATTAAAATGAGTGCAATATAGTTAAATGTTTATTAAAGATCTGTCAGAAATATTAAAAATTAACTAGGTATTTTTGGTTACAAAAATGTGAGTCAAGCACTGAAAGGGTTAAATGGATGCAGTGACTCAGAGGAGCTGCGGGTTCAATGTAAGCAGGCATGACTCTTGCTTAGTAATGCTTCAGTCTGAGAGAGTTCTCAGTCTGAGAGAAACCCGTGCGAGGGAACACCTCAGTGGGAGAATAGGCTTTAGTGTTAGTAGGCCTCACAGTGTGAGGTAGGCCTCAGTATGAAAAAGCCTTGTTGTGTGAAGCTCCAGTGTGAAGGCTGAACTTTCTCTGTGTTATGGAAACTTTATCTCTGTAAATAGCACAACAATATTATTTTTGATATAAAGAAAAGCCTCCTATGGAAGAGATAACATTGGTCTGTGTGGTTTTTTTTTCTTTTTGTCACTTTAGGCAACTGGTGCTGGGTCACACTGCTGCTATGTTACTCTGCTATAAATTTATGGTCTTTTGTTAATAAGCTCACTCGCCCAACAAAATCAACATCAAAATAGGATTAAACTCATGTTTAAACTTTAGTTTAACACTAATGTTGAAGTATACACTTAACAATGAACCATCTAGGACTTTAAAATTGTCTAGGGAGACCCTGCTCTTGAGCCCACCTGCAACGCAAATACATTTGGCGGGGACGAGAGACAGGGCCTTCTCAGTGGTGGCCCCTTGGCTATGGAACACCCTCCCTAGGGGCATTAGATCGGCCCCCTCCCTTTTAACATTCCGGAAAAAGATTAAGACTTGGCTATTTGAGCAGGCGTTTGAAAATGCAGTGTAACAGACATAGGAATTGGAACAACTGGATGATGAGAATGGACAGTGCTTTTAACTAGGAGACGTAAAGGATCTATTTTTTAAAATCTTATTATTTATTTCGACATTTATATGCCACCCTTCTCACTCCGAAGGGGACTCAGAGCGGCTTACAAGGTATATATTACATACAATATATTATATTATTAGCATAGTACAATATCAGCATTAAACATTGCTATATGGCACCATATCACTATATCGTAACATTATTAGTAATATTACATGTAATATAAATATATAATTATAATATCATATTATTATTATATTGCATTACATTATAATATTATAAACATTATTATGACTATATGATATGTTAATATTTTTTTAAAAAAATTATGGTGTTGTTGAGCATTGAATTGCTGCCTCTGTAAACCATCCTGAGTCGCCTGCAGGCTGAGAAGGATGGTATACAAATATAGTAAATAAATAAAGAATGTGTACAGACCGTATTTTTAAAGCCTTCCCCTTAAAATCTGTTAGTTTTGAGTCGCCTGCAGGCTGAGAAGGACGGTATACAAATATAGTAAATAAATAAATAAATAAATAAATAAATAAATAAATAACGTGTACAGAACGTATTTTTAAAGCCTTCCCCTTAAAATCTGTTCGTTTTAACAACCCATCTGAATGAAAGACTCATTTGCACGCTGACAGAAAGAAACCAAAGAGAAGACTGGGTTGTTGTAGGTTTTTTGTGCCGTATGGCCATGTTCTACAATGGTCACAACCTCGGAGGATGCCTGCCATAGATGCAGGCAAAACATCAGGAGAGAATGCTTCTAGAACATGGCCATACAGCCCGAAAAACCTACAATAACCCGGTGATTCCTGGGCTGGAAAGCCTTTGACGATACAAAGAGAAGATGATTCTAGCCTTGCTAAGAAGGGAGTTCCCGACTTTAGGGGCAGCCACTGAGAAGGCCTTACCTTGTGTAATTTCGGGTAGATGTTTAACAATGAAGAAATAAAAATTCTTGCATTCATGTATATCGCTCTATACCAGGCATGGGCAAACTTCAACCCTCCAGGTGTTTTGGACTTCAACTCCCAGAAATCCCAGCCAGCTTACTGGCTGTTAGGAATTGTGGGAGTTGGAATCCAAAACACCTGGAGGGCCAAAGTTTGCCCATGCCTGCTCTACAAAATACACATGCAGTATATTATATTCCTTGGTCAACATTAATTCTGTGCCAGCATAAGATTGTTAAACTGAGAAGGGTGGCAGGTAAAGTTCAAAGCTCCTTTATCGGATGGTGAGACGAAGGGGAACGACATCTACACATATGCAAATAATTACAATAAGACCTACAGATATGCAATGACAAGGATTTATCCTGCACCAAGCAAATGCCTATAGATTTGCATGCCTAAAAAACTTGTTTCCAGCTGTTAGGATTTCTGGGAGTTGGAGGCCAAAAACACCTGGGGACCCCAGGTTGAGAACCACCGATCTAAGACATTAAGATCGTCTGGGGAGGCCCTGCTCTTGAGCCCGCCTGCATCGCAAATACGGTTGGTGGGGATGAGAGACAGGGCCTTCTCAGTGGTGGCCCCTCGGCTAAGGAACACCCTCCCTAGGGACATTAGATCGGCCCCCTCCCTTTAAACGTTCCGGAAAAAGGTTAAGACTTGGCTATTTGAGCAGGCATTTGAAAATGCAGTGTAACAGACATAGGAATTGGAGCAACTAGATGATGAGTCTGGACAATGCTTTTAACAAGGAGACATAAGGGATCTATTTTTTAAAATCTTATTATGACTTTATATGATATGTTAATTTTTTTTTTAAAAAATGTGGTGTTGTTGAGCATTGAATTGCTGCCTCTGTAAATCGTCCTGAGTCACCTGCAGGCTGGGAAGGACAGTATACAAATATAGTAAATAAATAAATAACATGTACAGAACGTATTTTTAAAGCCTTCCCCTTAAAATCTGTTCGTTTTAACAACCCATCTGAATGAAAGACTCATTTGCACGCTGACAGAAAGAAACCAAAGAGAAGACTGGGTTGTTGTAGGTTTTTTGTGCCGTATGGCCATGTTCAGACTATATGGTCACAACCTCTGAGGATGCCTCCTATAGATGCAGGCAAAACATCAGGAGAGAATGCTTCTAGAACATGGCCATATATCCCAAAAAACCTACAACAACCCTGTAATTCCAGCCATGAAAGCCTTCAACGATATATAGAGAAGACCATTCTAGCCATGCTCAGAGGAGAGTTCCAGACTTTAGGGGCAGCCACTGAGAAGGCCTTATCTTGTGTAATTTCAGGTAGATGTTTAACAATGAAGAAATAAAAATTCTTGCATTCATGTATATTGCTCTATACCAGGCATGGGCAAACTTTGGCCCTCCAGGTGTTTTGGACTCAACTCCCACAATTCCTAACAGCCAGTAGGCTGTTAGGAATTGTGGGAGTTGGAATCCAAAACACCTGGAGGGCCAAAGTTTGCCCATGCCTGCTCTACAAAATACACATGCAGTATATTATATTCCTTGGTCAACATTAATTCTGTGCCAGCATAAAATTGTTAAACTGAGAAGGGTGGCAGGTAAAGTTCAAAGCTCCTTTATTGCATGGTGAGACAAAGGGATAAGACACCTACATATATGCAAATAATTACAATGAGACCTACAGATATGCAGTGACAAGGAATTATCCCGTAACAAGAAAATGCCTATAGATTTGCGTGCTGAAAAAGCTTGTTCATGTATCTGTGTTGTTAATAAATAACAGACATACACTCTATGGACAAGGAGTGGGGAAATCACCTGGTAGTTTACAGAGGATGGATGGATGTAAACATAGCCTTCCTTTTTGGTAACGAACTTCAGCTCCCCAGGTTTTGGGTTCATTTTCACAGCTCCTGTACTGGTCTTCTGATACTTCCCTTCTGGCACTTTCACCTAAATAAGTAAAAAAAAAAAAATAAGGGAAGAAAGGGGAAAAAAGAGGGGAAGTGCTCAAAAGCAATTCTCATTCAATGAAAACAGCTGTACAGAAAGAAGCTTTTCTAGCAACACAGATTCTGATGCATACCAGGTTTTATTGAGACAGTGATTATTATCCTGGAAGTCATAGGATTTCTCTAGCTCTTTTGTACTACACTCTTCCCATTGCTTCATGTAAGGCACATTAACATTCTCAGAGCTTGTTGGGACCAAGCGGAAACAAGTGGAAACTGCCATTGGAAGGAAAGGTCATTTACCTGCCAAGAGCCACCCCACCCCACCCCCCAAACCCCCTGCCCAGTAAAACATTAACAGTCTTCTAAACATACATTTTCCTTCAAATATTGGTTTCTGAACCTGACAAGACAGAGCATGAAAAAGTTATTTTGAGGTCAATAATCCCCTTGCCAACATAGAATCATAGAGTTGGAAGAGACCCCCCCACCCCCCGCCAAGAAGCAGGAAAATCACATTCAAAGCACCCCCGACAGATGGCCATCCAGTCTCTGCTTAAAAGCCTCTAAAGAAGGAACCTCCACCACACTCCGAGGGCAGAGAGTTCCACTGCTGAACAGCTCTCACAATCAGACCATCTTTAAAATATGTTATTATTTATTTGCCTTCAGGCCAAGAAGCAGGAAAATCACATTCAAAGCAGCCCTGACAGATGGCCATCCAGTCTCTGCTTAAGAGCCTCCACCACACCCTGAGGCAGAGAATTCCACTGCTGAACAGCTCTTACAGCCAGGCCATCTTTAAAATATGTTGTTGTTATTGTTTATCTGCTTTCAGGCTGCATGGCAACCCTAAGGCAAACCTATTGGAGGGTTTTCTTGACGAGATGCATTCAGAGAAGTTTTGTGATTGCCTTCCTCTGAGGCTGAGAGAGTGAGGCTTGTTCAATGAGTTTCCATGGTTGAGGAAGCATTCTGACCTCGGCCTTCAGAATCATACTCCAATGCTCTAACCACTATACTACACTGGCTCTTAAATACTTTACCATTGTCTCTGTGTTTGTGCTTTTTGTAATTTTATATTGTTATGTATTCACATGTTCTATGTGATTATGATGTTTATTGTTTGCATTTTCGGTTTGTGTTTTCGGTTTTACTCTGTTGTAATTTGTTGTTTGGGCTTGGCCTCATATAAGCCGCTCCGAATCCCCATCGGGGAGATGGTGGCAGGGTATAAATCAAGATTACTATTATTATTATTATTATTATTATTCCAGGGTACTGTTTTTAATGACTAAATAAGGTATATAATACATCAATACCTTGAGAAAACACAACATAATAGGATATTGTGAATTGGATAGACATGCTAATCTATCCCAACAAAGCCAACAATCATTCTTTTGGAGAATTAAAAATGATCTTTTTGGAAAAATGGCTTTCACAACCTTTTTGAAAAGAAAAATGATGTCATATCTTTTCAGCAAAAGTGAAATCTCCATGAACATCTGGAGACCACCTTTTGAAAACCACTCGGCAAGGAAAGGCATGACCTTGCTAGAAGTCAACCCTTTGAAAAAGTGATGTTTACAAGCATTCATGTAATGGCACACAAGTAAATCAGCTGTTAAACTGATAAACCATGTCTTTGAACTGCCAGGAACAAAGACATGCCACTACACAAAAAAACATATACTTAGCTAGCAGAGTTTTGAAATGTTTCTTTGAAGTTGAAATTGAAATTGCCCAACACATATGCTCTCCCTTGAAACCTCCTAGTTTAAAATATGCACCCAGAAACAAAAAACAAAGTCTTATTTTAAAAGTAGTATATCTTGTGTACTCACAAACATTAATTCAGTATACAGGCACATTTATAGATAGGATGTAGTTTTTCTGTGTTGAGAACACAGGGCATCATTCTTAAAATCAATAGTCCATAGTCCAAAGCATACTTTGGTTCATACAGAAGTCTAAACTGTATAACTGTACTCATTGCTGCTGATGCAAACATATAGCATACTGTTCTCATGGAAGTCTAAAGCATCTACTTCCTTTGAAAGTCAATGACATAACACTTCCACTGAAGTCCAAAGCAGATTGCTAACACTGAAGCCCCAAATCATACTGATAACAAAATGGAGTCTTGAGTCTGAACATGCTCAGTACAATCACATGTCTGTAGCCCCTCCCACACCAAAGAGGTCAGTCAAACTAGCAAATCAACACACAAATACAATGCAAGTTAGCAAATATATACAAACAAATAGTGAAGGCTTGGAAGGTTGCTATTTCCAACAGCTCTGACGTAAGTTTTCATGGAAAGCAGCAAACTTTATCAGGTTTCTATGAGATGACACAAGATTATATCAAATACATGTTTGAGAGGGCCGTTGTTGATAAAGGCTTATGTCACACAAAAATAGGTGAGTCTATCCTTGTGACTTTATTTTTAATATATTTTAAAAGCATGATAAAAGAGTAAAAAATGTTGGTGTTCACATGACTCCAGCAATCGTCAATGGTATTAAGAACATGGAGTACAGCTTCCAAAGAGCAGGGCATACAACAGCATCATTGTCATTGATGCTAAGAAGAACTGGGGTTGTCATTGCCTTTCTCTGAGGCTGAGTGTGACTTGGCTGCCCATTGGGTTTCCATGGCCCAGCAGGCATTTGAATCTTGGACTCCAGAGGCTCAAACCATGACATTATGATGGCTCTTGCAGTTCAGGCTACTCCATGCTATGTCTTCTCAGGCTCCCTAACTATAATGAACTTAGAAAAAAATAGAGACGACACAGTGATCTTATATATGTGTGAATCTGACTCTTTCCTCCTAGTTTCTATACCTTTTTCAAATAGCTTATAATCTTCATGTTCGTCTGCCTGGAACCTGTTTGGCTGCTGCTTGCATACAAAACTGGCAAGTGTTTCTGAGAGTGATTTAGTTTTCCCTTCAGCAAAGAACATGCTAATAGCAAGTGCTTTCAAGTGTGGAGACTTACTAGTAAAGGGTACACATAGCTAGATGAAAAGGAAATATGCCGTCTTACCTGAACTACATTGGGATACAGAGCAGCACATAGCATGGCTGATATCAACTTCACATTCTCTGCATTTGCATTCGCCTGTAATGTAATAAAATGCCATATCTTAGGGTTTGTCCATTTCCTCCCCCCTAATTTTAAACATAATAATGTCAGATAAGGATTAACCATGTCATAGAATCATGTCAACTTGGCAGGGCAGTAAAAACTGGCTTCTCAACCTGAGTAGAGCTTATGTTTTGTTGTTTCACATCAATTATAATATTTTAAGGTTTTTATTTTTTGTTAGCTGCCATGACTATTGTTACAGAAAGCCAAGACATGAGAAAGAACAAAATAAATAACATCTTAGATACTAAATGCAGTAAGATATGACAATATATAGTTTAAATGAGCTGAGGAAATATAACACTGTTGTTTATTAGTTCAGTTGTTTCCGACTCTTTGTGACCTCATGGACCAGCCCACGCCAGAGCTCCCTGTCGGCTGTGGCCACCTCCAGCTCCTTCAAGGTCAAGGAAGGGATTTCAAGGATTTTTTTTTTGTCGTGTCAGGAGCGACTTGAGAAACCGCAAGTTGCTTCTGGTGTGAGAGAATTGGCCGTCTGCAAGGATGTTGCCCAGGGGACGCGTGGATGATTTGATGTTTTTATCATCCTTGTGGGAGGCTTCTCTCATGTCCCCGCATGAGTAGCTGGAGCTGATAAAGGGAGCTCATCCGCCTCTCCCCGGATTCAAACCTGCGACCTGTCAGTCTTCAGCTCTGCCGGCACAGGGGTTTAACCCACTGTGCCACTGGGGGTTTCAAGGATACCATCCATCCATTTTGCTCTTGGTCTGCCCCTCTTCCTTTTTCCTTCCATTTTCCCCAGCATCACTTTCTTCTCCAAGCTTTCCTGTCTTCTCATTATGTGGCCAAGTACTCCATCTTTGCCTTTCTATCCTTCCCTCCAGTGAGCAGTTGGATATTATTTCCTGGAGTATGGACTGGTTGGATTTTCTTGCGATCCAAGGCACTTTCATAATTTTTCTCCAACACCACAGTTACAATATAATATAATACTACACAGCATTAAAACCAAAATGACATTGGGTGGTTGGGAGGTTTCCAAGCTGTATGGCCATGTTCAAGAAGCATTCTCTCCTGACATTTCACCACATCTATGGCAGGCATCCTCAGAGTTTGTGAGGTTTGGCATTTATTATAACTATGTTGCATAAGTAAGACATAAGTCCTGTCTGATTTACATCCACCTCACTAGGTATTCAGGCAGACCCAATGAGGCAAAAACATATACGAGGGCAAGTGAGATTTAGTCAGCTTGAAATAAAAGAATTAACCCAACATTTCTCAAGTCGATAACCATAAATCGTTGCAGAAGACTCCAGTATTAACAAGTTCTGTTAGCTCTCAAGAAGTAGAAGGTGCACAATGGAGTGGGCCAGGTGCAAAGAATGTGTGAACAGCATTAACTACACATTTGTTTGACAGACAATGAAGTGAAAAGTCACAACTGTAGAAAAGTCAAGACCGAATGAGGAAAAGGCACACATCCTGCCTCAACCTCCAGTCCAGTTACCTCTTCTCCTGTAGCTTCAAGAATGCCATCCCCTCCTTGAGACCACCACCTCTCGATATCCCGGGCTCTGAGTCCCTCTTTCACAAACCCAATATCAGACAGGAGTTCGGTGAATTGCCTTTTTAAACTGGCCATTTCCTATGATAGTATGTGAGTGAGACAAAAAAAGAGACAATTTTGTTAGTTCCCAACCACAAGTGACACTGTTTGAGACCTTTGCACTGTGTTGCAAGAAACCTTCAGAGACTTGTTAGCAACTTCTCAATATGAAGAGGAACAATAATTTAAAAATAAATTCTTTAGCAGTTTGTGTACCCAGGTATGGGCAAACTTGGGCCCTCCAGGTGTTTTGGACTTCAACTCCCACCATTCCTAACAGCCTCAGGCCCCTCCTTTTCCCCCTCAGCCGCTTAAGTGGGTGAGGGGGAAAAGGAGGGGCCTGAGGCTGTTAGGAATGGTGGGAGTTGAAGTCCAAAACACCTGGAGGGCCCAAGTTTGCCCATGCCTGTTGTAGAGAAATAAAATAGAACAAGTTAAAAGGCTCTGAGATAACTTGGGAAAGTATACTAAAGGAAAGTGAGAAATTTGTATAGGAAACTAAAAAAAAAGCCAAAAAAAGACAGGGGGATCTCTTAAATTTGATCTGTTCTGAGCTAAAGAAAAAACTGTTGAGAAACTACAGAGAGTCTGCAGTACATTCCTCAAACATTCTTTGACTCCTGCCTCTTCTTCTGTGGAGAATGCCTCTATGCACCCCAGAATAATATTATCTTACCTGAAGAACATTTTCTGACAGGAAGTTTTCTCTGCAAAAGCTGTAAGCTGCTTGGGAGCTCTCTTTTGAAGACAGCCGCCATCCCTAAACAGTGGAAATGCAAAAGGTCACCCTGCTGTCATTGTCTAGAAAAAAGAGAGTTTTGGAGACGAGTCACAAGGCAGACTTTTCTTACTTGCCTTATAAGCTTGGAGAAGAGCCAGGTAATCACTGTTTCCTATTGCAAACTCCAGTTTTTTCTTGAATGCTTCCTCTCTTTTGTCCCACGGAGAAACCTTTGTAATTCAAACACAGTTGTACAAATGGTATGCTTAAAGTTAAAACATCATCTATAACAGTGGTTCTCAACTTTTTATTGACCAGGGACCACTCTCCAATATTAGTACCAAAAGGGTTATGAATCAGTTTATAGTCAACTTTGGATTTGATTTAGTTATTTGGGGTGCCGATTAAAAAAACTGCATTGGATAGACCAGAACATATGCCATTCAGTAGTCACTATCTGCTTGCCCACAAAAAACCATATTTAATAAGCCTTGGCACTATAAGAGGGTTTCACGAGACCAGTTGCTCTCGTTGCAACAATGTAGTAATGGTGAGGCCATGGACTATATTTTAGTAATTGCAGACCACAGGTTGAGAACCACTGATCTATAAGAATTCTGATTTACAGTATACTCCAGGGATGTCAAGCTCATTTTCATCGAAAGTCACGTCAGCCTTATGGTTGCCTTCAAAGGGCGGTTGAATCTGTGGATACAAAGGGCCAGCTATATACAATACATTAAATTTTTGATAGATTCTCTTTTGGGCTGCTCTCGTATCTCATAATGCTGAAGATACTGCTGGGGCTTAATGCACATATATATCAATTCTATGCTGTTTCTTGTTACAAAGTATGATATTCAAAGTTAGATGCACACACAGTGAATGTATGTTTGTGCACACACATAGATACATAAACATGATTTTAAAGAAAAACTTCACAGCCCTTCTTTTTAGGATCTTTTTTGGAATGTTTGACTTTTATACCCATTTTATATACCTACTAGCTGTTCCCGCAACGTGTTGCTATGTCCAACCTTCCCTCCCTCTTTCTCTCCTTCTTTCTTTCTCTCCTTCCTTCCCTCCCCTTTCCTTCCTTCCCTCTTTTTCTTTCCCTTCTTCTTTCTTCCTTCTCTGTTTCTTTCCTCCCTTCCTTTGCTCTTTGGTTCCATCCTTCCCTCCCTCCCTCCCTCCCTCCCCCCTTCCTTCCTTCCTTCCTTCCTTCCTTCCTTCCTTCCTTCCTTCCTTCCTTCCTTCCTTCCTTCCTTCCTTCCTTCCTTCCTTCCTTCCTTCCTTCCTTCCTTCCTTCCTTCCTTCCTTCCTTCCTTCCTTCTCTCCTTTCCTCCTTCTTTCCCTCTTTCTCTTCTTCCTTCTCTCTTTCCTCCTTTCTGTGTATATGTGTTTTGTGTCTATATATATGCATATATGTGTGTATATATTTCTGTATATATGTATATATGTGTGTTTGCATGTATATATGTGGATTTGCGCATGCGTTGTATTTTTTTGTTTTTTGGCTTTTTAAGTTTCTGTTGTGTTTTTCAGTGTTTTTATGAGTGATGGTCACTTGTTGGCCTGATATGTGCCTTGTGTCCAAATTTGGTGTCAATTCGTCCAGTGCTTTTTAAGTTATGTTAATCCCACAAACGAACATTACATTTTTATTTATATAGATGTAACAGGCATGGGCAAACTTTGGACCTCCAGGTATTTTGGATTTGAAGTCCAAAACATCTGGAGGGCCCAAGTTTGCTTATGTTTGCTATATGGCCTGGGTCACACAAACATTTCTCAGGTTGAAGGGGGCCACACATGGAAAAATGTCAGAAGCCCTGATTGAAAGCAACACTACTTACAAAAGGAGACTTGTAGGCTCTGCTGGCTGCTATGGTCAGTGCAGGATCCAGGCAGCGAAAGATGGTGCCAAACAGCATTAGCTTCCCAATCCCCACATCGACAGGCAAGGAGGCCAAGTGATATCCCAAGGGAGTGAGCTTCTCGTCGGATGTCAAGGCGCCAACATCCTGCAGCCGCACTTTGGATGCACGCAGAGACTCGGATGTCGGCGGCTCAATCAATCGGGATAAAACTGAATGAAGACTATACGAGGAGAACATTTCCAGAATCTTAATCCTGGAAGAAACAAGGTGCAAAGGACAATTTGGTATATTTTGATAAACTTGTAGTAAATAAAAGGACACAGGATTATTTCAGGTCAGGTCTGACCAAAGCAGAACAGAGTGGTAGTATTCCTTCCCTCAATCCAGACACTACGTCCCTCTTGACCCCATTTTAAAAGATGTGCTAAGAAGATGCTGAAAAGGTTCCATTAGGAGACTGAAATGGATAAAGGTGACAAAAATGATTTACCGGAGACAGAGTTGCTCCAAAGGCACTCTTTGTATTTCAGGTAACTGCTGCTTTAAAAGGTGGTGATTATAATGATGGCTACTGAAGAGATGAAAGCAGACGCCAGAGGCTACACGACCTGCTCGGCCTTTCCTTTGCAAGGCATTGGCTTTGGACACAAACATATCTTCCAGGCTTTCCATGCCTTTGCTTGGATCATACCTGCAGAGTACACAAAATGGTGTTTGAAAACTAATCTTTAGGAAGTCACATTCTGGGTTTTTCTTAGTGACAGTCAGACATTTTTATTAATCATATATATATGTTCAATTATATGCATAAACCCCCAGCCTGGCAAATACGTAGGACGCTGCCCATCAAAAATAAAATTTCACATAAAGGCCAAGAAACGAGGCGATACAATATTCAAATAGCTTTTTTTAAAAAAAAGCAGGGCAAAGTATTAAATATACAAAGGCTCCCGGGACAGGTATATTGAGGGGCCCCTGGTGCCACAGCAGGTTAAACCGCTGAGCTGCTGAACTTGTTATTTTATTTATTTACTATATTTCTATACCAATCAAAAGGTTGGTAGTTCGAATTTGGGGTGCGACATGAGCTCCTGCTATTAGCCCAGTGTCTGCCAACCTAGCAGTTCAAAAACATGTAAATGTGAGTAGATCAAAGGAACAGCTTCTGCGGGAATGTAACGATGCTACATGACCTTGGAGGTGTCTACGGGCAATGCTGGCTCTTCGGCTTAGAAATGGAGATGAGCACCATCCCCCAGAGTTGGACACAACTAAACTTAATTTCAAAAGGAAACCTTTACCTTTACCAGGACATGACAGTCTTTGCTACCTGTCCAAGCAGGAATACTTTTTACAGTGTAGCTGTGCATCTTGTTTAGTATTTTAAGAGGAAAAAATGCTATTGAAAATATTTATGATTTAAAACAGGAGGAGGTCATTTCTCTTTGGAGCCCCCCCCCCTCAGAATCTCAGTTGCTCCTAACAAAGAGATGCAATGTGTTATGGAAATACTCTGAAAGATTCTCACAGTAAAGGGAGTGCCTGATGACAAAGCAAAATAAACCACTAAATTGTGTGACAGTTTAAGTATCTGTATTGTATTTTTTCAATGCTTCTGCCATCTTTTAAAAATACTGCAGTATAGTTGGGAGTATTTGGGGTCCCTGGGGGGGGGGGGGGGGGGGGGTTCAGGGAATTTTGTGTAGTCCATGGGCTGCATCTCTCCCAGTCCTGGTCTCAGGTATTTACAAATACTGATATGAATCACAGCAAAATCAAATACTGGGATCTGGATATTCAGCATTACTTATTTAATCTGACTTCCTATATTACACTGAATTGATTCTGATCCTGTTAATTTTGCTCTGTTTTAATGATATTTCCTATACTATTATACATTGTTATCCACCTTATTGAACCACCTTATCCTTAAACTAGTTTGCATAGTGGTCTTCTTCCCCACTCCAAATTAGTCTGCTGTTACTGCTGCTGCTTGTTATTATTGTTATGCTGTTTTATGCTGTCTTAATTGCTATTGCTTTGCTTTTAATTGTATTCTGCCTTGGGCTTGGCCCCGTGTAAGCCGCCCCAAGTCCCTCTGGGGAGATGGAGGCAGAGTAGAAAAAAAAGTTCTTCTTCTAATATATCTATTAGGTAGAAGCTAAGATGGTATAGTAGACAACAATAAAGGTGATTCTTTCATAGATGTAAAAGTTCAGGACAGTGGAGTGGTAAGGGTGGTGGTTGGTTTTATTTAGCAGTATTAATTGACTTCTATGAATTTGATGAAATACAGGAAGCACGTAGCATATATAGCAAGGATGGGGAAACTACAGGTGGCACACAACTCCTAAGCCCCCCTTTGAGGTATTATATGAAGAACCCCATGTCCAAAGTCTTTTTCTTTTAAGAGAAAGTAGACACTTCACTACATTTTTTAATCAGCTGTGTGCCTTTCCACACAGCCATATAACCCAGAATATCAAGGCAGATAATCCATAATATCTGCTTGAACTGGGCTATCTGAGTCTACACTATCCAGTTCAAAGCAGATGTAGGATTTTATACAGCTGTGTGGAAGGAGCCTCATTCACCCCACCCCATTATCCAGGCACCTCTTTTCTTTCATCTTCCCTGAATCAATTACATAGACTACATCATCAATGGTAATGGATGTTTCTGCAATATTTGTAGATATGATGATCTTGACAACTCCCACAGGAGGCTTAAGGAAAACGGCCTGCTGTTCTGCACTGGAGAGCGAAGAATGGAGCGGATAAACAACACAACTAGGAGAAAAAAAGATAAGTTGAGATTGTATTTTTTCCGTCTCTATCTGTTCCCAAACCTGGGGAATTAGAGTTATTGCATGCTCAAAAGGGCAATGTTAGCTATTGCAACAAATGCATAAATTGTCAACAAGGGAGCCACTTAGTGAAAATCTTCTCATGGGCTCATATAAGCGATACACTCTTCTCAGATGGGTTTGATTGCAAAATTGGGTTCAAACTCTTTTAAATAAGCAATACAAATAAATAAACTGAACTTTATTAACAGATTCAGGAAAAGTAAAAGAGTATCTTAACCACACACTGTGTAATTGAAAAAATTCAGACCACAAAAATAATACCAAGCCATGATTTGACACTATATACATCGATGCTGCTCTCACACACTTTTGCTTTATCTCATTTGTTTTAATTCCCTCTCTTTCAGTGTGTCATAGCATCTGAACCGGGTAAACTACAACTTTGGGTATCTAGGCATGCAACCCAGGTTCTGATGTTCCAGTTTGTAAATAAATCGCAGAATATACTGTGAGCAAAAAAGACAGTATACAAGAAAAGATCTTATCTGTGTAACAGTAAAACATGGTTAATTTTAAATCTGAACAGACACAATATGTTTTCTTCAACTGCGTGATCTGATACACTTTAGAATAAGAAACACAATTTGCAACCCAGCTACATCAATTATAAGCACTAACTATGAATTGTTGAAGGCTTTCATGGCCGGAACCACTGGGTTGTAGGTTTTTTCGGGTTATATGGCCATATAAGCCCGAAAAAACCTACAACAACCCATTATCTATGAAGTTCCATTTTAAGCAGACAATACAAACAATATAAAAGATTTGGAGGGAGAGCATTGCTAGGAGATTATCTTTCCCCTTGATTAAATGCTCTAAACTACTATTTTAAAAAATAAAATTGGATAGGAAAATTATTCTTCACTTACCGTTTGCTATGCCGGTTATTGAAGAGTGCATTAGACTGCAATTGCTTATATAATGTTTTAATTTCTGCCAGGCCTGGTAAAAATACCAGTACTGCACCTAGATATGGGTGTGCAGAAAGATGGTTGAATTAACAGAAAATAATCTTTTTTTAAAAAAAGATTGTATAGAAAGTAACATATCCAACAAACGATGCATCTCGGATCCAATACAATGCTGAATTGATATTTCCCAACTATCAAAATAAGAAATATTCAGATGGCATGATTCATATAATAGCTTTCCAAAAATTAACAGTAAAATAATAATAATAATAATAATAATAATAATAATAATAACTTTATTCTTGTATCCTGCCTCCATCTTCCCGAAGGGACTCAAGGCGGCTTACTAATGGCATAAAGTGAGAAACAATACTGGGTCACTATGCATGTGTGTGTATATATATGTGTGTGTGTATATATATGTGTGTGTGTGTTTGTGTGTGTGTGTGTGTGTGTGTGTGTGTGTGTGTGAGAGAGAGAGAGAGAGAGAGAGAAAGTGTGTGTAAAAAGAGATGAGAAAGAGAGAAATTACACATATATGTGAAGACACCAAGAGCCAGCATGGCATAGTAGTTTAAGCACTGGAGACCAGGGTTTAAATCCCCTCTTGGCCATGGAAACCCAGGGGGTAACTTTAGGCAAGTCCCACCTTCTCAGTCTCAGACAGAAGTGAAGACAAATCTATTTAAACAATTCTTATCAAGAAACTCCCATTATAACTTTGCCTTAGGGTCCTCATAAGTAAAAAACCACTTGAAGCTATACAACACATGCACATAGAAGAAGCAACCATACATATAAAGAGCGTATTCCTGAGCGTTAAGAGCTAAGTAACTGTCTGCATGCAGCTTCTGTCAGAAAAAAATTGTAGCTCAAAAGCAAATCAGTAAGTTCAAAGTTTTTTAATGTCTTCACCAAATTCAGTATGATAATGCTCACATGAATGTAAATAAAGTAATCATGGAACAAAAAACTATTAAGTTTGAAATCTCACTTTTGATTGTGCATTGAACTTATAAAAAGGCCTATGTCAAAACAATTTCAAAAACAGGTTCCCCCCATAATAACAGCAGAGTAGAATTCATAATTTAACATCCTGCCTGAAATAGTCATCATCACGCAATCACGGTCAAATACATTTGTGAAACTGCATCTAGAGAAAGATTACACTTCTACATTTTATTACCTGGCGGATATGAATGTTTGCCACTGACAATCCACTCTAGTAAGGCCTCAATTAATTCAAGATTAACTTTGTCTAAATCCATGGTTGCCATTGTTTTTAATACTGATGTGCTAATGCCTAAAAAAAAGAAAGAGCGCAAAATCAGTCAGATATATGTCATACCATTAACAGAAGAGCACTACACGAGCACCACATCCAAAAACGTCAAACATTTGGCAAGAAAAAAGGTATATAACTGCATTGTCTTTTCTAAAACAAGTTCTATTATTATGCTCTTCCTACTCCTCTCATATTAGGAATACAATGTAAGAAAAAGAGCAATTATTCATTACACTTACCAAAGGAAAAACTGCTCAGCTTTATTAGCTGAAAATTCTAAATATTCAGCTAATATTTAGAATATTAGTTGAATATTCTAAAGGGGCAGAAGAGTTTGAAGTTGCCTTGGATCCCACACTGATAGCAACCTTCTCAAGCCTCCTCTATTTAATGCTTTGTCTGTTTATAATGTGTCTGTGGTGTTGTTATGAGGATGATGGGACTCAGGTTCACAGTTTGGTTCAAAATGTCCCTGTTATAGACAGTGAAAAAATACCTGATATAGACAGTGAAGAAATGCAGTTTCCCACAGTAAGGCATGAGAGTGTTGATACTGAAAATAGCCAGGTGCAGTTTGACTCAGAGAAGGAGGATAGCTCTCAGCCTGGTTCTCAGCCTGATAATGAGCAAGCAGGGAAATAGGCTAACACTAACGAACATACTGACCTTGACGATATGGGAACTTTAGATTGGGCTGACCGGTTGGAATTCCGAATTCGAAGGAATGAAAAAATAGCTAACAAGAGGGAGGCCAGAGACCAGAGAAACACCTTCATGTTTTGCAAAGGGTATTAAACAGTGTGTTTGAGACCAGATCTTTGTCAAAGCAACTTCATGTTTACCTAAGGAGCTTGCCTAAAATAGGTTGGATTATCTTGCAGTTTTGTTTTTCATGGTTCCAGGACTTTGTCATGTTCTCTTGGGTTTTGTTGTTGCTGGTGCCTTTTTGGATTAAGCTTCAAGTGCTATGTTATGTTGATCTTTTGGAATATTAACCTTTGCTTTTAAGAATTTTTTTTACCTTTTATTTTTTAATAAATTATAAAGACTTCTGGCTGTGTGCAGTTCAGTGTTCTTCAGCAAGGTGAATCTACTCTGAGGTGCAACATGTGGTTTCAACCAAATTCAAATTCAAAATACATAATTCAATATTCACCATAAGTAGTAAAAAAAATGAAATGAGATTCTGGAAAGACTGAGGATCTGTGAAATGGCGAGAATCCAAATCTAATGCTTAGTGAGCCTCTCAGCACGTCACAGATTCCACAGTCTCTTTCCAGCCTCATGTTTCTATTTAGCTTCAAATCTCATTTATTTGCTGATTAAAGGAACCTGATCATCTGCCTATTTTGGTATCTTTGGGAGTCCTACAGATATAGAGAGCCGACTGTATACAAAAACATGTCACCTTTGTAGCGGACCATCAACTGCTGGACCGTTAGTTGTTGGTCTGGGACAGAATCTTTAGCTGTGACTGCTGTACTTTGCACCAAGCCAGCATGCCTCAGGTCCTCCTCTACTTCCTCTGCAGCTGTCCTCAAGTGCCTTGCCTTCTTACCAGGACCTTGCTTCGTACTCCGCATGTATGGACTGCCATGTTCCAAGACATACCTGAATGCAAACGAGGAAGAAGGCCAAAAACAATCTTACATTTCAAATACCTAGCTGATGAAGGAGCTATATGGATATGAAGAACTTTTCTGTAAAACTTCTAACATGCTTCATGGCAACAAAGTATGTTAAGTGACACTCTTTATACTCAGAACTAGGGTAGGCTGAAAGTAGACTAGGATGTACTAATAATCCCTGAGTGAGATGAAAATAATGGGTTATGTTTTTATTACTCTTGTTTTATACTATGTATAACTGTTTTAAATGCTTTATGAAGTTCCTGGGCATCGAATCGTTGCCTCTGCAAACCACCCTGAGTTGCCTGAGGGCTGAGAAGGGCAGTATACAAATATAGTAAATAAATAAATCAATAAAATAAGAAACATATTCCTGTCTGTAAATCTGGCTGTTGAAATAAAATGAGTTTTGAAAGGAAAGGAAATCAGGAGCAGGTGTATGACAGGACTATGGACTCAGCTTTGGTCCTGAAAGCAAATTCCTGGGATGCGTGTGTCCCTAGAGGCAGCCTTGTTTCATGTTCCCAAGAGTAAATTCTTCCTCAAAATAAACCATAATTGTTTGGGGATGGGCAGAGCATGCCGAGGGCCACGTGAGGACTGTCAATGCCTCGGCCCAGCTCTTTGGCCCTCTGCCACGCTTTGCTTCCTGCCTACATGGCCTACCTGCACACCAACCCCATTATCTCCTCTCCCTCTACTTCCTGCCTCCCATGCTCTTTAACACTCCACTCCAAGAACAAATAAACCTTCTCGACAAAGCGTGCACGTATCACATTCCCCTTTACATAGATGCATCTATATAGCAACGAGTTCTCCAATAATATAAATTATAAAATTAGCAGGCACATAAAAAGCATTGCATTCTAGCTACTCCATATTACTGGTTCCAACATATTGCAAGTTGTCAGTATTTGTAAAATACTCCTGCCAAGATATGGTGTGTATACTACATCATCCCTCCACATTCACTGGGATTATGGACACAGGTCCCCCATGAATGTGAAAAAATTTAAAAATGCAATTTTTACCTGAGGGAACACCTCTCTTAGCATTCCTAGGTCCTTCAGCTGGAAGGTGACCATAGAATTGCGCTGGAGGACCCAGAGATGTACAGTCAGGTATTCCTTCTAGTAATCACTGTCCTTCATTCTGACTTTATGGTAACACTAAATGCATATTTCCTAACACAGGGTTTCTCAACCTTCCTAATGCCACGACCCCTTAATAGACTTCCTCACGTTGTGGTGACCCCCAAACATTGCTACTTCAGAACTGTAATTTTGCTACTGTTATGAATCGTCATGTAAATATCTGATATGCAGAATCCTAATATAAATATCTGATATCTGATATGCAAGATGTGTTTTTATTCACTGGACCAAATTTGGCACAAATACCTCATACGCCCAAATTTGAATACTGGTGGAGTTAGAGGAGATTGATATTTAATTTGTGAGTTGTAGTTCCTGGGATTTATAGTTCACTTACAATCAAAGTGCATTCGGAACTCCACCAACGATGAAACTGAACCAAACTTGGCACTCTTATGACCAACAGAAAATATTGGAAGGGTTTGGTGGGCATTGACCTTGAGTTTGGGAGTTGTAGTTCACCTCATCCAGAGAGCACTGTGGACTCAAATAATGATGGATCTGGACCAAACTTGGCACAAATACTCAATATACCCAAATGCGAACACTGGTGGAGTTTGGGAAAAACAGACCTTGATATTTTTAGGAGTTGTAGTTGCTGGGATTTATAATTCACCTACAATCGAAGAGCATTCTGAACCCCACCAACGATAGAATTGGGCCAAACTTCCCACACGGAACCCCCATGATCAACAGAAAATATTGTATTTTCTGATGGTCTTTGGCGACCCCTCTGACACCCCCTTGTGACCCCCCCCCTCAGAGGTCCCGACCCCCAGGTTGAGAAATGCTGTCCTAATGTAACTACTAGTTAAGATGACAATATAAGGGTATGATTCTGTAGTCCATTAAAGCCATAAACAAAACAGAAGCCCAAATGAATAATATTTTAAATATGAATACACAACTAAACAGTCTGATTTTATTTAAAAGACCTACAAGGAATGCACTGAAATATTGAAGAAATGTCTTACCGAGTCACTGCAATTGCATCTTCTAGAAAAAACTGATCAACAGGGAACGTCCTACCTAATAGAGATACGGACAATAATAAGCAAAATTAAAAATAATATACAAAGCAGAGCAAAGGAATAGCATTTTATGTCACTGTTACAATTGCCATCGATATGTAAATTACAATAAGTAAAAAAGATACACAGGGTTGCTCTGAGTTTTCCAGGCTGAATGGCCATGTTCCAGAATCATTCTCTTCTGACATTTCACCCACATCTCTGGTAGGCAGACAACGCAGAGAAGCCACTGAAATCCACAAGTATGTGGACAATTTCAACAGAAAGGAGGAAAGCATAAATACCCAGGTTGGGAGAAAGAACTCTTGTCTGTTGGAGGCAAGAGTGAATGTTGCAATTGGACAACTTGATTAGCATGTAATGGCCCTGCAGCTTCAAAGCCTGGCTGCTTCCTGCCTGGGGGAATCCTTTGTTGGGAGGTGTAAGCTGGCCCTGATTGTTTCATGTCTGGAATTCCCCAGTTTTCTGGGTATCGTTGAAACACGAATCAAGGAACATGAAAGGTACTGCAGACTAATTCAGCCTGAGAAGTCAGCCATAGCAGAGCACCTGATGAACCTACCTGGACACTGCATATTATTTGAGAACACAGAACTGCTGGACCACTCTCACAACCACCATGTCAGGCTACACAGAGAAGCCATTGAAATCCACAAGCATGTGGACAATTTCAACAGAAAGGAGGAAACCATAAAAATGAACAAAATCTGGACACCAGTATTAAAAACTCAAAAAGGAGGACAGTAAATAGAGAACAACTCTCAAAAACAGGGGAATACCAGACAAGGAACAATCTGGGCCAGCTAACACCTCCCAACAAAGGATTTCCCCAGGCATGAAGCAGCCAGGCTTTGAAGCTGCAGAGTCATTAAATACTAATCAAGGGGGCCAATTGCAACATTCACACCTACTTAAAACAGACAATAGTTCTTTCTCTCACCCTGGACATTCCACAGATATATCAACCTCACTTGTCTAATTTCCAACAGACCCCTCAACCTCTGAGGTTGCCTGCCATAGATGTGGGCAAAATATCAGGAGAGAATGCTTCTGGAACATGGCCATACTGCCCTGAAAACTTACAGCAACCCAGTGATTCCAGCCATGAAAGCCTTCAATAACACATTGCCATTTCTTTCTGATCTGTATGGCCTGGCCTATGAACTTTCATTTTAGTAGCTGCAAACTTCTGCCATTATGAATTTAAAAAGAAATGATTGGCCGAAGAAATCATTAGATTCTGCAGAAGGAAGGGTTGCCACCAGTTATTGATTATGATAAATAGGTGAATGAACATATCCTTACACTTCTCTCATAAAAATCACCTAAGATAATAGCAGCCAACTATTTATTTAACTTATATCCTTTCTCCTGAAATTGGGATGCAAAACAAGATCAACCACAAATGATACAAATAAAGGCACAAAAGGTTTCGTAGAAAACTCTTTAAAATGAATTTAAATATTAAAACATAAGGAAATCCAAAGCAATTTAAAACGTGCCAATTAAGAGCTGTTAAAACTAGCAAAAGATTAACACATAAAGAGATTAATAATGAAATTGAATTAAGACTGTTTTTCACCTGGTATGTTTACAACTGGACAGGAGTTAAAGTACTGAGAAAAGAGTTCTGCATTCAGAGTAGCACTCATCAGTATAATTCGTAGGTCTGGCCTCTGAATCATGATGTCCTTCAAAATCAGCAGCAAGAAGTCACTGAAGGAAACAAGAAGAAAACATCTGAAATTCTTCAGGGCTGATTTAAATTGTTCTTTCAGTTATTTCCACCTATCCCCCCCTTTTTGCAGGAATTCTGTCAAAATTCAGAGCCATTTACTCCCAAGTTCCCTCTATCTATAGAGCTGGACATTGCATAAAATAGAGCTCTTTTCTCCAATTTGGTGGCCTTCTGGTGTGTTGGACTACTAACGCCAGAATCCACTGGAAGAGCAAAAAAATACTAGAGGGTTCTGTTAATAGGCTGTCAAACATCACAAACCAGTAGTTGTAGCAAAATTAAGAAAATAACTAAGACCTTATTGTTTTGAGGCATGGAAAGAGGTGACAAGATTGACATGTAAAGTTATAAGCATAAGATTTTTTTTTCCATACAGCTAGAAGGTATAATAAACAATTTCCCAGAATTGTGGAAAACTGGATTGCTGTGTGTTTTTCAGGCCATATGGCCATGTTCCAGAAGCATTCTCTCCTGACGTTTCACCCACATCTATGGCAGCATCCTCAGAAGTTGTGGGATCTGTTAGAAACTAGGCAAGTGAGGTTTATATATCTGTGGAATGTCCAGGGTGGGAGAAAGAACTCTTGCCTGCTGGAGGCAGGTGTGAAAGTTGCAACTGACAGGAAGAAGCCAGTCTTTGAGCCTGCAAGGCCATTCAATGCTAATCAAGATGGCCAATTGCAACATTCACATCTGCCTCAAGCACACAAGAGTTCTTTCTCCCACGCTGGACATTCCACAGATATATAAACCTCACTTGCCTAGTTTCTAACATACCTCACAACCCCTGGGGATGCCTGCCACAGGTGTGGGTGAAACATCAAGAGAGAATGCTTCTGGAACATGGCCATACAGTCCGGAGAACTCACAGCAACCAAGTGATTCCAGCCATGAAAGTCTTCGGCAACACATGAATTTATGATTTATTTTGATGATGAATTTATGATTTATTCTGACGAACTGACCTTTTGTAAGTTGTATAATTGTATTTTAATGTATTTTTGTACTATTGTATTATGATGTTTACTGTGGTTTATCTTATTGTATTTTAACCCTCTGCTGTTAGCCGGCCTGAGTCCCTCTTTGGAGGTTGAGAAGACCGGATTACAAAAGCTTGAAATAAATAAATAAATAAATAATAAATTGTGGAAAACAATACTAAACTGTAGTTTTTCCCTTTCCCAGACACAAAAGATGAGGAAAGGGAAAATGCCAAGGTTTTCCAGGGCTGCACAATAATAAATCATGACTAAGTGTCGCATGTGAATCAAGCCACCTTATATGATCACATGGACAGTGTGATTATTAAAAACAAAGAAAACAGTGCAGTACAGTGTTTAAAATATCAGGTTACAACCAGAGACATCTAAATTAAAATTCCCTCTCAACCTAAATAAATATATAAATAAATAAATAAAAAACAATGGATGCTTTGGATCAAAGGCTACCTTATCCTACATTATTTTCTGACTTTTTGTTTTTTGTATGTACTGATTCATAGCCCACTTTTCCTCATTGAGAACTCAGGACAGGTCACAATCATAAATTGAAAGTAGACTTAAAATCACATTTCAAAGATATAAGTATTATTCTAAAGGTATTCTTCATACAGCAACTATAAAAAGTTGGATTACCTTTCTTCTGTTCTCTCGTGAACTTCATCAATAATAACATGAGTGAATCCTTGTAGATTTAAGTCCCCTTCTAGTCTTCGCAGAAGCACCCCAGTGGTACAGTACAACAACCGTGTTGCTGAAGACTTTAAAACAGGAGAAACAACATTTATGGCTAAATCAAATTTTCTGCATATGATTACTAACTTCTCTGTTATTCAATTCACTGTGAAAGCCTAGATCAAATCTGACTATCTTATGTGTCATGGAAGAATCCTGCAAAATTTTTCCTCTGATGATCAAGTGAGCAACAAATTACACGTTGTAGGTTCACAGCAGGAACGTAAGTCTTTTGCCACTCCTTTTATGAACAGTGTTCAGTATGGGAAGTAACATGGATGATTACATTTGCTCAGCTCTCTCAAATGGAAAGGCAGCTCAGAACAAGCAATCAATTAGAAAAAAACATAATAAAAGCAACTGGTTTGATTATTAAGCAATTTCAATAATAGTAATTTCTAGATCCTTCAGTATAATTCTATAATGAAACTTTTGGAAGAGACTGATCATACCATTGTGCTGGCAGACCTAGATATCCCTAAAGAACACATCACGTGATGAATCTCCAGGTTAGTGGTTCTCAACCTGTGGGTCCCCAGGTATTTTGGCCTACAACTCCCAGAAATCCCAGCCAGTTTACCAGCTGTTAGGATTTCTGGGAGTTGAAGGCCAAAACATCTGGGGACCCCACAGGTTGAGAACCACTGACCTAGGTTCTCTTAGTACAACTCTATGGTCAACTTGCGCTGGAACGATTTAACAAGCAATCATTATTTCTCCACTTTTGCAGGAATCCTGCAACCCTAAACCCAACATATATAGAGGGTTGACTGTACAATATAACAAAAAGGCAACCCACCCTCCAAAATGACATTAAAAATGACTAAATTTTGATGCCAGCAAAAGCCCGAGTGAACAGAAAAGTGATGATGCTTAAATATCAACAGTTTAGATGTCTCCTAAAAGAGGTCCCAGAGGGGTTTCCACATTTTGGTGCCTGTTGCTCTTCCAGCCAAGAAAAGATCCTATTTCTAGCAGCCAGCTACTTGTGAAGGGGCCGAGGGAAGGACATAGCTTCAGCAAGTACTTCATCTTTGCCTGTAATATCCTTCCCTCCAGTGAGCAGCCGGGCATTATTTCCTGAAGTATGGACTGGTTGGATCTTCTTGCGATCCAAGGCACTCTCAGAATTTTCTTCCAACACCAAAGTCCAAAAGCATCTATCTTCCTTCGCTCAGCCTTCCTTATGGTCCAGCTTTTGCATCCATAGGTTACTATGGGGAATACCATATTAACCTTCGTTGCCAGTGTGATGTCTCTACTCTTTACTATTTTATCGAGATTGGTCATTGCTCTTCTCCCAAGAAGTAAACAGCTTCTGATTTCCTGGCTGCAGTCTACATTGTGCAGTAATCTTTGTGCCTAGAAGTCTGTCACTGTTTCCATGTTTCCTCTTTCTATTTGCCAGTTATCAGTCTGGTTGCCATAATATTGGTTTTTTGATGTTTAAATGCAACTCAGCTTCTGCACTTTCTTCTTTCACGTCAGTTATAAGGCTCCAGTTTAATTGCACGTTAGGAATTTTAAAACTAAAATGCAATTGCTAGTTTCAACAAGAGTAAATAAGAAATAATGGGCAAGGGGTAAGCATACACTTAGGTAAACACTCGTATCATTGCTAAGAGCAGCAACTGAATCCAGATAGTAATTATTACCAGAGGCTCAAAAAAAAAAAAGATGTGGTGGAAACTGGAAACTGGCTAGCTCATTTGACTACTGTAATAGAAATAAGGAAATAAGGTAAAAATAAACAAACCATGACACTTTCCAGCCGGATTTGGTATCCAACTGTGACCCCAACTCTTTCAGTACGTTCCTTGGCTACTCGTTCAGCCACAGAAATGGCCGAGATCCTGCGCGGCTGGGTGCAGATGATGTTGGCTAACTGACTGGGAGGACCTTCTAGGGAGGAGTCCAAGATAAACTGAGGAATCTGAGTGGTCTTTCCACATCTACATAAAGGAGAGGGATGAAATAAAAACAATAGCATTCTCCTATCCCCCAGGCAACACGTTGAGATGTGTGGTCACATCTAGCCTACATTTTTGAGAAACAAAACTAGTGCACTCCAAACTTACCCAGTCATGCCACTCACAACAAGAACCTGATGTTGGTTCAGCAAACGCAGAATGGTTTCTCTCTTTTCCCAGGCAGGGAGTTTCTGTCGTTCTTGTAACAAGGCCTGGTAGTGCCTAGAAGACTGACACAGAAGCATAAGGTAAACAACAGCCATAATTGTCAGTGCCATCTAAACATGCTTTATTTTTTTAAAAAATGTGACTTTTCAAGAGCTTTGTATTGCAGAGCTTGTCAAAGACATATGATCCCACTTCTAAGGACCACAAAACTCAGGTTGCAACATGTAATTAAAAACTGGCATCAACAAAGTGCCTTAAATCAATTAGTCAGGTAGCAATTTAAACATATGTACCAAGAGATATAAAAAAATGCAGAGTGCAATCACCATTTAAAAGGATTTTTTCCTCCTTCTGCCGCAGCAACCCACTGAACATAACTGCTTTGCTGCTTGAAGTTCCAGGTTTACGATCAGGAACTTAACCTTACCTTCTTTATGCTGAACTGTTTGCAGATTTTTAGATTTTCTCTGGACATGGGCTTTGTTGGGGTGGCATACTTTTTCAAAAGCTTCTTTTTGAGGTTAACATAGCTCTCTGCCTCTACATGAACTGTCTGTAGTTCATCATCATCATCATCTTCCTCCTCTTCAGTCACCAACTCCTTTGTTGCTTAAAAGAGAAAGTATCTTAGCATATGCCCTTTCGGAAAATGGGTTAGGTACATAGTTTTAGAGCACGGAAGCTTTAGAATACAGCATTTCACCGGATGGTATTCTTGCCAAAGGAATCAGCCTATCAAAGCCAAACTTTCAATCATCCACAGCAACATTGCTTGCCAGCTATCTCCTTAATCAATCCTGCTCATCGTGTGTTTAGCTTGCTTGCCCAGGCTACTGGACAAAACAGAGACAAAGGATTCACATGAGCAGTACTGAACAGTACAGCCACATAGTAGGATATTGATTGATGAATGCAGATTCTAGAGGCCAATTTTATTTTGTCAATATTTCAATATCTTTCAGAAATTCATAGAACTAGGAGATGAATTACTGACCTTATTATACTTCATAGTCCCAACTACAGATAGACTCATTAAATTAATTGAATGTATGTAAGTATGGATCCACAAAGCAGCCATTGATTCAACGGGCATATTTTAATTGGGTGAAAGTAAAGGCTCCCCCTTGACATGAAGTCTAGTCGTGTCCGACTGTGGGGGGTGGTGCTCATCTCCACTTCTAAGTTGAAGAGTCAGCATTGTCCATAGATACCTCCAAGGTCATGTGGCCAGCATGATTGCATGGAGCACTGTTACCTTCCCGCCAAAGCGGTACCTATTGATTTACTCATGTTTCGAACTGTTAGGTTGGCGGAACCTGGGGCTAACAATGGGAGCTCACCCTGTCTGTGGATTTGAACTACCAACCTTCTGATCAGCAGCTTAGCAGTTTAACCTGATGGGGTTCTAACACTCAAATTTAGGATAACGTATCTGGTTACTAAGAATGAACACTCCTCACCTATAAAGAATAAACACTCATTCTTTATAGGTGAGGAATATATACCTGGCAAAATTTTATTTATACACTTGTATAGATATAATAATAATAATAATAATAATAATAATAATAATAATGTTGTTCATTCGTTCAGTCGTCTCCGAACGAATGAACAACAACAACAACAACAACAACAACAACATAATAATAATAATAATAATAATAATAATAATAATAAACTTTATTTATATACCGCCCTATCTCCTCAAAGGGACTTGGGGCAGTTAAGGAGATTCATTGTCCCAACTGACTGTTAACAATGTGCTAAGGAATCTAGAAACAATTATTGTTATTGCTGTGTTACCTCAAGTTATTTCTGACCTATGACAACTCTAAAGCAAACTCAGGACAGTATTTTCTTGGCAAGGATTGCTCAGAAGAAGTTTGGCATTGCCTCGCTTTGAAGAGAGTGTGCCTTGTGGGTTTCGTGGCTGAGCAGGGGTTTAAACCCTGGTCTTCAGAGTCATAGTCTAATCTTAAACCACTACAAAAGCTCCTCTATGATGTTGGACTATACACTGAAATGATTCATTGTTTGGAAGGCAAGTTTTATCTTTCAAGAAGGAAGCAGACTTCCTTTATTTCCAATAGCCATATTCTCCTTGTCTGCAAAAAAGTTTAACTCAATTGCCAAATTTTGATGTCACCTTCAGAATCACAGCTGTCTGACGCTAGGCCACAAGTGGTCTATGAGCTGCACCAATGCCTTCTGACAGTGGATTACATTCAGTTGTGTCCTCCTACCAGTGAAACTGATTCCTCAGTTGGATGGATTTCCCTTTCCTGCTGCAGGTCAGGATCTCCGAAACGATTGCAAGATCCTCTAGAGCAGATCTGGGCAACATATGAGTATTAGGAGAAAGGAAACTACAATGCAGGAACCATACCACTCACATAACATTTAATTTGAGCCAGGAAGTTCAATTTATCCAACAGGTATCTTGTAAGAGCCAGCTTTAGTGCAACAGATTAATCAACAGCTACCGCTGAAGTAAATCATGCCAACTGAAATGTTGACAGTTCGAAGTCGGGTTAGGGTGAGCTCCTGACCTTCAGTCCAGCTCCCCCGCCCACCTAGCGGATCGAAAATAGCAATATGAGTAGATTAATAACTGCATTAAAGCAGGGAGGTATACAAAGAAGCTCTTCAGCAAGGAGGTGAAGTGACAGCAATCCCTTGTGGCCTTCAAAAGATGCCAAATGATGAGGAAAAAGCCTAAATAATATACCTCTATCTGTTGCCTGTCTGTTCATTGTATAATTGGCATTGAATGTTTGCCGTATATGTGTTCTGTGAACAACCCCGAGTCCCCTTCGGGGTGGGAAGGACGGAATATAAGTACTGTAAATAAATAAATAACAGGCATGCCCCCATGTCCTACAGTGCAACCACACAAAATGATATTCTACTGCTTCCTTACTTCCTCCCTGGGCTTCTTTAGATTAGAATATTCCAAACTGTCAATGCAGAAGAGACACCTGTTTGTGAAATAGCTGGATATAAGCACCAAAGTACATAAAAAGTCTCCAAGCATCACTTGGGGAGTAAAATCTAGGCACTAAAATTGCTAATGCCATACATGGACTTCTCTTTCAGCATTCAAATTACATGACTCTCAAAAAAGTAATAAAGTTGTATGTACCTTCCAAAGTCTGACATGGAATGTATGAACAATTAGGAAGACTTTGCTTATCAGCATCTGTGGGTGTTCTTGCCAGAGGCATCATAAGAGATAAAGGAGGAACACTGAATTTGTGGGATGTCTTACTAAGCAATTTTGTTACTTCAGTTTCATCCTCTAAACACGTTATAAAAGCGTAAACAACTGGTTCATTGGATTCAGAGGATATTAAGGCCTTTTCGTAAAGATATTCAGCAATGTGAAGCCGACAAGCCAAGGGCAGGCTCTCATTAGTGGAATAAAATGCCACAAGAGGTGGCTCATATGGGTATTTGTTATCCTCGGGAAATCTCACTTCCAGTTCATACACAGGAGCGTTGTCACTGTTGAATCTGAGATGTGCATCGTCTTTTGGAAGTGTCTTCTGCTTGTTTTGAGCATCATGCTTGAATCGACATCTTGAGCCAAACCTGCAATCTCCTCTGAGGTAGTGTTTACAGATTTCTAGGGAAGCTGGCTGTGGCCCATTGCTGGTGCTGCTAGCCCCTTGTTTGCATTTGTTAATTATCTCTGTAAGGTACGCCGAGTCTAACGTAACAGCCCAAACCCGATTTTGAATCCTTTCCACAAATTTGTCTCCATAGATGGAATGTAGGGCAAAAGCCTCTTCACGCCTTTGTTCCAAACAGTCTTCAGTGTCCGCATGAGCAGCGCTTTCTATGTCAGACATTTTCTCTGCAAATTTTTCAGAGAAACATTGCATCAGTAAGTCCTCCAGCGATGCTCCGATGTTACCGTGGTAGGATTTCAGGACCTCTCGACAACGTTCACTGTCAAAGCCATACCTAGAATATGTGGAAAAATAAATTATTGCAGATACACATAATACTTTGCTGAAAGAAACAGCCCTACCACTTTTAAGGATACTTGCTGATTCCTTGCCATAAGGGGAAATATTTATTATTCATTAAAATGTTTATATCTCATCCTATATGGTTCTAAATTTTGAAGTGCAGGCACCCACTAAGACAGCCCCCACAATAATGTCCTCAATGCAGGCACTGCTGTTGATTCCATTAATAATAATAATAATAATACTTTATTTATACACTGCCACCATCTCCCCAAGGGACTTGGAGCGGCTTACATGAGGCCAAGCCCAACAACACATCACAATAGAAAAGCAATAACAATACAAACTAATACAAAATAATATAAATCACATATAACAATAACACACAGGATTTAAAAGCTTATCAATAAAACAGTTCTGTTTTCTTTTCCACTAGTACCAGCTCTTTTTGTAAAGCAAATGGTTCTTTGTGTTGTTGAAGGCTTTCATGGCTGGAATCACTGGGTTACTGTGAATTTTCCAGGCTGTATGGCCATGTTCCAGAAGCATGCTTTCCTGAAGTTTTACCCACATCTATAGCAGGCACCCTCAGAGGTTGTGAGGTTTGTTGGAAACTAGGAAGTGGGGTTTCTATATCTGTGGAATGTCCAGGGTGGAAGAAATAACTCTTGTCTCATTGAGACAGGTGTGAACGTTGAAAATGGCCATCTTGATTAGCAGCTTCAATGCCTTGCAGCTTCAATGCCAGGATCTGCCAAAAAAACTGCAAGATCCTCTAGAGCAGAGGACTGAAGCACTGAAGCTGCAAGGCTTTGCAATGCTAATTAAGGTGGCCATTTGCAACATTCACACCTGCCTCAAGCAGACAAGAGTTCTTTCTCCCACCCTGGACATTCCACAGATATATCCACCTCACTTGCCTAGTTTCCAACAGACCTCACAACCTCTGAAGATGCCTGCTATAGATGCAGGCGAAGCATCAGGAGAGAATGCTTCTGGAACATGGCCATACAGCCCAGAAAACTCACAGCAACCCAAATGGTTCTTAGTTGCCTATTCAAGACCAAGTCATTCTCAAAGTTACAATATTAATACTTCATCATAATAAACTGTTGTTGGAAACTATTCATTTCACAGTGACTGAAAAGATAACAAGGGAAGATAGAGAAACCCAAAAGGAAATTGACCTCAACATCTGTGCTAATCAAAAAGTTCAAGTGTTGAGATGCTCTGCTTTGATTGTGCTCTTTACAGTTTCCTTTTTTGGATGGGATAGCAGTCGCTTTTACATTGTGAGGGGTTGAATCCAGTGAGTTCATGCAAGTGTGTAAAAGGCTGAAAATTAAAGAACTGAAATGAATTTACTAAATGAATGAGAACACTAAAATAAAAATGAAACAGGAGAAAATGGCCTGAGCATTAAGCAGCTGACAGGATGGAGGAAAATTGTTTTCTCTCTCCCCATCACCCTATCACTATAAATAACCATATACACCATATCCTGGAATGTAGTTATAACCTGTCTTATTAGCAGTTTTACGAGAGTGAGAAACATTTTATTTTTAGCAATACACAAGAAGTTAGAGTCCCAGGAATATCCTCATGAAATGACAGGTTTCATATTGTTTTATGGTAGTGGCAGGCTTCCAGCATCTCTATCCTTACACTACTTCCTGACCAATATTTATGATAAAATAATCACCTAGAAAGTTTTTGTACCGCAAATGAAGACACCTCTGTCTCTGGAATATGATTGACAGGTGCCTGAGAAGCACTTGACCCTGTTTTAGAAACTGCTTGACTCTGTGACCAGTACTGCTCCTCATCCAAGAAATCTGGTTCATCATCTTCACCCAACACAGGCATCCTGGAAAAGACATATAGTTCATTTACAAGTAATAGCCCATGAGGTAAGGCAGAGTTCAAGAACCGTGAGAAGGTTGTCACTGTGATTCTGCTTCAGTCTCACCCGAGCAGATGGGCCATTTTACTACAGAACTGGATATGTAAAGCAGGCATTGTACAACAATGCTGCCTGTAGAGTAGTAAACAATACTCTTGAGTTTCAATAATCCATTACACTGGCTAACATTCATTTTGGTGCCTCAACTTTTAGTCTTGTTTCTGGGTGTATTCAACCTGCTGGTTCCAAAAATGGCACCAGCTTCCTATTAGCTGTAGTTTTTGAGATATTGAACATATGCCATATGCCAGTCTTCATCTGCTTACCCATAGAAAAGCATGATAACTATATCTAAGAAACTAGAGCTGATGTGGTCTATCCAATGCAATTTTCCGAATCCGTGCCCCAACAACCGCCAGAACAAGCATAAGAATCAAGACCTCCTAAAAAAAAACCCCAAAAAAACTGCAAATGTTTTTGCTGACCTGTATTACATTTTAAAAACAACAAAGAAAAAATATCCAATACATTTTTGCATTTTCTACATTTTTTTCACTTTTGACTCTGGCTGCTTTGGTATCGTTTTATACCCTCAATTCTAGATCCCTCAAACCAACCTGTTGACATGGGTACTTTTATATTTCAAAACACACTGAAATCTTCATTTGGGTCATAAAATGCTCCAAATTATGGTATTCTGTGGAAATTTTAATTTGCCTGGATGAGGCACATGACACTAAGGATAATTAAAGGTTTTCATGGTCAACATGTCATGGCGTTTGCTTAAAAGGGAAATTAATTCTATTTAAGAACTCACTCTGGACCATCAGACAGATCTTGTCCTTGAAGTTGGAGGAGGAGCTCTTTCACCCTCTTCTGATTCTCTGATGTCATGTGCAGAGTCTGCAGTGGCATCTTGGTCTTCGAAACATGCCTGGTCTGTCCATGTCCTCTGTTTGCAGAGCTTAAGGTACAAAAGGGGAAAACACAATGCTTTCAAATGTATTTATATAGTGGAAAATACATACACGAATTCATAGCATGGGTTAATTAAAGCTACTGAGTCTGTTTCTGTGGAATTCTGAGGCAAGTTTTCCAAACCACTCAGATTCAATATGATTGACATGTACAACAAATAAAGAAGCTTTGAAAAGCCCTGCAATGTGCATATGGTAACATAGAGATTAGTCAGTAAAGTTCAGATAGGTCAGAAACTAATGCAATACTGCAATAGGGTTTTGCAGGTTGTGAGGTCACATTTTTAGTTAGATTTTTGTCAAATTACTTTAGGTCCTTCATTTGAATATTATTTGCACCTTTATTCCCAGCTATTCTACTCTAATCTGAGCTAATAAGGTAGTGCACATTGTTACATCATGTAAAATAGGCAAGAATTCAACGACTCTTCCTCCAGTATAACAGTGGTTCCCAACCTCTAGTCTTCAACACCCAAAAGCCACTGCCAGCTTGGCTAGCTATCAGGAAATCTGGGAGCTCAAGTCCAAAACACCTGAAGGACCAAAGGCTGAGAATCCCTGCTATGTGTTGTCAAAGGCTTTCATGGCCAGAATCACTGGGTTGCTGTAAGCCCAGAAAATTCACAGCAACTCAATCACTATATTTTCATTACATAGTAATGCATTTCATAGGGGAGGCAACTTTTAACATTATTACAGTCATGAATCAATCAACAACAAAAAAAGAAAAATGCATACTCATAAACAAGATAGACAGCAGTACGTAACTACCACTACTTCAGATTCTTTCTGTTAAAGAGTTCAATCTCCTGACATTTCTTCAGAAGGAAGATTTTAAAAAATAGCTAGATTCCAGAATGTACAAATTAAAACATTTTGTTTCACTGACCTTGGTTCATCTCTTGCTTCACTGAAAACACAGAAATCGTCGTCATCATCCCAAATTTTGTCTGAGCCTTTTTTGCTACCGCTGCTTTGATGTTTGCTAGGTCTTCCACTGCCGCCGCCACCACCTCCTCGTCCTCCCCTTCCTTTTCCTCCTCTTCCTCCCCCTCTGTTTGGCCTTCCTCTTCTCTTCCCTGATGAGCTCATTTCCTTCTAAAAAAAGGAAAAGAAAATACAAGCTAGCATTAACCATTAATGAAATACAACATTAAGGTCACCAGACAGATATTCAGTAAGAGTCGCAATTATTACTTTTTGGTCCCGACAAAATATCAACCAATCAGTTCCCCTCCCATAACATGTACCCTTCTTGTACATCCCATTAATTTCAAAGGGATATTACTCACTAGTAATTATAAATTACTAAAACTGGATTTGGGTTTAAGTATGTTATAAACACGATCTCTAAATTTAGTTTATTGTGGCATACGTTTTTTGCAGACAACAACCTCCTGCTTCATTAGCTGAACTACCTATTATATATCAATAACATAATCTAAGAGATGTAACTCCTTTGTTCCAATCTTAGACCAGTCACAAACTAATACAGTGACTTTGAACAACACTGTTTATCTTTGTCACACTCACCAAGCTTACATCATTATTGCAGAAGTAATGTGTTAACTAGTGGGAGAAAAAGTATGATAGTAGAAAGAGTGTTGATAACAATGTGAGTTGTTATCATTTATATTTTAGATTCAAAAAGGCTGAGCTCCTGAGATTTATGTTAAAACAAATTAATTTGAGATACCATAAGCATTTCTTAACATCCTAAATTACACTCACAGCACCCTATTGGCTTATCTGTAATAAGAGGAGATAAAATACCAATCAGTACACAAATTGTTCTTCGGTACTGAGGTCCCTTCCACACAGCTGCATAAAAATCATATTGAACTGGATTATATGGCAGTGTAGACACAGATAATCCACTCCAAAGCAAATATTGTGGGTTATCTGCCTTGATATTCCCTTCCACATAGCTTAACAAAATCCCACATCTTCCACTCTGAGAATATGGCAGTGTGGACTCAAGTTCAAAGCAGATATTGTGGGATTTTCTGCCTTGATATTCTGGGTTATATGGCTGTTTGGAAGGGCCCTGAGCTGAGTGTAGTCCTTCTCTCCAGCTGCAACTACTGAGGCCATCACAGGAAGCAACAACAGCAGCCCTTTTACTCTGTTTTGATCCTTCTCTACAGTTAAATATCAATCCGGATTCTGTAACTAAGGGCCTTTCCACACAGGGTTACGGGCCCAGTCTGTATGTGTGCTGTTCACCCCACCAGCTCAAAAGATATCTTGAGCAATGATTAATCGATTGCCCCAAGGAACTGGAAAATTATTGCTTCCATTCAACATTTTGTCTTCTGTCTGTTATAACAGGCTGTGCTTTTTATTTAATTTTAGTTTGTTAAGTTATCATTCGTATTTATATGTTGGGTTGTATAAATTTTGTTAGTATGGATGTATTGTTGTTGTATTTGGGCATTGAATGTTTGCCTTTTATGTTTGGAATCTGCCCTGAGTCCCTTTGGGGAGATAAAGTGGAATGTAAAATTTTATTATTATTATTTGAAACACAACAAGATGAGTCCACAGCAGACAAGATCACTCTGCTGGCTGTTGTAGTGGATCACACGTTGGACACTTTCCAAATGTCTAGGACTGTGTGATGTATCGGCAAATACTGCATGCAGATCCCAGTAAGGTGGCCTTCTGCAGCTGGCAGATGGTAATTTTGTCAGCGCCAATTGTGACTGCGCCAAGGTCTTTAGGCACTGCACTCAAATTATTATTATCGTTATTATTATTGACACAAAAGCACAGTATGTCACAGCAAGCTAGACCTATATACTGGATTTTGTATCACAAAATCACAAGTCGAACACTTCCCAAGTATCTAGGACTGTGTGATGTATTTTCAAATGATACGCACAGATCCAAGTAAGGTGGGCTTTTGCAGTTGACAGATTGTGATTTTGTCGACGTTTATTGTTTCCAAATGCTGGCTGAGATCTTTTGGCACGTCACTCAGTGCACCAATGACCACTGGGACCACCTGTACTGGTTTATGCCAGAGCCTTTGCAGTTCAATTTTGAGGTCTTGATAGCAGCTGAGTTTTTCCTTAGTGCGGCTGTCACCTGGTATGATGACATCAATAATCCAAACTTTTTTCTTTTCCACAATTGTGGTGTCTGGCATATTGTGTTCCAAAACCTTGTCAGTCTGGATTTGAAATTCCCACAGTATTTTTGCATGTTCATTTTCCATGATCTTTGTGGGTTTATGATCCCACCAATTCTTTACTGCTGGCAGGTGGTACTTGTGACATAAGTTCCAGTGAATCATCTGGGCCACAGAATTGTGTCTTTGTTTGTAGTCTGTCTGTGCGATTTTCTTGCAACAGCTGAGGAGATGATCCATGGTTTCATCAACTTCCTTGCACAGTCTGCATTTTGGATCATCGGCTGATTTTTCAATCCTGGCCTTAATGGCATTTGTTCTGATGGCTTGCTCCTGGGCTGCAAGAATCAGGCCTTCTGTCTCCTTCTTCAGGGTTCCATTCGTGAGCCATAACCACGTCTTCTCCTTATCAACTTTTCCTTCAATCTTCTCAAGGAACTGCCCATGTAAGGCTTTCTTGTGCCAGCTGTCAGCTCTGGTTTGGAGTGCAGTTTCCTTGTACTGACACTTTGTCTGTTGTGCTTTGAGAAGTTTCCGATTATTGACTTCAATTAAAGCAGGTTCTTGGATTTCCTTAACATATTCTGCCAGGATGTGTTTTTCTTCTTCAACTGCTTGTTTGACTTGTAAAAGTCCTCTGACCCCAGACTTTCTGGGCAGATAGAGCCGGTCAACATCACTGCGAAAATGTAATGAATTATGAATGGTCATGGGTTTTCTTGTTTTTCTCTCCAAATTGTCCAGTTCTGCCTGTGTCCAGTTTATGATGCCAGCAGTATATCTTATGACAGGTATGGCCCAGGTGTTTATGGCCTTGATGGTGTTGCCTCCATTGAGCTTGCTTTTGAGAATTTTCCTGACCCTTTGAATGTATTCTTTGCTGACCATAGTTTTCACATGTTCATGTTTGATGTTGTCCAGCTGTAGTATGCCCAAATATTTATAGGACTCTGGCTGGTGACACTTCATTGCTTGGCCATTGGGCATATTTATGCCCTCACTTTCAATGGCTTTTCCCTTCTTCGGTGCCACTGTCGAACATTTGTCCAAACCAAACTCCATGTTGATATCTGTGCTAAAGATTTGGACAGTGTTAGTCATTATTATTATTGTCAAAGCCTTTCATGGCCGGAATCACTGGGTTGTTGTAGGTTTTTTCGGGCTATATGGCCATGTTCTAGAGGCATTTTCTCCTGACGTTTTGCCTGCATCTATGGCAAGCATCCTCAGAGGTAGTGAGGTCTGTTGGAACTAGGAAAAAGGGTTTATATATCTGTGGAATGACCAGGGTGAGACAAAGGACTCTTGTCTACTGGAAGCAAGGTGTGAATGTTTCAACTGACCACCTTGATTAGCATATAATGGCTTGACAGTGCCTAGAGCAAACTTTTGTTGAGAGGTGATTAGATCTCCTTGTTTGTTTCCTCTCTGTTGTTGTGCTGTTGTAATTTTAGAGTTTTTTAAATACTGGTAGCCAGATTTTGTTCATTTTCATGGTTTCCTCCTTTCTGTTGAAATTGTCCACATGCTTGTGGATTTCAATGGCTTCTCTGCATAGTCTGACATGGTGGTTGTTGGAGTGGTCCAGCATTTCAGTGTTCTCAAATAATATGCTGTGTCCAGGTTGGTTCATCAGGTGCTCGGCTATGTTCTGACTTCTCTGGTTGAAAGTCTGCAGTGCCTTTCATGCTCCTTGATTTGTGTGTGGGCAATGCTGCTGCGTTTGGTGGTCCACCATGTAGTCTGACATGGTGGTTGGGAGAGACAGACAAGAGTTCTTTGTCCCACCCTGGTCATTCCACAGATATATAAACCCACTTTCCTAGTTCCAACAGACCTCACTACCTCTGAGGATGCTTGCCCATAGATGCAGGCGAAACGTCAGGAGAGAATGCCTCTAGAACATGGCCATATGGCCTGAAAGAACCTACAACAACCCATTATTATTATTATTATTATTATTATTATTATTGGATATAGGGCTGTGTGGAAGGGCCCCTAGATAACCCAGTTCAAAGCAGATATTGTGGGATTTTCTGCCTTGATATCCTGGGATATAGGCCTGTGTGGAAGAGCCCCAACCCAGCTGGTTGAACCAGAACCACACCAGGGATAACATTATAAATCAAACTCGTGAGGAAATCATTATGACCACCAATACTATTCAACAGAAAGGCATTTAGCCTCCCAATAAGAAGCACCATATCAATTGCAAGGGGTCTACATTCAGTGGGGAGAGAATTAGGAGGAAATACGACAGTACAAACCAACCCAGTCCCTCTTACTGTCTGTTTCGCTTCCTGGCTCCTGTCAGACCCGGCTTCCAGCCCACGCCTCTCGCTCACCCGGAAGCGGAAGCTGGGGCGGAGCTTCAGCTTCCGGGTTGGCAAAGGAATCCTGTTTCCATAGCATTCCTGCCATGGAAGCCACGCCGCCGCCGCCCAGAGGCAAGGAGCCTCTCGGGAAGGAGCTCAAAGGTTTCCACTCACCAGGGTTTAGCCTTGCCTCTTCTCTTTCCACCTCAAAGTTGTGATGGAAGGGAAATAGGGTCACATAGGAGAGAACTCCAGAGGAGAGCGACTAAAATGATAAAAGGTGTGGAGAACAATCCCTATGAGGAGCGGCTTAAGGAGCTGGGCATGTTTAGCCTGAAGAAGAGAAGGCTGAGAGGGGATATGATAGCCATGTATAAATATGTGAGAGGAAGCCACAGGGAGGAGGGAGCAAGCTTGTTTTCTGCTTCCTTGGAGACTAGGACACGGAACAATGGCTCCAAACTACAAGAAAGGAGATTTAATCTGAACATTAGGAAGAACTTCCTGACTGTGAGAGCTGTTAAACAGTGGAACTCTCTGCCCCGGAGTGTGATGGAGGCTCCTTCTTTGGAAGCTTTTAAACAGAGGCTGGATGGCCATCTGTCAGGGGTGATTTGAATGCAATATTCCTGCTTCTTGGCAGGGGGGTGGAGTGGATGGCCCATGAGGTCTCTTCCAACTCTAGGATTCTATGATTCTAACTCAATTGACACCAGGCCTGGGCAAACTTGGGCCTTCTCTTCAGGGGTTTTGGACTTCAACTCCCACCATTCCTAACAGCCTCGGGCCCCAAGGGAGTTGAAGTCCAAAACCCCTGAAGAGAAGGCCCAAGTTTGCCCAAGCCTGGTGTAAACAATTACCTTCAGGCTCGATGCATAAAGGTGTATCAGAAGCATACATTCCTTTTGTATCTGGGTCCCATCACCAAATTGTCTTCTCATGTATGTTGTAGCGCACTCAAAACTGTCGCGTAGTAGGAGGGATTTTTTTTTCTATTTATTATTACAAGGACCAAGTAGCAACAGTCAGAACTGGCCATGGAACAACAGACTGGTTCAAGATTGGGAAAGGCGTACGGCAAGGCTGCATACTCTCACCCAACCTTTTTAAGTTGTATGCAGAACACATCATGCGATGTGCGGGGCTTGATGAATGCAAAGCTGGGGTGAAAAATGCTGGAAGAAACATTAACAACCTCAGATATGCAGATGACACCACTCTGATGGCCGAAAGCGAGGAGGAGCTGAGGAGCCTTCTAATCAAGGTGAAAGAAGAAAGCACAAAAGCTGGGTTGCAGCTAAACATCAAAAAAACCAAGATTATGGCAACAAGAATGATTGACAACTGGGAAATAGAGGGAGAAAATGTGGAGGCCGTGACAGACTTTGTATTTCTAGGTGCAAAGATTACTGCAGATGCAGACTGGCCAGGAAATCAGAAGACGCTTACTTCTTGGGAGGAGAGCAATGTCCAATCTCGATAAAATAGTGAAGAGTAGAGACATCAGACTGGCAACAAAGATCTGCCTAGTCAAAGCCATGGTATTCCCTGTAGTCACCTACGGATGTGAGAGCTGGACCTTAGGGAAGGCTGAGTGAAGGAAGATAGATGCTTTTGAGCTGTGGTGCTGAAGGAAAGTTCTGAGAGTGCCTTGGACTGCAAGAAGATCCAACCAGTCCATCCTCCAGGAAATAAAGCCCGACTGCTCATTGGAGGGAAGGATACTAGAGACAAAGTTGAAGTACTTTGGCCACATCATGAGGAGACAGCAAAGCCTGGAGAAGACAATTATGCTGGGGAAGTGGAAGGTAAAAGGAAGAGGGGCCGACCAAGGGCAAGAAGGATGGATGGCATCCTTGAAGTGACTGGACTGACCTTGAAGGAGCTGGGGGTGGTACGGCCGACAGGGAGCTCTGGCGTGGGCTGGTCCATGAGGTCACGAAGAGTCGGAGACGACTGAACGAATGAACAACAACAACTGAGCAAATTTGGGCTTTCTCTTCAGGGTTTTGGACTTCAACTCCCACCATTCCTAACAGCCTCGGGTCCCTTCCATCGGAAGGGGCCCGAGGCTGTTAGGAATGGTGGGAGTTGAAGTCCAAAACTCCTGAAGAGAAGACCCAAGTTTCCCCAGGCCTGGTGTAAACAATTACCTTCAGACTCGACGCATAAGGTGTATCAGAAGCATACATTCCTTTCGTTTCTGGGACCCATCTCCAAGGTGTCTTCTCATGTAGGTTGTGGCGCACTCTGAACTGTTGCATGGCAGGTAAAGGTAAAGGTTGTCCCCTGACATTAAGTCCAGTCAAGTCTGACTCGGGTGTGGTGCTCATCTCCATTTCTAAGCCGAAGAGCCAGCGTTGTCCATAGACACCTCCAAGGTCATGTGGCCGGCATGACTGGAGAGCCGTTACCTTCCCACCGGAGCGGTACCTATTGATCTACTCACATTTGCATGTTTTCGAACTGCTAGGTTGGCAGAAGCTAGGGCTGAGAGCGGAAGCTTACGCTGCTCCCCGGAATCGAACCTGTGACCTTTCGGTCAACAAGCTCAGCAGCTCAGTGCTTTAACCCACTGTGCCACCGGGGCTCACATGGCAGGAGGGATCTTATTTTTCTATTTCCATTAAAAAAATTCTACCACAGGGTGGTGGTGGTGGTGGTTGTTATGCCACTTTTCTCCGTTAATGAGACTCAAAGCGATGGGCAGTGGTAAAAACAATAGTATACAAATTAAAACCTAAAGACTATGAACATTAAAGTAGAATTAAACCCTCAACAAGATTGGTTTAGAAGATACAGGGTGAGGCAGCATAACTTCCTCTGAGGCTGAGAGAATGTTTCAGTTCTCATTATCCCCGGTCTGCATGGTGGATAATCAAAAGTGATGGGAGTTGTTCATTAAAATCTGACTGAGTAAAAACTAAAGAGCACCAACCACTATGTAAAAAATACATGGTGAGGCAGCATAACTTCCTTTTTTTTAAAATGTGCGCCATTCAGTCAGTTGACGTAGCGGAGCACTAGTGGTCTCGTTCAAGAGGCGGGAGTATAAAGTTTTGTCCTGACACAGTTAGTCGCCATCATGTGTTGGAACAGTGAGGAGCGTGCTTTTGCCATTGAGTTCTACTTTTCGAGCAGATTTGGAGTGGTCAGCCTGCTCTCCAGATTTGGCCCCTTGTGATTTTTTTCTATGGGGTTTTTTGAAATCTCGTGTTTATGTGAACCATCCAAGGATCCTACAAGATTTGAAGACCAACATCCAGGAAGAAATTGCCAACATAACGCCTGCTATGCTGGCAAGAGTCATTACGAATGCCAGAAATCAGTTTACTCAGTGTATGGAGAATGGGGGATGTCACCTACCTAATTTGATCTTCAAAACTATGAAAAACAAAACTTTAGGTATGCACCCACATTATATAAAAAAAAATTCTGATTCATCCAATGGGTTTTATTAAGTTTTGAAAAAAGGAAGTTATGCTGCCTCACCCTGTATTCTCTTCCTCTGAGGTTGAGAAAGTGTGATTTGCCCATGGCCATCCAGTGGGTTTCATGGATAAACTGGAATTCAAACGCTGGTCTCCAGTCATAGTCCAATGCTCAAACCACTACACCACACTGGCAGTTATATATACAGTAGATTTATTTATTTAAAACATTTATATTCCGCCCTTCTCACCCCGAAGGGGACTCAGGGCAGAACACAGCATATACACGGCAAACATTTAATGCCGGGACACAAATTCACATACACATACATAAATATTAAAAATCATTTATCAAAATATTAAAATACACAATTTAAAACCGTCCTAGATATAGGTTATTCATGCCTCTCTCACCATTAGTTTCACATCCAGTGTAGAAGTATTGACTGTTATTAATTGCTGTCAGGTCAATTTCTATTTATTGTGACCTTTGTGAATGAGAAACCTCCAAATCACCTTATCATCAAGTGTGCTGCTCAGGTCTTGAAACTGAGGACCCTCACTTTCTTGATCGAATCTATTCATTGCAATATGGTCTTTCACTTTTCCTGTTGCCTTCTGTCTTCCCAAATATTACCATTTTTTAAAATAAAATACCATTTTTGGCTTCTTGGCAAAGTACAGGTTTGATTTGCTTTAAGATACATCTGTTCGTTTTTTTTTTTTTAGCAGCTTGCGATATCTGCAAAACCTTCCCCAACACAACATTTCAAACAGGATAATTCTTTTCTTCTCAGTTTGTTAACACTTATTTCCAGAAAAGACCATACTTTTTTACATAAAGGTAGAAATTCAATGGGAAAAATATGCCGACTTTTCTCCAAATGTACTCCAGAAACTACAGCTTTTCTAGTTTCATGAAGTATGTAGAAGAGAGCCAGTGTGATGTAACAGTTTAAAGCACTGGTGTATCTGTATTATTGATTTGATGCAGTTTGATGACACTTCAGCTGCTATGGAATCATGGGAGTTGTAGTTTGGTGAGGTTGTAAAACTACAGTTTGGTTGTAAAACTACAGCTTCTACGAGTCCTTCGCATTGAGACATGGCAATTAAAGCGATGTCAGATGGCATTAATTTTTCAATGTAGATACACCCTATGAAACCCACACTTCCTCGGCTTCAAAGGAAGTGTGGGTTTCATAGGGCAAAGGGCAAATCTCTTCTGAACAAAGGCACACCTTTCTTTACCAGCAAGAATTTTAGCAAGAAAAGAGCTTGCATGGTGATGTGACCTAGGGCCCTTCTACACATTCATATAACCTGGAATATCAAGGCAGAAAATCCCATAATATCTGCTTTGAACTAGGTTATCAGAGTCCACATTGCCATATATTTGAGTTCAAAGCAGATACTGTGGAAATTTATTCAGCTGTGTAGAAGGGGCCCTTGTGGATTGAACTGCAGGGTTCAAATCCTTGCTCAGTCATGAAAACCCACTGGTTGAACCTGGGCAAGTGGCATTCTCAACCACAGAAGAAGGCAAAGGCAAACCCCCTCTGAACATATCTGGCTAAGAAAACCACACAAGTCAGAAAT